CTCTGTAAAAATTGATTCAAGATAGAAATAAGGTAAATTTCTAAAGGCATTTTAAATAATGGTTGATAAAAAAGGTTTTTAATATTATGTCATACTGGGTTACAAATCTAAAAAATATATGTCAAAAGGACTGGTTATGATACAGTTGCATTAAAGGGACATAATTAAAGATGGGACAGCCAAAATGCAAACTTAAAATGTGAAATTATTTTATTTACTCAGAAATTACTTGTCATAAAGAAGAAGAAAAAATACTGTAGTATGAAACAAAGACAAAATGAGGTGTGGAAGTAGAATAGAATTTTGCAAAGTCCAAGGACATTGGTTTTATTTTGACCACTGGGCATCCATAGATGCTTATCAGACCCAACTCTAAGCCCTTTAAAGTCCAGTCCAGTTTATAGTACACTAATCTTGATTTTGGACAGTGCTGTCACTACCTAGAGGCTGCAGTATAGTGTGGTGACATCTCTACCACCTGCCAAAACCTGGAGGTCTGAAATCCAGGTACATGAGGTACACTAGTCACACAAAGCATTCAAGGATTGCTGAAGTTTCACTTCAGCTTTTCCCTGCTGGCAAAAGGGAAGTAGAATCAAGTACTAAGGAGAAAACCAGGACTGGAGTACATGGTAATATGTTAATTTGTTTTGTGTTTTTTTAAAGGATTTTTTGTCCTCCCTTCATTGAAATAGCCCTCACTACCTTACCATCCCTAAGCAAAGACAGCCATTTCCAGCCTTAGAGGCACTGCTTTGTCTCTTAATTTCTCAAATGCTTTCTTTATCTGGGCACATCCACAGCATATTTACAACACATGGCTCCCCCTCCCCCCCCAAAAAAAAAAATTTCTGGAAATTGTAGTTCACCCCTTACAGTTGATTTTCTCCCCTGATATTTATTCCTATTTTTTATTTAGTATATCTCGTGTAAACTGCTTAGAGATTGTATAATATTAAGCCGCATATAAATTGTATGTTTTCATAAACAAACCAACACATAAATGCGGACCTCAACAGGGTCTCTGTCCTAGTATGTCCTGATAAATATTATCAGCTCACATTAAAGCTTAAAGGATTAGTTTGAACCGAATCTAGACCTGGGGTTCACCTTCCACATTATCTTGGAATTTGTTTATTTCACTTTCCCGCCATTTCATTTTGCTGTGATAGTTGTTAATATAGTTATTTGAACACTCCAATGTAAAGTATGAACTTTTGCCAGGATGAAATCATTCTATTGCCCTAGTCTTACCTGATACACATACAGGATTGCTCTGTAGATTTGGTTGCCTGAAGGGGGAAGGGATGCAGTATTTTCCTAAAAGCTTGTTTTGCTTCATGTTCTGAGAAATGTGTTCTTGATGGTGTAAGCAAAGAAGAGGGGAAAATGACCTGAACATTCATGTCCAGGGAAGCACACAAACTCATTTATGTGCTTGGAACTGCTTTGGCAGTTGAATTGAATAAGAAATCTCTTGTTTGAGTCCAGATTCTTGCACCTGCAAGGAACTGTTGCATCAAAATGATTACCTCGTGAAACGCTGGAATCCTGTAATAGCATTGCGTGAGTTACAAATTGTCTCTTCAATAAAGGGAAATATTGGCTCAGTTCCCAGTCAATCCAATCCATATATAATGGACACAAAGCAGGCTATTTTGTAATGAAAGGCAAGCAACTCAATCCACCTTGTTATGAATGGCATAAACTGAGGTCACACATTCAAGATTATTTAATTCTGTTCCTCCCGTCCGCCACATTCTGAATAAACTTTCTGCACATTTCACAGTTACATAAGAAAAGAAAAATGCTATAAAAGGCTTGGAGGATCAGTTCTGGAAAGAGGAAAAAGGAAAGTTCTACTTGTTGATAGGCAAAAATATTTAAATCATTAATACTATGATGGTAGGCAGTTCCATTTCATTAAGTCTGAAAAGTCTTTATGACACTAGCAAAACTTGGGTACAAACTTTCTTTTTCTGACACTAAGACTTTCTTGTTTGCATCACAGCTGCTTTTATATTTCCTAAATTACGGTAAGTTTTTGAATGATCACATTCACCAAAATGTGTTCCTTGTGAAGCAACCTCCATCCAAAGACATCTTCACTGACAGTATGTTGATTTCCCTACAGTAACACTTTCCTTACAAGTGCCGCATTTCTGGGTAGGAAATGCATTAAACCCAGGTCTAAATCACTACATGTGACCAATGCATATGAGTTGCAGATGCAGATGCCTGGAAAATGCAAGTGGCTTTGATGTTTGGACAGGCCTCACTTTTTTTTTAACCCTACAAAGTTTTTTATGTGGAGTAAAAGGTCACATGAAATGACCTGTATCCTTAAGAGGCAATTGTGTTTCTGCTGACCTTGGTGGAGTTTGCTGTTGTAAACATATGCAACCTGTCTCTATGTGTGATTTCAGCAGAATTTGCTCCTGGATAAATTGTTTTTAGGATACCGTCCATAACCTGCAGTGCAGGGATGGGGAACCTGCGGCCCTCCAGATGTTGTTGGACTCCAACTTCCAACAGTCCCAGCCAGTATGGTCAGATCAGGTGTGATGGGAGAGCTAGAAGTTTGCCGTCCCTACTGTAAAGAGATCAAAACTGTGTTGTAGTAGTTAAGCATATCAGACTTGGGAAGCTTATTGTGGACTTGATACTGCTCCGATTTGTGCAGGGTCCACACAATGCTCTCATCAAAATGCTGGTATATATCCCCTCCCTCCAACCTATTAAAGAAAAAGCATATCTGATTTTCTGTTGAAAAGGAGAATATAGCCCAGCTTTTCGGTGATGGTATCGTGTGGCACAAAACTTGCATGCATGAGCAACACCCAGCCAGTGCTGGATTTGCGGTATGTATAGGCTAAGTAGGCTGAAGCCTAAGGCCTCTAAATCTAGGGGGCCTTGCCAGCCCGCCTTCTCCCCAGTGCTGCAGTCTCCCCTCTCCCTAAACTGCAAACCCATGCAAGGGCAGGGCAACTCAGGCCCAGCAAATATGAGACTCAGGGCTAGCCAGTGGGGCCCAATTTAAAGCAGTGGGGCGCAACCTGGGGTTGTTGTTTTTTTGGTAGGGCCCCAGTTCACAGCCTAAGTCTGCAAACTCTTATAGATATAAATAAAATCCATATAGATTGCCCTGGTGCAGGGGCCCCCTTAGGAGCTCAGCCTTTGCACTGTTGTCCGAATAGCCCCTGCTGTGCAGATAATGGAGAAAGCTCATAAACTGTATCCCTTCTGGCATCCTGGCCAACTCTATTATGCTGGTGTAAACCCTGGTGAAGCAGAAGCACAGAATAGCAGGAAATAAAATTTGCTCATACATCAGCGACTGATAAGACTTGTCAACCAGTTCTTCCAAAGTCTTCCTAAATTATAAAGCTCCAAAATACAGGCCAAAAGAGAGCAGGTCTGGGGAGAGCGAGGCATACAATGGGCACCACCAGTGAAAAGACCCTGCTCCATGTAACTCCTACCCTGTCATTTGATAGAGTGCCCACTTGTCCTCCTTCTTGACATGGAATGCTCTCTATTGGAGTCTCCAGGTCCAGTACAAAGATCATAAGAAGGGAGAGCAAGGACTTTGAAGTTCCCAACAGGTGGCAAGCAAGCAAGCTCACAGGTCACCTTTGTCACAGTCAGGATGCCTATGTCCTGGCCGAGCCTGCACCCAATCTTGTTTTTGTACAATCTTGTTTGTCCTCAGTAACCAAAATTATATTATCAACATATACAAGCACAAAAGTTGTTTTCCTTCATTTGCAAGGAAGTGTACAAAACAAAGTAGCACTAATAAAGAAAAGTTCCAGGGTGGCAACAGAAAGCAAACTAAAAATGCTTTTGCAGTTCATCAAAACTATCCAGCAATATCAAGTTATAAGAAAACTGGTGCTATTAACAGTAATCCTTCTAGTTGGTTAATTGGTTCGGCAACTTCCATACACATGACGTGTGATGTTAATTATTTCCCCCAAGAGTTAATGATAACTAATCACAGGCAGCTACAGGAGAGCTATGAGATTCAGGTGAGGGTCAGATGCCTTGTCAATCCCAGCAGGTATATAAGAGGACGATCCGGCCTACCCAGGCCTATTTGCTCTCTCTCAGCCTAAGACACTGCCATGACAATAAAATTGGGTGTGGTGGTGAGAGGGGCCATAGACAAGCGGTGAAGCTTATACTTGTATGTAGAAGATCCCAGGTTCAATCTAATGGAAGAACTGGGAGACATCTCTGGAAAACTGCTGCCAGTTGGTGTTGACAATACTAATGGTCTGACAATTGAAGCACATTGCTTTCCCCCAAGGAATCCTGGGAACTGTAGTTTCCTTTAGGCACCAGGCAAAAACGTTCCTCTTTAAGGAAGCCTTTGATTGACAGACATCCAATGCCCTATTAAAATGTGTTGGGGGCATTATTGGGTTTCTTTTATGGTATGTATTTTGTGTTTTTATATTACTTTATCTTGTGAACCGCCCTGTGACCTGCGGGTATAGGGAAGTATGCAAATTAAATAAATGAATGAATGCAGTGCTTTTTTTTCAAAAAAAATGTTTAGGGGTACTCTCATTTTGACTCAAGAAAATCAACATTTTATAGTTCAAATCGGCAAAAATAAATAAAGTAAATGGACAGAAGTACAAAGATTCACAAAATGTTTAGGGGTATGCATCCCCCCAGAAAAAAAGCACTGAGATGAATGAATGAGTAAATAAATAAATAAATAAATAAAACCCCTCACAGAGCTTAAGAAACTACAGTTGCCAGGATTATCTGAAGGAAAGAGCCATGTGCGCTGAATGTGCGGATGGATGGATGGATAGATAGATAGATAGATAGATAGATAGATAAAGGCGGGAGTGAGTCTCATAACAACAGCAACTATGAAACAGGCACGCTCTGGGTATGGTGGCCAATCAGGGTCCCGCGCGTACCAACACACGGTCAAACGCGCTTACGTTGTATGCCGTAGGCGGGTTGGGGGGGGCATGTAGGGAACAACAGGGCTGAGGCCACGAAGCTCCGGGCAACCCAGGAGGCGGGGCGTAGCCGGAGAAGCAGCAGAAGCGGCGAAAGGGAGTCATGGTAGGCGGCACGTTCCGTCGCCATGGCTCCGAGTTCGGTCGTGCTATTGGTCGCCGCCGTGAAACGGAAGCCGAAGACAGGCGTCGCCCTTTGGCCTCCGGAAGTGTTCGGGGGAAGGCTGTCTGAGAGCGCAAGGCGTGAGGGGGAAGGCCTGGGACGGTGCGCCGGCTTTGAATGAATCGGGCTGATTCATCGCGGCCCGGCTGAGCGGAAGGCGGCGGCGAGCGCGGCTGTCGGCGACACGGAAGGGCTCGAGCGGCCAGGTAGGCCTCGGGCCCGCGCGTGTGAGGGCGGCCTGTGACGCGGGAGTAGCCGGCGTGGTTGCCCTCCGGGCTTCGTTGGGTTCCCGAACCCCCCTGCCAGGATGACCCGATAGCCGCGGGGTGAGGGGCAGCGCCATGGGAGTTGTAGGCGAGGCAAGGGGCGCTGGCCGCTTCGTCAAGTTCACTTCGCTTTTTATCTTGATCTCCAGGATCTAAAACAGCCAGAGGCGGCTGCGAAAGACGCAGTTCAGAACCAAGGGGCGGCGTGCTTCTCTGACCCATCGGGACTCGGGTTTCTAATTTCGGTGGGAGAGATATACTGTATGTTGTTGTTAATGATTGTTTAAAAACTGGTCTAATGTAGGCCTCCCCAAACACACACACACACACAGAGAGAGAGAGAGAGAGAGACGTTGTTATTATTGTTTAAAAGCTGGTTCAGGAGCCTATCTGGTCTAATGCAGGCCTCCCCAAATATATACACTACGTGTGTGTATAATTTATTATTTATTAATTGTGGCCTGCATTAGAAAATATATATTTGGGGTGGTCTACACACACACACACATATATATACATATTCATATGTATATTCATAGTCATATGTATGTATGTATGTATGCACACACATGAATACATACACACACACCTCCTGCCCACCGTTGGTTTAGCAGCATCATGAGGGTCACGTTTTCCCCAGCCCTGCTTATACAAATTCTCCATCGCTGACTTACTCTGTTGGAAAGTGTAGGGCTTGGTTATGCCATCATAATCTCTGACTACCGTGTATTTCTTTCTTCATCTTGATCTAAAGCTTTTGCCAAGAGAAGGACAGAAAGAAAGGTCGTCAAACTTTTTATTTTTCTCTGCCATGGATAGTATTAGGAGAAAAGGGGTTAAAACCCTGAGGTGAGGTGAAATTTTGCACTCAGGTAAACTGGGAGTAAGTCCTGTTAACTTAGAGGGCTGTCAGCCTCCCGAGTTCAAAATGCTGCTTTCAACTTGTGGAGTGTTTCCATAATTTCAGGTCCTTTTCAAAAACATGTGCGATATTGTAGAAACAGGTGAAGTTTTACTGAGGGGTGCTGTTAAAATCACCTGAACTGAGGATGCAGTCCAGTGATCTCTTGCTGCCTCTGATAAGAACTCTGAACCCAATAACTGCCTGTGGTGGTAGTAGTCCCATCTTTTAAAAGAAAAACCTAGCTATTTTTAACTGCTCCACCACTGTAGCTGTGAAGTTGTGTACCAAAGATTTTGTTTGCTATATCTTACTGTCTTTGTTTTTTATTGACAAGAAAGCATAGTAGTTTATACATTTTGTAAGGGCCTTATAATTTGTGTAATCTCTCTTGATTCTCCTATTTAGATATGTTTGTGTGAGACTCTATGTCTTTCTAATGCAAGTTATTCCTTTACACTAGAGGCCTATACAGTCGTTCACACTTCAAGATGAGCCAGTCATTGCAATAATTTTGTATTGTTCTTATGATATGTTTTATTGTGGCTTCCCATCTGCAGAGTAATAAAATTCATGTAGTAGCTTAGTGATTGTTAGCCAGTGTTACATTCTTTGACTTTACTATAGTATATTAACTACAACAAACTACTTTTTTGTTTTGTTTGCATTTTTAATTATAAAATGTTCATGCTTAGCGTCTTCTGTTAAAAAGTACGAGAAGAAGAAATAAGATGGAAAAAGCAAGACAAAAATTTAACAACAAAATTAGCCCAAACTAGCTAATTGCCTTATGTGTAGCATTGGATCTTGTAATCAACAATTTTGTTTTTACAAGTAACTCAGTTATGCTGCATATTTATCAAGGAGCTAGTCCTTTCATATGATCCAAAACTGATACAGATGAATTCTAATCTGAGTTGGTTTCATGCTGCAGTATTTGGAAATGCCTTGGCAGTTCATGTCAGGAAAAAGCTCAAGGTGCCTTCTCTTGTCTAGCAGCTGAGTTCAAATCAAGAGAAATCTGAGTACCAGGTGGGAGGCCCCCTGTCTCTTTCTGTTGTACATAATTGATAGCTTTCTCTTGTCATCCCAGAATGTCTGGGTAGAGAATGCTCATATACACATGTGGTAGGTGTTGAAGTTAATTGAAAAATGGGTTTGTGGCTCTTGTAGCCTATTAGAGAATGTATAACTAGCTATTAATAGAATGTTTGACAAAACCAATAGTAGAATGTTTACATTGTTTTCTTGGCAACGCTTCCCCCAAGCTTAAAATTCTAAGTAGCATTTTTGCATTGGAATAGTTATTAAAACAATACTGCATTATGCATAAATATTTGCAAATACAAATATTTATGATAATTGGAGATCCTGTTGCATTTGTGCAGAACTCCTGGTGTACTTGTTCATTAACTATTATTTTTTGGCACCTCAACAGCATCCATCTGCAAAAAACTTGCCCATATGAAAATGTGAAAAATGCTTTTTCAGCTTTCATGAAATGTTTAACTACTGTAAATGGCTAATAAAGGCTTGCATCCAACATTTTCTTGGGACTGGTGCAGACTTACAATTAACTTGGATTTAGGGATTGATCTGAAAAGCCTGCAAATCTTCCCCTCTACCTTTCACCTTACATCTGGTAAACACCGCTTGGAAATGTTACCATTTTATTTAAGTTATTTATATACCACTTAATCGTTAATAAAATAAAATGGGTTCTGCATTGTGTGACTGTTGCCAACCAAGATTAAAATGAGCTATGGGGTGCTCCTAAACATGCTTTGAGGACAATAATGAAACTAGTTTTTTGAAGTGGATTTAGGAGCTTCCTTAAGGGTTGGCAGCACTTGTATGTAACACTGGATCTGTGTGGAGGGCAGAAGGAGAAAGTTTACTATTCCTTCAATCAGCTCACTTTTCACCTCTGGAGCCTCAATTTTAAATACAGTAATGTGGCGACCTCAAAGTCCATTATATAATTGTTGATATGATTTAACAATGGCTACTCTGTGTTGCTAAATAGGCAATTTTAATTTTGCTGGGTTGAATCAAATTGGTATTTAGCACCTATAAAAGTGGACAATAGGAAGAGTTTTCATGGGTAATATAGCAGTTAGCTTGTGCTTAGAGAGTTACTCCAGGATGTATTAGCTAATTCTGTTTTTTTATTAGCTTAAAAATATTTCCGTACACAGCTCTTCATTAAACTGATGTGCATATCAAGAAATAAAGCTTGAAAAATGAAACATTACACATACTTTTGTAAACCAAGAAATCTTTAATAAAAATATGTTTAAAAAAATTAAAAATAAAGCTGAGTATATTGGAACATCATTTGTTGTTCTAAATACAATATGCATCTTTCTCTTAGCATTGTAAAAATTACAATTTCAAAGGTAGTTATTTAATCTTAAAACCCCTTCCTACTGAATGCGCACAAAATTGTCACCACCTGTGCTTTAAAAATAAACACTTACAGTTGCCCATGGTTTGAAATTAGCCAAGCACCAGGTGCATTTTGCGACTAGGGATTAGCAGATTGTGAGCACTTTAAGAAGCCTTGGCGCCATGTGTGGCGACTGAGACACAGGAAAATTGCTGCCACCGACCACCGAGGGCACAGGAGAAATGCCTCCCCACCCTGCACACAAGTTAGATCGCTGCTGCTTGTGCAGGAAAGTGTCAGTCACCTCACCAGGTTGGCACTGAGAGCTGCTGCCACTGCGAGCATGACATTGTGCTGCTTTGCCTCTTCCTGCCCCCCAGGTGAGGCTGACCTTCCCTTTGCCTCTCCCGTGTGTGTGTGAAAAATATGCCAGTATTTGTAAATATTAATTAATTCAAATAACATGGTTTTGGCTACTATTGTGGGGGCTGAGCCCCATTTATGTTTGTGTTGTCCAATTAAGAATTGCTTTTAAAAATATGAATAAGAATGTGTCACTGATGTGAACTGTGTATTAATTCATGTGTTTCAAAAAAATAAATAGAAAGTGTAACTGAATTGAAAAAAAATGTGGCTAGACATTCTGTTGGGCCCATAACCTAGGTTTCAGGAGCCATGTGGCAAATGGCTTTTCTTTCCTAGTTTCTAACACTGCTATTGACTACAGTGGTACCGCTGGTTACGTACTCAATTCGTTCCGGAGGTCTGTTCTTAACCTGAAACTGTTCTTAACCTGAAGCACCATTTTAGCTAATGGGGCCTCCCGTGCCGCCGCCACACGATTTCTGTTCTCATCCTGAAGCAAAGTTCTTAACCCGAGGTATTATTTCTGGGTTAGCAGAGTCTGTAACCTGAAGCGTATGTAACCCGAGGTACCACTGTATATATATGAGCACTGAATACTTAAAGCAGTGGAAATGCTCTCTTACTCTAAATAATTCTTGTTCCTTCTGTTTAGGTTGGAATTAAGCTTTACCTACACTAGAATTTGGACATCCAACTGAGATCAGGAAGAGAGTTGTTTAAAGGAACAGAAAACCGGGTGAGTACAAGGTAAACATGGAATAGATCCAGTTATTCCTTTAGATCAGGCATGGCCAAACTTGGCCCTCTAAATGCTTTGGGACTACAACTTCCATCATCCCTAGCTAACAGGACCAGTGGTCAGGGATGATGGGAACTGTAGTCCCAAAACACCTGGAGGGCCCAGTTTGGCCATGCCTGCTTTAGATGTTTGGCTGTGTGTTACTTAAATTGTTTAGGAACGTAATTCTGTTATCTAGAGCAGCAGTGAGATACTTCTGGCCCACGGGTATAATTAAGCCATTTTGGCCAAGCCATACCCACCTGTCTACACCTAATCTAGGACAGGTATGGAGGGGGTAAACTTGCAGCAGGGCCAAAAGAGCGTTTGCGGGCAACATCAATCACCTGCGCCCACCGCTTTGCAAGTATCAATAATCAGTTGATTATTGAGTATTTCAGAGAACATTTGTCTGCATTAGAAAGCTAGTTCCATGCTGCACCTATGGTTTATGTGACTTTGAAAGTCAGGGGTCTTTTACTGCTAGTTCTTTTCTCACTAAGACTTTTGAACAAAATTATTAAATCTTAGAAACTTTTCTCGTCATAAAAGTTTAGTTAACTGAGTTAAATGTTGGATGTAATATTGAAGTTTGTTGGTTTGCTCCAAAGCTTCCATCATGGAGCTTTTGTCTCAGTATAGTCAATCTGGAGCTACAGTGGTGGTGGTGGGGAGCTTCATTCATGTGCAGATGGTGGTGTTTAGAGCTGCTCTGATACTGAAGTTTTTGAAACACCACATTTGCATATGTGGGAGCTTTAGCTACATGTTGGAGCTCACATGTGCATAAAGAACCCCTTGACTGTAATCATCTACTCATTCAGAAATTAATAGGAATCAGACTGAAAGGTAGCTTAACACTTTGGGCAAATTGCATATTACATTCTTACCAACTATATAGACACCTGAATAAGAGGAAGAGAGAAGTTGTAGCAATCAGTAGATATGAAGTATTGAAGGATCCCTTTCTCTTAAATCACATCGCAGTCTTAGGTCAGATCTAGAGCAAGCATATCTAGAGAGATGTTCTTAGTGCAGCCTCCCTTTCTACACCACCCCACCCCATGCTATTATCTAGGCCTGCTTGAAGTTATATGCCAAGGTAGGGAACTAGATTGGAGCAAGACCGTCCACTTGTCAAACTTGAAAGAAGTTGCTGTACTCCTCAGTCAGCTGATTGTTAGTTAGAGCAAACCTCCTTTGAATGTGTGTGCTGATTGGCATTCCTAGTGCACCTTCTAAGAGGCTCCCTTTAACTGGTCACCAGCTGATTGTCGGTTAGAGGGAGCCCCTTTGACACCTTTCTTTCCAAATCTCTAACCACAGCTCACTGAAGCACTAACATTCATTCATTTAAGTGCTGGACAAAGCAATTTGCAAAGGCTCTTATCCAAAGGCTCTTCAGCAGACATCATATATGATGTCAGGTGTAGGGCAGGTGGGTGTGGCTTGACTGCAGCTGTCTCGCGGACCAAATAGGGAAGCCTAGTGGGCCAATTAGGCCTGCACGCCAGAGGTTACCCACCCCTGTTGCATGCCTTCTGCCCTGGAAGCCTTTACCACTCATCTTGGGAATGTGGACTCTGTTGATAGTGGTGAGAGAGACGTTCTGGCTCTAGAGCCTGTTGAGCCTTGGCTCAGGAAGTTTAGCTATTCTGAGCACTTTAATGCATGCTTGCTTGTGCTTTAAGATATTCAAGATTTCAGAACCTAGTAATGACATGTTGTACCTGGAGGTGTGTTAGGACTAGATCAATATAACAAATGGTAGAATGCTGGTGGTTTAATCTCTTTCCGCATTTAACAAGATTGGAAATGTACAGAACTATAGCCCTTAGTATTTTAACTAAAGGCATTTAATGTTTACAGCATTCTTTTGGTGTAATGAGTTCATTAAGAAAAGCTTTTGATGCTAATTCAGAAATCTATAATTTGTTCAGCGTCTTTCACATGTAGTTTTGATGCTAACTGACAAGCTGTAAGTTAATTAGCACAGAACTTACTAATGAGGATGTTAAAAAATTTCACTTTTGAATTATTTTTATATTGATGCGTTCCGGACAAATTGAAGGGAATTCTATTATACTGGTGATGAGTTTTGTTTACTTTGCTATGCAGATGCTTTTTCAGGTAAGTGGGGTGAGGAGAATGTCAATGATTTTTGCAAATGCTATATATAAAAAAAAACAAGAAATGCTTGTCTTTTTCAAATCCAGGGATAACCCAAAACCAATGCAGTTAAAGTAAGGTTGTTAATTAGTATGGAAGACAGCTTCTTGAATTAATATGTGGTGTTAATTAACAGGAAGTCTGATGTTGTGTTGTAATTACTACCAATATTTTTGACATACTGAGTGACTGAAGGTGAATTATATGGAGAACAATTTAGTAAACAGATCAGAATCTAGGTATGCTTTCTTTTTGTTTCTTTTCTTTAGAAAACATGGATAGACTTCTTCGTCTTGGAGGAGGTATGCCTGGTCTGGGACAGGTTAGTATACAGTATGCTAGTTACTTTTTTAAAAGTTTTAATTACAGTTCCTAAAGTCTTACTTTTAATCATCAAAACAAAAAGCCCAATATGATCAAACTTCCACAGACACTTGAAATACGGTAAGTGCAAAGAAGAGGGTGCAATGTTGCATGATTTTGAGTGAACATTACTGTATATGAATTATTGAAGGGGAGCTGTGTATGTTTCTTGCAGCAAAAGCAGCAACAGGGTTTCTTGTGTCAGTGTGAAAGCATGTTTATTGTGGCTTGAACTTTCATACACAAAAGCCTGCTTTGTCTGATACATCAGTGTAAATTATTGCACTGTCTTAACTTTCCAAACATAATTTGTCTGTGTGCAATGTGTGAAGTTGTAGGATATTTTTGTTAGTCATGTGGGATCATATGTTCACAGATGATGAATTGGCAAAATCTGATCCAGCAGGCAGTGGAAAACACAAACAAGTTGCAAATAAAACCTTCCTGGCTTAGTGATGATAGTTCAGTTATCATTCATATGATGCAATGTAAGCGTGAACAGACCTAGTTTACACAGACCTCATGGTTATCACCATAGCCATAGTACAAATTAAAAACATTGAAAACTGACTGCTGTGTGTAAGGAAATAGATCTGTAGTACTTCAACTTCATGCTTGTTTTTGGGTACAGGAAGATGGTTATTTTAAATAACAGCTCCTCCAAGAAAGCCTCCAACACCTTCCACCCAATGTAATCTTTATTCTCTTTCACAACAAAATGCCATACCTTAAAAAGTCCTGAGGTCTTTTTTGGCAAAGATTTCCATGTTTGTTTCTATCACTGCTGCCTACTGGCATGCTGATGACCAAGTCCGTAGCAGTTTCTTTTCAAGCCTATTTTAATTTAAAGTAAGCTTGAAAGTCCATTACTTTAGAATTCCCAACAGATGTGCATTTAGGCATAATCTATAGTAATTTCTCCTTGGAGTGAAACGGAGAAGGTTAGAGGCTTTGTAACTATTGTAATGGTCCTTCTCTCACCAAATCAGGGAAAAGAACACATTTAAACTTAATTTCTGTGGCTCAGTTTATTATAAAATTGCACTGCAATTTTTTGTTCTGTTTTGGTGACCTGTTTTGTAATGCACTTTCATGATGAAAAAGGCAAATAAGCAAAACTGTTGTTAGCAATAGTTCTCCATTAGAGGGAGAGATAATGACAGCAGAATACCTCTGTTTGAAAAATCTGCATGATATTTTCATGTGATGCTTGAGAGTGGGGTGTCTTGGCTTGAGGTCGGTCTGAACTCTCCAGGTAGGCATGTAAATGGAGAGGAGTGATAAATGAGGATGCATTCAAGGTAGGAAAATAACTGTGGTATAGGACCTCCACAGGTTTAAAAGCCCTTCTAACCACTGCGGCCCTTTGACTCGTGGAAGGGCTTTTAAACCTGTGGAGGTCCTCACTAATAAAAGCGTAAAGGTAAAGTTACCCCTGACGGTTAGGTCCAGTCGCGGACGACTCTGGGGTTGTGCGCTCATCTCACATTAGGAATATTATTTCTGTCAATTGCATTGTGAGTGTGTAGCAGATATAAAAAGGGCAAATTCAGTGCTAGGCATCATTAGGAAATGAATGGGAAATAAAATTGCTGATACCGATGTTAGGATATTTCCGTTCCACCTTAAAAGGGAGCAGGCTTTGTGAGTCACAGAGTCTGCGTATTTCCTGTTCACAGGAAGTTTATGTTTTTGTCTTTGCTTTTGTTCTCTCTCTGTGCCTGAGACACCGAAGCAGGCAGTCATGTTTTCTTTGTTCTGACCAACGCTGAATAAACTTGAAAATAATGCTCTCCTGCGTGCATCTTTCGCTCTGTGAATTCTGCTGATAGAGCGTGCATGAGCTCTGGAATGTGGCAAGCTATTTCTGGAGCTCGTGTCGCTAATTGCTGATACTGTATCTACGGGAGATCGATGGACGTCCGGAGGCGACGTGGGGTCATGATGGACTTTGTCTCCCTGGCAGTATCCCAACAACCATAATGCTGTTGTACAAATCGATGGTGAGACCACATTTGGAATGCTGTCTACAGTTCTGGTTACATCAGCTCACAAAGGACATTGTGGAGTTGGTGAAAGGTTACAACATTTGGTACTGTTCAGTTTTGAGAAAAGTTGGAATAAGGGGTAACATGATTGAAGTTTATGAATGGCATGGATAAAGTTGATAGAGAAACATTATTCTCTTTGGACAGCTGTGCTGTTCCATATGATTCCTCAGTTCTCTGGAGCGTATTTTTTGGGGGTGGGGGTTGTTCAGATTGAAATGGGAGCTCTGTTCGGTGTCTGATGTTAGCTATCAATACTATAGCAATGATGCTTCTGACAAGTTGAGAGACAAATGTTGCAATTAGTGATAACTTCATAAAACTCAGAGCAGTGTTTCCCAACTGGTGGTGCACGGACTCCAGGCAGTCCACGTAATTCACACAGGAGGTCCGTGGCACTATTCACACAACAAAAACTACCTTAGAGATAGCAATATTTCCAAAGGTAGGGACTCCATGCCTTGGCTATTGAAAAACGGGGTCCGCCATATGTAGCTAATTGGGAATCAGTGGCTTAGAGCAGAACTTTCCAAACTGTTCAGGTCGGTGACACTTTTTAGGCATGCATCGTTTAGCGACACAGTAATTCAGTTTTACTAGTAAACCAGAGGTTTAACGCCTTTCCAGCCCTGGGAGGAGTGAGGGGAGCGTTCGCACGACACACCTACACACTGCAGCAGACACACTAATGCAGTGCTTTTCAACCAGTGTACCGTGGCACCCTGGGGTGCCTTGAATGATTGTCGGGGTGCTGCAGGCCTCTTTCCTTCCATCCCACCTCTGATGCCCTCTTGCATCTCTGCCTCCTAAAGGCTTGCCCGGCTATTTGTTGCAGCAGCCCTGGCTACAAGCTCTCCAGGTGAATGGTGCCTTTGGGGCTGGCCAGGGGGTGCTTCCCAGCCCTCTCTGAGGAAGTGTAAGGAGGCACCTCTCTTTGGGGCAGGGGAGGCAGCTCAGACCAGGAGGGGCAGTTGCAGCTGTCCAGAGGACTCTCAAGGAGAGGGGAGAAGAGAGGAGCTGAGGAACACTCCACAAGGGTGTGTTCAAAAAGGACTGAGGGGCTGCTGGCTCTGCAGGCAGGGGGTGGCATAACTGGGCTCCACTGGGGTGCCACAGAACGAGCTGTGGACTCAAAAACATTGAAAACCTCTGCACTAAGCTGTTGCAACACACAGTTTGGAAAGCTCTGGCTTAGAGGATTGTATGTAAGTAGAGATAAACCTTGGACTTGCATACTCTCCTCAAATCATAGCTTCTTTGCAAACTAAGATCACCAATAACTGGTCTTTGGGTAGTAGTCTGAATGTGGCCATTATCTGTCTCCTTGGGGAAAGAAGGGGCTTTTCACCTCTGAAAGCAGGAGGGGGGACAACCTTTTTCAGGCCAAGGGCCTCATTCTCTTTTGGCAAATGCTCCAGTGATCACACGCCAGGGGAGGGTGGGGCCAGAAGCAACAGTGGATGGGGCAATTATTGTAAATTTTACATTAAGGCACACTAAACTAGTTTCTGCACTCATCCTCGGTCCAGGGAAGCAAGAAACATCAGAGTTCAATAACACAGTCCAGCCAGGCAAAAGCACAAAGCTGCAAAGTAAGAGCTTGTAGGTAACGTGGCTGAGGGGAGTTGGGAGGCTTGGAGAGCCACATTCCGTCCCCAGTCCTGAGATTGCCTATTTTTACTTTAAAGTAATTCAGACTGCCTCTGATGACCCTATTTAAGGAGATACCTTGAGTGTATAGGGGAGGTACAATAGAATAAATAAGCATTGGAGCAGATCTCCCCTTAAATAGCTTCTTCCTTTGAAAGTGTAATAAATGCAACATTTTCCGCCTTGGATATTTTTCTTTTAACAATCGCATGCAGAAGATCATCATCATTTTTGTTTGGCCATGCCTTTGGCAGGGAATTGGTGCATTTAGGCGCTGTCATTGTTATAATGGTCATTTTAATTATTGGGCGTTTACTTATCAGTTTCATAAAATTTATAAACTGCTTGATTGTAAAAACAAAAAACCCTCATGCAGTATCACTGGATCTTACATTAGCTGCCCTGAGCACTATTTGGAAGGAAGAATAGGATATAAATTTAATGAATAAAAAATTTTCTGCTTTACAAAAGGTGGAATTGTGGCTGAGAACCTGGGCCTGGCTCATAGCCATTCTTTCCAGTGAGCAGTATGGGGACTGCTCAAACAAGACTGATGGCTTTTGTAATGAAAGATTTGTGTTGTCAACAGCCATGTTTGCTCATGTCTTTTGTGTACAGGGCAGATAAGGAGAGATTTCTCCAGTGGGTTGCAGCAGGAGTGGGCATGATTTAGGCTTGGCAGGCCCACTTTGTTTTTTTCTAGAACCCCAAGATCTACTAACAGGAGCCATGTACAATAGACGCACAATGAGGATTTAAAAAATGATTCTGCTTCTGAGTGCATTCAGAGCCTAGTAATGTGTTTTCAGTACCTGTAGTGAATTGAGCTGAGTTCCTGTCACACCAAAATGCACCCCTGATCTGCTTTCTTAATATCAGCAGCCTAATTTAGATGGAAAAAGACTTTTTGTTTTGTTTTTGCTGCTGTTCCAACAATTTGGAGCCAGAGCCCCTTGCTGTTCTATTGCTAACCACCTAGACATTTACCAGTAAATGCCTATCTTCCTTTTGCCTACACCTGGGTTATAGAGGGTAACGGTACAATTACCTTGTGTTGACTAAGGATTTGGAATTTATTGATATAATTTATTAATGTAAATTAAACATTTCTTCTCACTGCATTTCCTTTTCTGAATTCTGAAATGTCATTTCTAGTGCACAATAGCACTGACAGCTGGTGACATGATGATGCGGGTGGGTGGGTAAATAACCCAGAGTAACACTGTATACAGCCCTCAAAAAGAGTAACTGCAACGCCAGCTAAGTCTGTCCTTGACTGCAGAACATAGCATCTTGCCATATTTGCTTATTGCAATTTTGGGTAGATGCTTTTAAGTGGTGTCTTCTGGGAATGCATGTAAAGGTGGACCACTTTTTTTAGAAAGAGGGGGGGGAGGGGTGACCTGTCTCTTAGCCGCGTTAGCACTTCAACTGGAAATAAAGAAGCAAGAATTGCAAATAGCTATTTTGTTTGAATAATGGGCTTGCCAATTAGGCATCAAGTGCTTCCATCTGTGAAATTGTTGATCAGATGGGTTAGCTGGGACACTTCCAGATTAGGGCATTGTACATGGCACTTGAAAACTGTCACTTTGAAAGAGGTTTCAAGTGCTGCACTGCTTGATTCTGTAGAAACTCTTTCCTTTTTTTTTTTAAAAAAAAGAACTCATTGATAAAACCTGTAGCACCTAAGAGACCTGCCACTGATCTAAAAATCCTATTGTACATGCTGATCTAATGCATGTAGAAGTTGAACTCACAGGCACGGTTTCCTTTTGTGTGTTTTACAATGACAGATGAACGATCTGTTGAAAAATCTGAAGGCAAGCATTCTTCTAACTTGTCTTGAACCATAAACGCGTTAGGCCTTTCTTACACTTCAGGAACTTGCATCCTGGCATTGTGGTTACCAGGCATATATTTGTAAAAGTTTCTTTTTAATGTTCTATTGTTTGATTTGAAAAAAAAAAGGGTTTCAGGAGTGTCGTTAATTTCCTGTTAAGCTCTGCTGCTAGTGCAGCAGAAGAGTATGGCAGAAGTGATGTACATAAACAATGGTTTCGGTCATCCATACCCATTCAGATATGGCTTGCAATCCTATGCTAATTCTAATTTAATTTAATGTGGCATATTCCTCAGTCTTGACTCTTGAGTCAATCTGTGCATGGTCAGGTTCTAAAGCATTAATGAAAAACCCAGAGGAGAGGTGTGCAGAAGTATGTTGGCCCACCTCTTCCCTCAAGTAACCTCTTAAAAAAGCCAAGATATATGAGGAAGGGCGTAAAGAAAAACGTTAAGCAGTATCTGTTCTCATGCTGGGAACTCTGCATTCCTGGACTGGGCTTAGTAGTGATCATCAGGAAACCTTGGGGTCAGGAGATTACTATTGTCTCCTTTTCTAACAGGCTATCACATCATCAAGAACACTGGGTACCTTACCTCAATCATTGAATCGGTTCAGGATTCTGAAAAAATAAATGCCTGTAAGCCGCCTATTGTATTAATACCCCTTTACTGGGAAAGGGCAGGGAAATAAGTTGTTTCCTCCTCTACATTTCCTACACCCCAAAAATTTGCAGAGGATTTCAACCTTTGGGAAGATTGAGGAAGGCAGGAAAGTGAGTTCTTGGCTCCTAACCTGCCTGCTTCTTGCTATGTTTTGAGCTAAGCCAGCAGACCCTATGCTTGCAGAGCCTTCCTCACACAGAGGGAGGAAGGGGTGAATATGCATCTACCCTTCAGCTTGAGACACAGCAGGATGTGGGATGAGTCCCTCCCACCCACTCCTATGGTAAAATGGCTTCTGTGTGTTCTCGGTGAAATATCTGAGCTAAATGTCATGGAAGGTTGGGGGCAGCACTGGCTTTGTCCCCTGCAGTGGAAATCACAAAGCTTCCATAAATATTGAAAATATCCAAGCAAGGAAAGTATACAAGTATCGGGTTATTGGGGTTTTTTTAAGACAAGGATTCAGATACACACGACCTCCAGTAGACTTTTGAAAGCACAGGCAGCATTTTTCATACATTTTGTTGAGTTCCCTGTATCAAGCTGTATGCATTCTCCCATTCGTAAAGTTTTACTTTTTTGCAGGTTTATATTAATTGTCCATTCTCATGGGATATTTTAAATGAGATTTTAAGCTTTATAACATCCAGTTTTGTAGAATGTACACATGAACAGTATTCCAGGATCTCTTGACTTAATCATATGTTTTTTAGAGCAACAGAGAATCTCATATATACGTGTATACGTAATTTTGACAAAATTGCTTCTAATGGACTGGAGAAGATTTTTTTTTTTAGAACTTTCTAGTATTTCTAGAATAATACATTGATGCTATATACTCTTCTTTGTTTCCTTTTTCTGTAAATTTTAATAGTGCTTACTGAGCATATGTTTTCAGTCAGCTTCAGTGCTCCTTACGGTCTCCTTATAAATGTTTCAGAAAGTAAATTCCCTTCATATGACTGTCCACCAGTAATCTCTACAGATGGCACCTAAACATTTGTCTCATGAAAAAGCAAATGGACTTAAGTTCTTTCCTCTGAGCCAAATAGTGGGACTAGTCATTTTAAGTGTGTTGCATAGTGTGGATTGGCATTTTGATGCTTGAAAACTCTTGGAGAATTGCCCTTTTTAGATTTCTTTGGTACATTGTCTGCTGCTTGTCGCTGGGGTGTGTTGGCTTCCTCTAGTTCGCTAATGTATATATCCTTAGCTCTGAAGGACAACAAAAGTGGACATTTCGAGCAAGATGCTGTTCATCTCATTTCAGAAAACATTTTTGTAAAGCATTAATTGAAAAGAGTGTCTGAGCACATCTTACTGCTATGTTCCGTGTGTAGGTAATAATTACAGGGGTTTTTGGGGACAATACTATTTTTTTTGTGGTAGGTAGAGGTTCTTTGTCCTTTAGCTCACCCTTCCACCAATAATAATAATAATAATAATTTATTATTTATACCCAGCCCATCTGGCTGGGTTTCCCCAGCCACTCTGGGCGGCTTCCAACTGACTATTAAAAACAGTACAGCATCAGACATTAAAAACTTCCCTAAAGAGGGCTGCCTTCAGTTGTCTTTTAAAAGTAAAATAGTTGTTTATTACTTTGACACCTGAGTTCCACAGGGCAGGCGCCACTACTGAGAAGGCCTTCTGCCTGGTTCCCTGTAACCTTACTTCTCGCAATGAAGGAACCGCCAGAAGGCCCTCGGCGCTGGATCTCAGTGTCCGGGCTCAACGATGGGGGTGGAGACGCTCCTTCAGGTATACAGGACCGAGGCCGTTTAGGGCTTTAAAGGTCAGCACCAACACTTTGAATTGTGCTTCGGAAACATACTGTTAGTGTGATGTGCACTCCATCGTCTCCTTGCAACAATGCTGTCATTGTTGGGCACCAAGATAGCAACTGGCCCAACCTCATCCATTAAGCCTCATGTCTGAGCAGGAATCTGAACTAAATCTAGTCTCACATACTGGCTGCATATGGTATTGCTTAGATGTGTGTACTGTACTTAGAACACCTCCTATTCCAATCCAGCATGGTCTTTAAGATCAGCCATTGAAGCCTATCTGATGGTCCCTGTCCATCACAGGGTCAGCAGTGCAAGGACCCATAGTAGGGCTTTATCAGTGGTGGCTCCAAAACATTGGAATGTTCTTCCCACTGAGATGTGTTTCACCTCACCACTACACTCCTTTAGGAGGAATGTAAAGATATACCTTTTTGGCAGGCTTTTGGAGGTGAAGTGTAACTTGTTTGAGGGCAGTTTTGTATTGCACCCATTGCTGTTTCATGATTTCCTCATTTTAGTTTATGCTGTGTCTACTTTGTATTGATGTTTTAATTGGCTTTAGAAATATGTAGAGGTGTGTTTTAATATGCTGCACATTGCCCTGTGACCATATGGTGATGGTGGTATGGAAATATCTAAATACATGAACACCCAAATTTTCCCTGCCTTGCAAATATAAAACATGAGCAGAGATAAAACCATAGGAGTGTACAGATGATTTTAACGACTATTGGTGGGATTAAACACAAACTTTACCTTGGGATTTTAGCATAATTTAACCTTTGTTAAGAAAAACCACTTGTCTTACACTCTTTTCCCCCAAGTATACAGATTGCAATGCCTGTGTGTGTGTGTGTGTGTGTGTGTGTGTGTATATATAGTTCTGAAACTGCATATAGGGAGGTATGCATTAATGCTTTAAAAACCCTTTAAACTTATTTTTATTTTTTAATGAATAAGTTCCATGAATAATAAAATATAAATTATACACGATATAGAGGGGTTCTTCTTTAGAGGCAAGTGGTTTAACACACACTCTCAATTGTCTGTAGGTGTAACAGCTGAAAATCTGCACTCCAAGAGTTAAGTCAGCATGAAAGAATTCATTTCCACTTTAATGACCTAGCCTTGCTGGGTTAGGACGATGGGGAACATGCTTCTGACTTGCACTCCTATTGCCAATTAACACCTCCTATAACAGGTTGTCTCAGCTAGTCATTGAAGCAGAGGCAGTAGAAATAGTTTACATGCATCTTGTTTTTCGCACTAGTTGTTTAATACTCACAAAATTAAGTATTAAAAGGTTCCCTTTTTTACTTTGCTGGGTAAGAATAAACATGACAGTGTTGGATAGTTGTACATTTGCTTGTGTCTGTTTTGTTGTGTTTATTTTTTTAAGGGGTTTTAATTGTGAAAATAAAGGTTGGAGTTGGTTCTAATCTCACCCTCTCTCATATAAGAATTTAGTTTAGCTGCGGAGAGCTCATTTGTACTGATTTCGGCATCAATTGGATTTTTTTTTATTGTCCCATTTAAAAAAAAATGTTTATGGGCTTTTAAAAAAAGAATTTTTAAAAGTACTCTGGAGTAAGACAATACTCAGAGTGAAGTATCAATTTTTTCTCTCCAGGTTGATGGTGTTCATTTTTGTAGCTTTGTCAGTTGTTTAATCTTGCATCTCTTGTATTTAAGAGCAGAAATGCATGATGCAAGTGAAGGGCAGTGTTCTAAAGTGACTCATGATTAATCAGCAGGTATTCTAATAACATAATAAAACTGGCTAAATAATTGATACCAGTTCACACTAAGAGAAAGGTGGAGTAATATACCTAAAAGTGTTAACAAATTTGCTAAAAGGCCTGAGTAGGTAACACTCTGAGGCGTTAGTTTTATGCTGTTATAATGGCAAATGCCTTTTTTTAACACTTAGTCAACAAGGGCTGCCCAAGGAAAAGTCACAGTTTTTATAACTGGATCATATCTGAATGCTCCTGAAGAAAAGTAGTGTCTCGTGTTAACCCCATTTGATTGATTTGTGAGCTGATTACGTTATCTTTGCTCGTTTGGGCTTTTGGAGGCATTTTATGTTGCTAAATGTTGATAAAAGAAATGAATTTTAATAGTGTGAGTCTACCTTAAATCCTCCGTTCTTTAATAAGCGAGGGCTTAAAAGAAATGATTGATACGGCTTACGCCTGATATGATTGCCCTGCAGGCAGGTCAGTTCACTGACTAACACTTGGTAGACAGTTTAGTCAGGAAGAAGCATCTGTTTCTCCTCTTAAAAGTATAATCGGGATTGATTTTCCCCCTTTCCTTTGTAATGCATTGGGTACAAAAGAACTTTAATGTTGGGTTTTTAAAAATAAAAATAAAGTTCTGTTTTTTTAATGGCTTATTTTAGTTAAAAGTAAAGGACCAAATTAAAGGCTTGCTTCAGTTTCAGTCCTTGGTGGTGGTGGTGTTAGCACATTGAATCTCAGGGGAATTTGATGCATCTGGTATATCGGAGAAAAGTATATTTACTTTTTGTCACCTTTGTAGATTACTGGTTGGAATGGGAAATGACTGGCAGATGAGGGTTGATGTGTAATCTAACAATTCAGTGTTCAGGCTGCATGCACCTTCATTAACATTGCTGGAAGGTAAAAAGGGGGGCAGCATGAGTCCCCCTGACAGTTTGGGGTTTATAGATATATTTTGTTAACATATTAACAAGCTTACAGATATGCATAGTAGCGTGCAAAGGAATTGGTTATGGTATGGATTTAAGAAGGTTCAGTGCTCCTTGCAACTTTCAGAGGGCGTTCTGTAGACACCATTCTTCAGTATAAATTAAATAATCAGCTTTTATGTTTAGCTTCTTCCCTTTTTTTTGAAGGAAGTTTGCTGCGTTACTGCTTTTCTTCATGAGGCTGAACATTTTAAGACTAGCTGTCATTGGGAGAAGTTTTTCTTTAAATTCATCTGATTTTAAAATACTGGTTTAAATACTTGTCCAGATTTCTGGCATTTTGTATCAGAACAAAAACACAACCAACTGTGTCTTTGCTATAGGTTTTCAGGCTACAGTGGTACCTTGGTTTGCATATGTCTTGGTTTGCATATGTTTTGGATTACAAACACGTCAAATCCGGTAGTGCGTGTCCTAGTTTGCAACCTTTTTTTGGATTACAACCCCCCTTTTTTATTACAAACTAATTTTTTTGGGAGGCCGCATTGGCGAAAGCGCGCCTTAGGTTACAACCTGTTTTGGTTTACAAACAGACCTCCGGAACAGATTATGGTTGTAAACCAAGGTACCACTGTATTTAGTACAGGCATGTCCGAAGTTTGTTTCGGAAGACCTAATCGATTGGTTTAATCTGGCTCCTGTGGCAGTTTATTTCAAAATTGTAAATAAACCTAAAAAAAACCCCCACAACTTCAACAACTTTGGGGTAAAATCCTAAAAAACCCTCAAGAAGTTCAGTCCTAAGAAAAGGTCAACAACTTTGGTCGGAATTGGGCAGCCTTTTAAACAAGTCCGCAGCAGCTACAGTGGTACCTTGGTTTAAGAACAGCTTAGTTTATGAACAACTTGGATTAAGAATGCTGCAAACCCGGAAGTAGGTGTTTTGGTTTGTGAACTTTGCCTTGGAAGCAGAACATGTTGAGTGTGTTCCATTTGTTAATTGAGCCCCCCACTGCTATAGGAAAGCGCACCTTGGTTTAAGGACGCTTTGGTTTAAGAACAGACTTCTGGAACGGATTAAGTTCGTAAACCAAGGTACCACTGTACTAGCCTGCAGTGTGCTGTCAGAAGAGGACCAGAAACTTTGTCTCTTCTGCAGCCACCCACTGCACTTCCCTGCTCAGCAATTCCTTGCATCTCTGGCTATAAAGCTTGTCCTTAAATACAAGACTGCACTTGGGATTGCAATCATATGTCCATATACAGTGGTACCTCGGGTTACAGACGCTTTGGGTTACAAACTCCGCTAACCAGGAAGTGGTTGCTCCAGAACTTTGCCCCAGGATAAGAACAGAAATTGCATTCCAGTGGTGCAGTGGGAGGCCCCATTAGCGAAATGTTAAGAAGTGTTTCAGGTTAAGAACATACCTCTGGAACAAATTAAGTTCTTAACCCAAGGTACCACTGTACAGTTGAATGTGTTTTGTTTTGTTTTGTTTTTAAAGTAAATGTGAAAACGTATCCACATTGGCAACATTTAAGGGTAGCCATACTAAGCAAACCTAAGAAGTATAATTGATATATAGCAGTTCTCTATCAATTAGAATATTTGAGAGTAGGATGTATTGAGTCTGTATTTTGACTGATTGAGTGCATTGCACTTTTGCTATGTAAAGTACCTTAGGGATATTATCTTTAGCAGTTCTAACAAAGTAGAGGCGGGGTAGTGTGTTCATGCATAGTGACAACTTGTGGCTAAATTAAGGGACGTTGTGAACACCACTGAGGGCAAAGCAGCAATGTGTGAAGGCCTAGAGGGTAGAAAGTGTCGTTCCACTTCACGTAAAAATATGAAATACTTGAACGACTCACATTCTAGTATTAGCTGACTGCAGCAATAGCGTTGGGCATAAACAGGCATTATAGTTGAGTTTTTAAAAAGTAGCACTCTTAACTAAGTTGCTATAAACGTCAATAGTACTATGTAGTATAAGTATCAGTTGAGAGATTGATTAAATCAGAATATTTAGCAGGTATTCTGAGCTTTTTCAAGAGGCTATAGAAATAACTATTGCAGTTTTACCCCAAAAAGGTTTGGGATTATCTAATGGCCATTGGTGGCCCAAAGTCATGGACAATGGTATGGTGTGATAGAGGTCTCTGTAGGCCAGGGTTGCACATCCTGCTGCCCTGCAGGTGTTTCTGGACTACAACTCCCATCAGCCCCAACCAGCATATGGGATGATGGGAGGTGTAGTCCAACAACATCTGGAGGGCCGCAGGTTGTGCACCCCTGCTATAGGCCATTGGCAAGAAGTTACAATTCCCTTTCCTTGCTTCTGTGCTACTGCCCCCTAGATCTCATACTACAAATAGTTTCTGTCCTTGCGGAAAATGTTCTACCAAATCCCATTATGCTCCTTTGCCCCTTTTTTAGTTTCCAGTGCCTTTTTTTTATACACACACAAACACATACATCTTTTGCTCAAGTTACTTACTCCAAATTATCTTCAGTATGTTGGTTTTCCACACTATTCCAGCTGATGATAACGGGTTGTATCCAGTTAAGTCATCTGGTTAGTGCCATGACTTCTGCCTAGGGACTTGGCCTTCCTCTTTCTGTACCCTGCACCAATCTGTTGGGGAGCAGATTTGGAGGGGCGCAAGGCTAGTTGTGAAAGTGGAAGTCCTTGCACCGAAACAAAGACTTTGTTGGATGCAACCCAGTGGTGGTAAGCACAAGTCATAAATTAAAAGTTGCTAATCCTTGCCTTCAAGTTCCCAGTCTAATAGATATGATAACAAAAGGAACAAATTCTCTCAATCCCCCTTGGACTGCAGAGCTAAAGGGCAGTGCATGCTGGCCTCTGCTATAGGTTGGGGACCAAAGGTCCCTGGGAGGCTGCACTCCCATCCCATCAGCCAGAGAAGGAGGAGGAACTTTGCTTCCCAGGACACTGCTGGAAAGAATACTGAGCTCCATGTGCTGTGGGGCTGCAGAAGAATCGGGGACAAAGAGCCACCAACTGCTGTTCAAGCAAGAACACCATCAAGGTCTGGCCAGAAATGGATAGCAATGCCTCCTCACGGTTGCTGATTCATGCTGGCCTTAAATAACTGGTGACCTCCTCTACCTTTTCACTCCATTCCCCTTTCCATGTGTGACTTTGTCTTTTTAGCTAATAAGGATTTTTTGCTGCACATTTTGGTTTTGAAATTTATTATATCTTTCATTGTCACCTGATAATTTAAAGCCAGTCCGAAACAATATATACGGAAATTAATAAAAAAAAAATTGCATAAATCTCTGCTACCTTATAAGGGAAATGAAAAGCAAATGAACTATTAACTTGCAGACACTTTAGTAACGCAAAAAGAGAGTGAAAAACCACAACCATTTTAATACATACCCTATGAAATAAATTTTCTCCAATTTTTCTCCCTACTTATTCTTTAAATAAGTCAGTTTTGCCATTGACAGCATATGTGGAAAACCTTTTCATAGCCATTTAGTTGCAGATGGAATGGATGGCTGCCTCCACGTTGACATATATATAATCGTAGCAGCAGTTATCATATATGATATTAATTCTTTGTTGCAGTCTTACTGGACGCTTCACATAGTTTAGCAAGAACATAAGTGGTTGGCAAGGAACTTTGTACCCAAAGATTTTGATTATTTGAATACTGATCTTTTCCCAAACTTTTTTTTGCCAGTTCCCACTTCCACCACACATGATAAAAAAGTCTCCCAATTATATTCCACATTTCAGACATTTCAGTGAATAGTTTTTATTGATTTTTTAAAATTCCGACAGTTGTTGTATGCCACCTACTCATCCATCCGCAATTTTCTCTTACCTTCATATTCAGTGAAAATTTATGTCCAGCTTGTAAGCTTGACAGCCGCCCTCAATTGATGTGAGCTACTATGGAAGAAAATATTGTCTGGGATTGAAGTGGGATTGAAATGTAGGAAATAAGTAGGAATGGGAAGGGAGAGGAAAGCAAGCATTGGAGCAGCTTCTCATTCACTGGTGGATGGGTGGGACCAAGTTGCCAGGATGCTATTCCTGGGAGGCAGGGGTTGCAGTCTTCTAGTGGCTGTTGGTTCCCTGGTCAGTGGTGGAGTTCAGAGTATGCCTCCCCTAAGTCTCTGCAGTCCCAAAGAATTACGATTATTATTTTCATAGTGCCTTTCAGAAAGCATCTATTAATGCAGAGTTGCACAGCCCATTGACATCAGCTGAGAGTTACTGTTGTAAGTTGCAGCTCTTACAGTGATGTTATTTGCAGGGACTTCGGGCTGGTCCTTGTCCACTAAGGCCCCACTTCGTTGGAATTCCCTTCCCAGGGAAGTAAATACTCGTTTTTGCTGTCATTGGAAGGCATGTAGAAAGCCTTTTCCTGTTTACACCAACTGCTCCCCCACACACACCAAAAAATTCCCCATTAATGTACAGTACTGCTACACTTTTTGTTTTATTTCCTATTTTTATGGATTTTTTGCTGCTTCAAATATAATTAAAAGAAGCGAGACAACACTAGAAAATAAAAATATCACTGATTTTCTTCATCATCCTTGATAATCAATATGTACAAGCTATTCTCTGTGGAGTTTATTCTAGGTTTACCAGTCACGTTTAGGAAAAGATTTAGTACCACTGTCATCATTCACAGGAAGCACCTTGCTTCCCAGGAAGGGCATTTTTCCCCTCTCAAATGCTAGTTGGCATTCTCCACTTGAGCAATACACAGCACTGGCCTCGGCCATCATTCACACCTTGGACAATTGTGCTAATTTTTTATTAGCTACTCATGAAGCAAAGAGCACAGTATTTTGTTCACAGCTTTTCCACCTAGGGATTGGAGGTCCATTTTTCTCTCACTGCACCAGTGGATCTGCAAAGTGCTCCCATAGCCTTTTTCTTCAGGTCCTCTTTAGCTGAAAACTGACGAAGCAAAGGGAAAGCAAAGGAAATTGTGTTTGTGTTGGTGCCAGTTAATCATGCTAGCCCAGCAGCATTTATATTCACACCACTGTAAGAAACATGCAGTTAATTGGTGAATTGGAGATATATATATATATCTGAGGAGACTTCCTGCAAGATTTAATTCACTAATAGAACTTCATTGGAGTCCAAGCCTGTATCATTGATAAGATTTTCACTAAGCACAGTATTTTTTATTTTTAAATGCTGAGTATATAGATGATCAAAGAAACACAATTGCCTTCCCTTAGACTAAATGACTAGTTTATATAGGGAAGTGCTCTTTATCAACTTTGGCCAGGATCCAGAGACACGTGTCTGTGTACATGCACATGCTAATCCAATAAGAATACTTAGCATTTGTATGATGCTTTAAAGCAGCCTTCAACCAATGTTTTTGGACTGCAACTCCCATCATCCCTGGCGATTGTCTAAGCTGTCTTGGGGAGCTTGTACTCCCAACAGCATATGGGAACCAAAGATTCCAAAGGCTACTTTAAAGTGTTGAGAGCATTTCACAATATTGTTCTGTATTCCATTCAACAATCCCGTAAGACTGGTCAGTTTTATCCTCATAGCTCAGATGCTGGGCTGAGACCAAGAGAGTGGCATGCCAAGGGCTACATACTGAGTTTGTGACAGCGGCAAGGTGGGAAGTATAGGCTTCTGATTCATAGCTCGATGTATTAACAACAAAGGAGGGTGGTTTGTTAGGTTTTCTTCCTCCAGCTTGTAGCCCTTGGCCCTTCAGGTGCTTCCCCTGCTATTCAGCTGAATCTTATAGGGAGACCAGTTGGGGACTGATGGGCAGAAGAGGGAGATGGAAGATACTATAGTATCGGGCTCTGGATTCCTCTTGTCTTGTATGTCAAATGCTGTAATTGATCGGACAGAATGTGTGCATGTGTTGCCTTTCTAGAATAAAACCTTTTATACATGAATCTGAAGGCATAGTGATGTGTTTCTTCTTTACCTAGGGGCCTCCTACTGACGCTCCTGCAGTTGACACTGCTGAACAGGTTTACATCTCTTCCCTTGCGCTTTTGAAGGTAAGTATTTGTTTTTGTTGGATGATATTTCACAAAGCCCTGCATATATCTGTCTCCACTATGAACAAGTGAGAGACTTCTGTAATCCTTGAATGTCAACAATATAATAATAATAATAATAATAATAATAATAATAATAATAATAATAATGTTTTTTATTCTTGGGCAACATTTATTTATTTATTTTTATTATTTATTCAATTTATATCCTGCCTGCCCTTCATCTGAACATCACAGCATAAGTTGTAATGTTACTATTTTTTAACATTTTCATACTTCTCAAATCCAAACAAGGTGTCTTACTGTCCCATTGTCTTTTGAATTCAAACTATTGAATTTCTGTCTGTTACTGTGGCATGTGCCCTTGGGGAAGGGGGTATTTTAAGTGGTTTGCATAGCATGGAGAAGTTTAAGCTGTTTCAAGAAAATAAGACCTTATAATTAAATAAAGCCAATTATAATACTAAAGGAGTGAATATGAATATGTAATAACTTCATACCTTTGGTGTTACATGGATATTTCAAGTGCATTTTATTACATTACAGAGCAGGGGCTGGGGAATAAGAGTCAAATGTATCCCTTGAATAGATTTTCAGTAGAATTTGATCTTCTTTCCAGATGTTGAAGCATGGTCGAGCTGGTGTTCCCATGGAAGTTATGGGGCTGATGCTTGGAGAATTTGTTGATGACTATACTGTCAGAGTGATTGATGTGTTTGCTATGCCACAGTCGGGAACGGTAAGTGCTCTTCAGTGAGTGAATGTGTTATGTCCAGTTGTACCCCAAGATCCTTTCCTTCCCTACATGTGTGATGGTTGTGAAAAGAATACTAATGGTTGTAGTATGTCTATCCAGGCTGCAAGAAATGTAGTGGTCTGTTAGGACTGGACAATGTCAGTTATTAGCTTTATATACCTGGGTTCCTCAGTGGTATAGTGCTCACAGTTTCATAGCTAGATCTGTTCAATTGCAGAAAGTATCAAGCTTTATTGTTTACATCACAGAAAGTGGGATTTAAAATATATTGTGCTTTATCCATAATAGTACTTCTGAACCTATTTATCAGATTTGTTTTGAGTGTGGCTCAGCTTATGTTTCAGATATTTCTATTACATTTAGGGGTTGCTCTGTAACTTGGTACTAATGGAACTTGAGTCTGTAGCTCATAGTTGTTCGAAGGCACAGACTACTGTGTGCTGGTTTACAAGTTACAAGGATGTGCTCCCAAATTCTATGGGATGCTGCTCCCATCTTACCTGTATATATGTATTGTGAATTTATAAGCTGCCCTTGAGCATTAAGGTTTCCAGGATTTTAAAGAAATAATAATAAAATATATAAACTTGGAGATAGTAGAATCACAAAAGCAGCAGGGAAAAGCTAAACGAGAAACCACATAAGAAGAGGCATCAAAATAAAACCATGTTGTCAATATTTTTTAATTCCTGGAATTTTTAAAAAAGATTTTAACACTGAACTTAACATCACCATTAGTGTCTGGTGAGCTTCTCTGGGAAGAGCATACCAAACAGGAGTCACCATAAATTATCCAGTCATTTTTATGGGGCCACAGCTCAGATGGGGGCCTCTCATGATAACTACAAGGTTCAGGAAGGTTCATATGGTAGAAGGTGGCCAGGTTCATAGCCATTTAGGGCTTTATAGGTTATGAATTGTAGTCTCCCATCCAAGTAGTCTCCCATCCAAGGAATTGGAACTGCTGAAGTACACTGCTCCAATTCCCAAATCACTCAGCATATCTAGTACAATTCCATGGTTGATGTTTCTGAAAGCTGCTACTGTTGAGATGTCCAAGTAACCAAGGCAGTTTCTGTGCCTTAAATCAGCTATCATGGATCTGGATAATTTTCATCCAAGAGTCACTGAAGTTCTACAAGATATACCTATTCAAACACTTTACCCAGGAATTGAATATTGGTGAGCAGCCACTAGTTATAGTTCTTGGTATCTAAGGATGTTTTCTGTTGTGGCTGCCTCTCAAGTACTGTATCTCCTTCAAGGTGGCCAGGACTGCTTCTTCTTGCAAAGAAGTATGATTATGAGAGAGCATAATCGAGCAACCAGCTGGTCAACCACACACTCCACAAAACAACTTGTTGTGGCCCAAAGGTGTAACAAACTAAAACGTGTCCTACAGAATCAGTGGAACAATTTGTACACCTCTGTTGTCCAAGTCAAAGTGGATGTGAGCAGCTATGTCCTCTTAAGTGCTTTGCTAATAAGTCACCATGGGCTACTGAGGGTTCCCTCACATTGCCCTTATTTCACAAATCATTTGGGAAAGTTCCATTGAATGAAATTGCAAGATGGTGGAGAATCATAGTGTTGGAAGGGACCCCAAGGGTCATCTGGCCCAACCCCATGCAGTGCAGGAATCTTCTTGTCCAATGGACCTGAACCCACAACCCTAAAACTGAGAGTCTCATGCTCTACCAACTGAGCTACTTTTTCCTACTGATGTATGCACTACTGGCTGATGGAGGATGTTTTGTCACCAGCAGTAAATCTGAAACCAAGCAGCAGACATGAATACTCAGGAAGACAAAGAAAACGAGTATTGACTTCTGAATATTGACAGTGGGCTTGCCCAGAAGCCTTTTGTAAACAGAGACTACAAAAGGAACACTAAGAGGTGTACAAATTGTTCTTGGGTTTTATAAAAATATGCAAATAGTTAACATTTTATACATTTGAACAACTAAATCATCACATATTAAAATTAGGTTTGCTGGCAAGTACAATGCAGAAGCTATTGTCTGTTCATTTTGGATATGGGAGGACTAAAGTTAAATTTCTGCTCGTATATGAAGTTCACTGGGTGGCCTTGTACAAATTGTTCATAGCCTACATTCGTTCATAGCCTACATTCAGTTCACAGGGATGTTGTGAGGTTGATACTGCTCTGAGCTCCTAGAGAAGAAGGGGGAGATTAGATATGATATGTCCTATAAAATTCTTAGAATTCTTAAAAGGTGACTTCTAAAATAGCATGTAACCTTTATATACAGGAGCAGATTGTTACTATCATGAACCATTTGTGTGTGTGCAAGAAAAGTCTTTTCATAAATATCTGTAAACTAGATTATTTTTATGCTGTTAATCTGTCTCCAAATCCAGGGGGTCAGCGTAGAGGCGGTTGATCCTGTGTTTCAAGCCAAAATGTTGGATATGCTAAAGCAGACTGGAAGGTAAAGAATTTCTCAATTCGTTTTTAAAAAAGGAATACATCATGCATGTCCTAGTTTCCTCTTGGCTCATTTACTAGTACTGCAGCAGAAGCAATTGGTTTAGTCTTGTACAGCTAGTACAACATGTTACGAAAGCCTAATCATGGGCTTGCTATCTTGTGAGACTGCACACAGTAAGATTGCATCCAACTCTGCTTTTGGTTGGAACTATTGCATACATTGAATTAATATTCAGCTGACAGCTTCCACTCGTACAAAATAGACTGTTACCACCCCAACTCTGATTTTTCAGCTATGGTGGTCTGTACACCACAGTAAAGGTTACCTGATAAAAAGGCATCCAAATATTTAAACAAATTTTGTTACTTCACTTGGGGTCTCTCAACGGTTGTCATCTGCTTGCTCAAATTCTTATGCTGCAGCAGAAACTTCAAAATTACTGTTAACAAAAGATTCAACAGCTGAGCAGAACAGTGCAAATTGCTTTTTGACTGAGTTCCTAGTTCTACTGCTGGTTTAATTGATATTTAATCTTTTCCCACCGCTTTTTCCTGTCGTCCATGTCTGAAATGGACATTATGCTGTGAAAAGCCAACTTTTGGTGGCAGTGAGTTCGCAAAGGTATTTGCTGAAGTGCTGAAAGGGTAAAAACTGCATTGGGAGATGTGGTAGGAGATTGAAAAAGTGAGAGCCTGATGCTACCAATGCTAATATACAATCCCTTAATTGATTGCACTTCTTTGTCACATTTTAACGTTTTCACCACAATCTAGTGAGCAGCGATTTAAATGTTTCTAATGGTACCTTTTCACATCTCAGGGTTTCATTTCCTACTGAAAACATCCATATTTCATTGCAGCTTTTCATATTTTGTGATGATAATCTCCAAATGCCTTCTTTGTTACAGACCTGAAATGGTTGTTGGCTGGTATCACAGTCACCCTGGCTTTGGCTGCTGGTTGTCTGGTGTAGATATCAATACTCAGCAGAGTTTTGAAGCCCTGTCCGAAAGAGCTGTAGCTGTAGTGGTGGATCCCATTCAGAGTGTGAAAGGAAAGGTATGTATTAGTTTCTGTTGCATACAAAAGTATGGATGTGACAATGTTAATAATACCTCATTAATGAGATATTATTAACATTCTCATATCCATACTTCTGTAGATGGAAATAGCTCAACTTGGTCCTGTAACTGCTGTCTCTTTTTTTCTTTCCCTCTTTGCTCTTGAAGAGCCCTTCTGTGCTTACGTCGTTTATGAATCGCTTACCATAAAAGATTTGACAATAAAGACATACATAAATACAATTTCAGTCCAACACAGATGAAAAACTGGGATAGAAAATATCCACTCGAAAGCATTTTGGAATAGAAGTTTTCAGAAGGGACGGTAGAGACAATGCAATTCTGATATGTAAGGAGAGGGCATTCTAAAGGGTAGGTACCATCACACTGAATTGTCCAATTCCTACATTGTGCAGAGTGGACCTTCTGATAAGATGGCATCTGAAGGAGACCCTTTCGTGCAGAGTACAGTGATCAGTTGGGTATATAAGGGGTGAGGCAATCTTCTAGGTATCCTATCTTGAGCTGAATAAGGCTTTCAGCACCAGTACCAGCACCTTGAACCTATCCCGGTAGCTAATTGACAGCCAGTGCAAGCCTTTTAGCGGCTGCGTAACATGGTGGTCAGATTCTGAACCCAGTGAGCAGTCGAGATGCTGCATTTTGTTGATAGGTAACATCTCTTTTTTAAAAATGACACCCTAAGGCTATAATCTTAAATAAGAATTTTATATGAAATATATGAAGTGAAATTAGAAAGCGGGTCCCATTGAAACTGCACAGTTTTTCTGAATAAATGTGTTTAGAGTCAGATTAGCAGCTTGCCTGTGATGTAAGCATTTGCGATTTGCTATTTTAGCGGGGACTTTATTTAAGGCTTTTTCTTGTAACAATTGGTTGTGTACATTTGTAAGCAGCCTTGCTCTTTTAAATTGAGGCAGAGCTTAATTTTTTAAAAGAAAGAAATGAGTTCAAAGCCTGGCAACATAAATAATCTGCCCTATTAGATTGAGCTGGATTCGATCTTTCATGGATAGAAATAACACTCTTGCTTTATAGAGCAGGAACACAACACTTTGTGTGTTCCAAACGTTTCGGAATAAAAACTTTCCCCAAAGACTTTGCAGCCATTCACGTTTTAGGGTAAGTTTGCAGATGAATGATTATGTGAAATCATTATGAAAAGAGATTAACTTGCAAAGCATATTGGGTTATAGTTTGTCCTTTGTTGAAATCTCTTTTGTTCTTGTTTGGTTCTTTCTTTTTTTTATTTCTTTCTAGCCCCATATGCCATTTTCCTATTTCCTGCCTCATGACAGCAGGGAGCAGCTCTATTATCACCTTCACAGAGCTGTCTGCAAATGTGAGAGGCAATTCGATTTTGCTCAGCCACAGGGAGAGTGGATTAGAAAAACTTCAGAACATACAGAAATTGGCTAGTTGGTTACTGCTTTAAAATACTGCTGAGGTGTTTTGTTTGAGCATGCTTTTCTATTGTATTGCAGAATAGTCATTAAATTAATAGTATGTATGGCATTTATACAGTTTTATAAATATTTTAAGTATTTAAGTCTTGTGTTAATGGTTTGGGGATAGTAATGCAGGTGAGCAGCTAATATTGCTGCTGTAGTTGTGATGAGATGTCAACTTGCATGCGTATTATAATAACATAATAATTGTTGTTTGTTGTTAACTTTCATTTTGAAAAGCCAAGAATGTTGGTACAAGTGTGTTGATTTAACCAAACAAAAAGGAATTAAAAAAAATATAAGACTCAAGCAAGTATCTGAAGTGCAGGATATTATTCAGGCATATCTAGAGCTGAAATACTTTCAGAGATTCTGAGAAGAAGCACTTTGTGCATTGTTTTTGGTGCTAGTCTTCAGTTTGCCTTCAAGATCTCTCTTTTGATACTAAGTATTGTACCATTGTTTTGCGTTGTTTCAGAATATCTATAGCTTCCGTTATTATTTTTGCCCATTTAGTATCGCTTTCTGTAGTAAACATTGATAACATGTATAAAAAGTTACTTAGTCTGGTTCACCACATGTTTAATCGACAACTTTGGAATGAATAGAAGAGGAAGTAGAGTTTCTTAATTCTAATAAATACCTACATAGCCCTTGGACATGATGGGTCTGTTAATGAAACTTTCCAGTTCTGAAGCTTTCCTGGCTGCTGCTAGGCATTATGAAGCCTCTAAACTGTATCCACAGCCATTTCCTTTCTTCCGCTAAATATTTCACTTGTATCTATCTCTGCTGAGACCTGTAAGCCACATCTCATCTTGCATTTGTTGTGGGATGGGATTGAGATGTAGGGGCCTGCAATGAATCAAGCACAGAGCATGATGTTGGAATAAGCTCTTGTACTCCTCCATACCACTTACTGGAAATTTTGGGAGGGTAGAATGGTGTTGCCTGAGAAGGCTTCCTCAACCCTTCAAGAGGCCTGGATTCTTTGGAAGATGGGGGAATTGATTCACAGGTATTCTCGCTGCCAAATCTCATAGGGAATTACCTTAATATATTGCAGCAATTAGGAGAGAGGACTATCTCAAGTCTTCCTAGTTGCTAATGTATGCATGAAAAAAAGGAAGTGGGATTAGTGCTCTACTCTTCCCACACTCTGCTCCCCTTATTTTGTTGAGCTAAACTTGTAACTGATCAAACGTGTGTCCAGATAAATGACCTGCTGTGTGCGCGCTAGTAGATCATTTAAAAATAGGTAGAACCAGATCTGGCCATGAAATGGCCATGAACGTAACAAGCCAAAATCAATTAGGGAAAATTAACTTAGTTGATTTCACCGCATAAAATGATTATCTGAAGTGGACTTAATGTCTATACCTTCTTGGGGTTTTGTTTTTTGTTGTTTGTGAAGGGGCCATGGCTCAGTGGTAGAACATCTGCTTTGCATGCAGAAGGTGCCAGGTTCAATTCCTGGCATCTCCAGGTGGGGCTGGGAAAGATTCTATCTGAAACCTTGGAGAGCCACTGCTGGTCAAGGTAGACAGTGCTGAGCGACCTGGACCAGTGGCCTGACTCTGTTTAAGGCAGCTACATGTGTCCTTATTATCTGCTTATCCACTCTGATGTAAGGAAGAGATTGATGGAGATGAAGCTTCATTTTATCTCGCTGTAGAAACTATTGTACTTATCCCAGGCCATAGCGAATCCACCTCCTAAGCAGTAGCTAATAGATGTAATTTGTTGGAAGCAAGCAATCTGCCAAAGAATAACTGCACCTACCTATGATGTAACACGGTGACAAAATGACACAATGAGTGTAAAACCCCATACGGGGGTGCTTGCCACAAGTTCAGGTGCCCCATTAACCTCAGTCTGCCATATCATTTTCTGTATGTTCTGTTTTCCACCCCAGCAGCTACTCTCACTTTAGAATCTGTAGTTCCTTTGTTCTTGGTTTGTTGTGAATTATTATAAAGAGAGAAAATTGGATACATTTGAAAGTGCTTGTGCATGGCGAGGTATAGTAAGTAAAATTACAACATTCCTTTTGCAAATTGATGGTGGCTCCCCTCCCCTTGTTTTTCGTAGGGTACTTTGAAGAGGTGAGCACCATGAGACCAGTTTCCCCCCAGAGCATCTTATTTGCTTAAACCTCACATACATTTTTCCACACAATATGAGGCATCACATCTTTACTGTTCTTTTATTTTAATGTTGGTTTCTTCCTGCAGTTTTTATCTTCAGCTTGCTTTGTTCATTTGTTAGACAGTTTTTTAAAAATACTGTATTAGGTGTCCTGTTTCGTCAAAGAACCCAAAGGGATCAATTTTTAAATCATTTTTTTAATGTGCACATTAAAAGAACAACAAAAAAACTGAAACCCCAATGAAATATTGAGATTGAACATCCCCACTCTTTCTTTCAATCACCAAATGTACGCTAGTAGTAAAAACCCCAGCTTGAGCATGTTAGCTCACTGACAGAAAGTGCAGTGCTTTCATTCAGGACCGGTGGCACATGGTCTCGTCAGGTTGCCCCACTTACCCAACCTAGCAGGTGCATTCTGCACTAGCTGCTGTCTCCAGACCATCCACAAGTGCACTACAATAGTCCATGCAGAAGGTCACCGGACGTGGACAGTTGAGGCCAGGCTATTCTAGTCCAGGAACTGCTGTAGCTGGCGAACCAGCCTAAGCTGGGCATAAGCACTCCTAGCCCCAGAAGCCACTTGAGACTCAAGTGGTAGGTTAGAATCTAGGAGTACTCCTAGGCCTTAATATATTGCAGCAATTAAGGCAATATATTGCCTTAATATATGTTTTTTTCAGGGGGAGTGAAACCCCACCCCAGAAGAGGTCATCCACCTAATTCCCAGGCACAGGAACCTCCCACCCACACTGACCCTGTCTTACCAGGATTCAGCTTTAGGTTTACTCACCCCCATCCAGCTTTCAGACACCAGTCCAGCACTTGCATAGCCATTCCTTATTCAGATGCAGTGGAGAGAGAGAGAGCTGTATGCCATCATCATTACTGAATAGCAAGAGAAGGAATAGACCCTTGCAAAAGACCACAGCTCAAAAGCCACAGAGCCAAGCAACAGTCTACCAGTATTACTTTCTAGTAAGGGCCCTATGGATAGGAGCAGAACCATCTTAATACAGCATCTCCAGTAACCTCCCCCCGCCCCCAAGTAATATAAGAATGTCAGTGGTGTTAAAAGCTGTTGAGAAGTCAAAGAGAAGTAACAGTCACCCTGCCCTGCCTCTCTCTATAGAGATCATCAGTCAGGTCAACCAAGGCTGTTTTGGTTATAAAACTTGGTCTGAAACCTGCAGTGGCTTCGTGATCACCTGGATGGTAGATTTCTGACACACACAGGGACTTGTAACTGCCCACTTCATCCTCAGCAAACCAAGGAGCATTGCAGGTTCCCTTGGCCAGATTGTGTGCTTACAAGTGACCATGTAAATAGTGGTTATCTGTTGTGCTCAGAGTGCAAACTACCTGTATGCAAAGGGGTTGGATCACTTGTAGACAGCAAATAATAATAATAGTAAATAATAATAACAACAACAACAACAACAACAACAACAACAATATACTTACACCCCGCCCAACTGGCTAGGTTTCCCCAGCCACTGGGCAGCTCCCAACAGAATATTAAACAGAATAAAACATTAAAAACTTCCCTAAACAGGGCTGCCTTCAGATGTCTTCTAAAAGTCAGATAGTTGTTTATTTACTTGACATCTGATGGGAGGGCGTTCCACAGGGCGGGCGCCACTACCGAGAAGGCCCTCTGCCTGGTTCCCTGTAACTTTGCTTCTCACAGTGAGGGAACCGCCAGAAGGCCCTCGGCGATGGACCTCAGTGTCCAGGCTGAACAATGCGGGTGGAGACGCTCCTTCAGGTATGCTGGACCGAGGCCGTTTAGAGCTTTAAAGGTCAGCACCAACACTTTGAATTGTGCTCAGAAGCATACTGGGAGCCAATGTTGGTCTTTCAGGCCCGGTGTTATATGGTCTCGGCGGCCACTCCCAGTCACCAGTCTAGCTGCTGCATTCTGCATTGGTTGCAGTTGCTGGGTCACCTTCAAAGGTAGCCCCACATAGAGCGCATTGCAGTAGTCCAAGCGGGAGATAACTAGAGCATGCACCACTCTGGCGAGACAGTCCGCAGGCAGGTACGGTCTCAGCCTGCGTACCAGATGGAGCTGGTAGACAGCCGCCCTGCACACAGAAGGGATTGATCCACTTGTAGATAGCTTCAACCTTTACTCCGAAACACCTCCCCATCTCTTACTCAGTGAACCTTTCTATCCACAAGTGGGTCATCTCATTCAGAACCCAAATGCAATCCAGACTCACCCTGGTGTACCTTTACCTTCTATTGTTAAGGGGGTCTTTATCACATGGCAGGGGTCCAGACTCCCATGTAACACCCCCCCCCCCAGTGCCTCCCCTTCAGAATTACCCCAGTAGACTGGCCCATTCCTTTCTTTATTTGTCCCAACCCAGATAGCAGTTGCTGGGAACTAGGACCAGGTGGTTCCCCCCCACCCCCCCGACAGACTTTTCTTTTTATTTCAAGCAGTCCAGGCAGCAATGGCTGCTTTGGGGGAGCAGAGATGGGTGTCGCTTGCAGCTGCCTCTCATTTGATCGCCACATGCTCCCTGCTGTCCTCTCCTCCTGCATCTTCAGAATGTTGGCCCCATATACATGATGCTGTTACTGCACTTTGGGCCTTGATCCACTTAGCTATAGAGGTAATTGTACAAGACATAGAGAGGGGTGAGGGAAAGACTTAATGGGATGGCAACATACAGAGAAACATTCTTGTGCTGTCGTAGGAAATGACACCTCCTTTTTTTCATCCAAGTGCTGACTCATGGGCGAACCATGATTGAAAGCTGAATATGGGTGAGCCCTCCGAATCAAAATCCTGAGCTGAAGAACTAACAATGGCTGGCAAATCTTGTACTCTGTGGGAGGTTTGGACTCCCACCATAAATAGTTCCCTCCTCCGGTTGGTTGTCATGGAGTGATTTTGGTTCTGCATCTACTGCTAGCGCTGGCCAGGTATTCTTACAATGAGTTCCATCTGTTGAAAGGGCTGTGTCCTTGTGAGCTAGATAGGACCCGGCCACTGCAATCCATTCTGCCTTCAGTTTGTACAGATGGGGCAGCCCACCTCTTGCTTGGCAAGGCAACTAGGTGCACTTTATGTCACTGCTACAAAATTTCCATTGGATCCCTAAATGTTGCCATAGCAAAAGTCAAAGGGCAGATTCTAGTTTCAGAAAGCCATGAGCAGTGTGCTGTAGAAGCAAGAGCCCTTCCCCACAATTCCCGCCCTCTTCCCTGGCATCAACCTAGAGTGCCTTCAAAACACTGCCATCTTTGTGCCAAGTTCCAGTTGCAGAGGGTGCGCAGGTAAGTGATCTTGTTTGCTGTTCCCTGGTTATGGAACTGACTTCCTGTAATCCAGCGCCTGAGGATCTTCCAGAAATAGCTAAGGTTGTCTTTTGATGGCTACAGTTCAGTCAGAGGGCATTATCAGCTTCACTGTTATTACTTGTAGCAGAACATAATTTATAGCAGTGTTTGCCACAGTGCAGTAAGTTGTTCCTGTGTGGAGGCAGGGAAGAAGCAATAGTGGGTTTAGGAAAGTAGCCTTTCCGGGGGCCTGTGCCAAGGCTTGAAGCACAGAGCTATGGTGCTGCAGACAGTTTTGCCTGAAAGCAGCCATCATGGGTCACCACTGTGCACTCTGAACCATTCAACTAGTGCTGCCCCCTCTTTTATTTTTGCGTTTTCTGCTCCCCCCCCCCACCGCTGCTTCCTCTTTCCCACTGTTCCCTGCTAGTGGTTTCTGATCTCTTCAGTGCACTGTACCTGACCCTATAGTTGTTTCCTTTTGCTCTCAAATGATGCCGCAGGGCTATCTTTCCCCTATCTCACAGTACATTTGCTAATACTTCTAAATCCTGCTTTCCTGTCATATTTTGTGCTTTTTCAGGTTCTAGTTTTTAAAAGAGTTTTTGTTTGTTTGTTTGTTTGTTTAAAATTGTGTCTGCTATATTGTAGCATGCAATAAGTTTCTTCATGATGTAATTTGTTTTGGTGAGATTGTTGTAGATTCATCCATAGTGCTTTCCTGTATGTAAATTGCTTCACAGCTTAGGAGTGTTTACATGCAGAGTGTTAATCTATACACTGAATAGTGCCCTTTCTTAAGCATTTTATTCTTACCTGTCTTCTGTCTAACTGGCTTATTTGGACAAATACACAGAGCTTAGTGAATTGGTTGAGAGAAATGCCAACAAAATCAAGAAAACTTAATGTTGATTTCTCTGGCCTTTCTGCATTACTGTGGGCTGTGTGACTGACACATTCAGATCTTCTGTAATGCAAGAAGTTGACTTTGGCACAGATCTTTGGCTGCTTCTAAATGCAACTTCAGTTCTGTCAAGTTGACAACTTGGATCTGAAGCCTAACTCGTAAGCTCTCTTTTCAGTCATATCACAAATCCTCAACTCTAGTACTGACTCCAATGTCTCGCTTTTCCCCACCCTCCATTATATTTCAGAGTGTTTTTAAGGAAGGAGTACAAAGCTTGCCAAAGACATTAGTCTTTGTAATATCAGCATGCTAGACTACCATCTTTGAGCAGTTATATAGATTGTATGCTTAAGGCACATTTCTGACATACATTAAAGCTAATTTCAGTAATACAGCAACTTACGTCTGAACATTTTTCTCTCTTAACCTCACAAATCTTAAACACATGAGTAGGTAACGGTAAAATTAGCCCTTGGAAACACTTCCAGAAATGAGCAGTTGCTCTCACCAGATTGAGTGGTTTTAATGCCACTCTATTCTGCCATGGTCAGACCACACTTGAAGAACTGTGTCCAGTTCTAGGTGCCAGAGTTTAAGAAGGATGTTGACAAACTGGGACATGTGCTGCAGAGGAGGGCAACAAAGTTGATCAAGGGATTGGAAGCAAAGCCTTATGAGGAATGGTTGAAGGATCTGGGTATGTTGAGCCTGGAAGAGAGGAGACAGGAGATATGATAGCCATCTTCAAATATCATAAGGGCTGCCACATGGAAGATGGAGCAAGCTTATTTTCTCAGGCTTAGGAGAGTAGGACCCAAAGCAATGGATTCTGACTAAACATCAGGAAGAACTTTCTGACAGTAAGAGCTGTTCGGCAGTGGAATGGACTCCCTTGGGAGGTTATGGACTCTCCTTCCTCGGAGGTTTTTAAGCAGAGGTTGGATGCCCATCTGTCATGGATGCTTTAGTTGAGATTCCTGTATTGCAGGGATTTGGACTAGATGACCCTCTAGGTCCCTTTCAACTCTACAATTCTATGATTCTGTGGCATAGAAGCTGATACAAGTTGTGATGCTAGTTCACCTTGCACATGAAACAATGTATATTGTGTGTGTGTGTATTGTGAAATACACATGCACAAGTGACGTAACCTAAATGTTAGCTTTGACGAGATATTCTCAGCTAGATTACTGTTTCTCCCAGAACTCCATTCAGGTGATCCATGGAAAGGTTTTGGAATCGTCAAGAATTTCTGACTCCAGCTCTGCACTTGATAGATTCTCTCCCCTGCCCCACAGATGATGGATAATCAAGACTGTTTTGATTAGGGCTGGATTATCGAACAGGCTAACAAGGCCCTAGCGTGGACCTAAGATTTTCATAATATGGTGTTGGTGCAGCCTATTAATTTTTCCCTTTGAAAAATCAGTTAAAGTGGCCTTTCTCAGCATCCTGGCTTAGGGCCTGTGGTTTTCATAATATGGCCTTGGTATTGATACTGATACTGACACTGAAGAGATAAGCTCATTTTATTAAGTGGTCAGCAGAGACCCTAGCAATTTTAAAGTCGTCCATAGAGGGGGGAAATTAGAACTGCTGGCTTATGCCTTGTTAGAAAGTGCCAGCTTCACAAACCTTGTTTATGATAATAAACCTCAGACATGTACCAAGGGCATTTGCACAATTTACAGAACTACATCTAACAAGTGGCTTAATTCAAGTGATCAAACCATAGTTTGGAGGATCACGAATAAGCCATGGATTCACACATAGGCTCCTCACCCCATCCCATATGACGTGTGGCTTTCCCCCCCTGTTTAGTACAGTCCATATTTCTCCACGTTCTGAATATGCAAAGTTTGGGAATCAGTTTCAGAAATCTGTTGGCGTGTTTCTGATTCTCCTTTTGGAAGGCAAGCACTTATCAGTTAGCTAATTCAGACATTGTGACAAACTTTGGTTAGTGCTAAGTAGGTAATGGGGGAAACCATACGTGAGTAGACTGGGAAAAGGGGAAGGGAAGTCTTGTGTGATTAGGAGGGGAATGAGGAAGTGCATGCAACTGGGGCTCATTTATGTTCCTCCAAACAGTGATTCCATGGTTTGGTCGATCATCTTAGTAGTCTCAATGTGGGTTTCCTAAACTGACCATTAGTAGCAAATTGCATTCCAGTACCAGTTTTATCTTCTGTCCTGTTAACTTTTAACGTATGTATAATGCACATCTAAGAATTTTTAAAGGTTTTTTTATTTCATCTTTTAGTATGTGAAGATGAGATGTGTGTTTGTCTTCTAGGAGCTGAAAAAGAAATATCTTACTTAACAAATGCAATTTTTGTATGCTGAATAGTTTACTTTTATGCAGTGGTACTCAATTAGTGCTGTGCTTTAGATAAGACGGTAGTGCTAGCTTACTTAAATTCGAAGGGTTATTTCAGTTTATTTCCCTGTCCTAAACCAAAAAGTTCCAAGTAGACTTTTTGTTTAAAAGTATTAATTTTTAAATGCCTTTTACCATGGTGGATGTAGAATAATCCATCTATCTTCATTAAGGCAAATAGCCTTGAAACTTGCGGTTTTTCTGTTTGTGGCTTAGAGATGCATGCCTTTGCTTGTCAAGATAAATGTATTATTCTGTAGCTGTCTCCCCTCTCAGTATGGGTATTCAGGTTGCATAGTAGACCTGACCCAAAGCAAACAAATTCTCCAAGGATAAAGAATAAAATGTGCATACTCCTAGGAATCTCTTTTCCAGAGCTAAAATTGACATTTTTATAAATAATTTCCATGTAGCAGACCTCAAACTCACAATCACAGCAATTCAGTGATATGCATTTGGCATGAGTCAGTTTCTGTTCTTAGTGCTTTTCATTGGAAATGGCATAAAAAGTAAGATTTCTCTGAATTTTTTATGCTGTGGGCTTACAGGGGACCAAAGATGTTCTTCAGTTGTGGTTGTCTGAGTGTGCATGGCAGCATAAATAACGAAGTGGTCATAAACCTCAGCTGCGCTTCAAGGGTCATGTGTTCCATTTAATTTTTAAAGAATTTAGAAACCAACTAAGCAGTTGATAACAGGTCAGTTGCAGGTGATAAAAGAGATTTTAGATGGGACATTACTTCTTCTGCACCTAGCATAGCTACATTATATCCTTTGCAAAGAATTTCTTATGCATTATTATGTTTCTTCATAAAACTGTGGCATGAACAATAGCTAGATGACTGAATTGCAACACAATACATTTTTGAAAGAGCTTCTGTATGTCGTAGGGTTTAGTGGGGGGTTGTTGGGTTTTTTGCTGGAAATATATGCCAGAAATAGCTTCTTTTCTGAGTAACTGAACTGAATTAACTGATTGCAGTTAATCACCTTAGATGTTAAATCTGTATTTGTAGCATGCCCTCCCCGTGAAATGTTGTTACCTCTGATTGTGTATAGATATTTTTAAAAGTTTTTTTATTTTTTAAAAAATACCTTCAAGTATATAAACACTTGTAAAAGCTATAATTCCACTGGAAGGTCTTGGATTCTTAAAAACACAACAATATATTAGAAAATAGATTTTAAAAAGTAGTAAAAATATTCCCTTTACTGGTCTATAATTAATCATATTGAAAGAACTTATTAGGATGATAGCTTGTTAAATGGATTATTTCATGATTTGGATAAAATGTGTATAGATGGAAATTCAGTTGAATGCTAGATTTTGACAAAACAAGCAGTATCATGGACCTTTGATCAGAGGACAGCCGTTGATACAAATATGGAATGTAGCTGTTTTTCATAAAATTTTAAAACCAACACAGATGTATACATAGGTACAGTTTTTAATTTGTATTGGCAGCTTCAAAATATTTAGTATCTATTTCTAAACATTGCAGTTACTAAACATGGTACTGAATTCCATGCATCCCACAAACTAATTATATTTGCAAGGTCAGAATGAATACACATATTCAGAAAAAAATATAAGGTTATATAAATGTGTCTTCTACTTGGCTGTTATATCACAGTTTGTTGATCTGGAGTATAATGTGTACAATTCACAAATTTGTCTGATAACAGAAAGTGGTGTGTGATTGTGTTTATTTTACTAACCAGTATATTCACAGCAATCACTTCCAAATATCTCTCCAGTAAAGATGTGTTAATTACAAAACAGACAAGGTCTTCTATTATATTAAAGCTACTAACAAGAAGACAGCAGGAATCACACATGTAAATAGCATCATCAACCCCTATTTTAGTCCTCTGTTTTGATCTGTGAGTTGCGCATAGACCAAAGGTGCTATTAAAGACTCACTGTATGAAATAGGCAGCATTATATGAACAAAATTTATTCAACAAGAAAACAGACCTTTAACATGAATTTAACAAGCCTGAGAAATTATAAACTATCATATGCTGCAGATTCATGCAGTGATAATAAACAAAAAAAAAGGAAAGGAAGAGGTTTCCTTAAGCTAGCCAAACCGCTAATGGTTTTGTTATAAGCTGTCTACTGTTGAAGTGACCTCTGCAAAGTCTCAAGGCACTTGCACTAGGCAGGATTAAATCGTCCAGTTGGTGAAAAGAATTGCTGTATAGGACAACATGTAATAACAAAAAGCCACCTTGATCTGTATACTTTTTTTTCCACTTTGCTGTTACACAGAGCTCTTTATTCCCCCTTCTTAGGGAGAGGTAATTGTCATGTAAGCCTTTAGGCTGCATTTTAATGCAATTATGCATTGTCATGGTCAGAAGAAATTTAGAGGTCTAAAGAACTCTCAAGTCCTTGCAAAAACGGAAGTGATATATCAATTTATTTCCTCTTGAATTGACCCTTGTGATATTGGCGTTCCAACTACTGTGTCCACAAAGTTTCCGCTGCTAAATTTAAGGTGACTGCACTGCTGTCACCGCATCACAATGAAATTCAAAGTACACAAACCTAAAGAAGGCTTGAGCTACTGCATATATCGCAAGTGCTCACCAGGGCTTTATCCCTGAATCTTACTGTAGCATAATTAACACCTCCTTCATCCACTGCTCATTAGTGCACTGGACATTAATGAGCCTATTTATTTTGATACGATTATCTAAAGAAGGGACTCGTTTGTTCTTGCTGCGCAAAAAAGCAATTATAAGATTGCATAGAAATCAAAATGTAGGGTGTGTTGCTGCATTTATGCTTTTTTATTGCATCCCAGATCTAATTTTAGGTTGCAGGTTGTTGAGCATGTTAGTTTTCCTTAAGACAGTTGCTATAGTGATCACAGTGAATTCCTTTAATCTTGGTGTAGTTAAAATATTCTTTTTCTCATTGGTTGTAATGATGCTGTTAAGTAGAAGCAAAATGTCACTCAAGTCATATTTTTGTCCAGTAGTTTATTAGAAATGACTTTCTTAATTCCAAATCAGATGCCCTTATGCAATTGCTGTGCCTAGGCATAAAAGCCAGTACAGTGGTACCTCGGGTTAAGAACTTAATTCATTCCGGAGGTCCTTTCTTAACCTGAAACTGTTCTTAACCTGAGGCATGCTTTCGCTAATGGGGCCTCCTGCTGCCGCTGCGCCGCTGGCGTGCGATTTCCGTTCTTATCCTGGGGAAAGTTCTTAACCTGGAGCAACTGCTTCCTGCTTAGCAGAGTTTGTAACCCGAAGCATCTGTAACCCAGGGTACCACTGTATAATTTTCTCCAGGGACATATATCTGAGCACTGATCAACAGCACAGTCAAATAGGCAGACCACTGGTGATTATCAGAGACATAGAATTGCCTCTGTTCGAGGAGCAGCAAGGAAATTGATTTGAAACAAAGCTATTGGATGAATGTCCAGGGTTCCCAAAGCGTTTGTGCTTGTATAGTTCCACCACAAACCACTAGATGGCTAAAGGCATTTCCATAAACGTTACCCAAATATGACCTTGTAAAAATGGGCCGCTGTAATCATAACACAGTTGTAAAACCTGATGCTTGGCCATTGATTCAGCATCGTTTGCAGCAAGCGATTTTGAAAAGTGCATATGGAGCTCAAATACAAGTAGAAGCAATTTTGTTAGAAAACGCCATTGCAGTCTTGGATGGCTTCCATGTTTTCTAGTGGAGCAGTCAGAATCCATTCTAGGAGTGTAAGTGTTAGTACTCTAAAATATGAAGCACCTTTTGAATCTGATACACTGCCAAGTAATTGTATCTTTATCCTCAGTGTAAATTCTTTATTTGTGTTGTTTCCTATCAAGTAAGCCTCTAGAGGACTGCAGTGTAGAATATTTAGTTATGTTTTTACTTACTTTTTATTTATACTCCCTTTTTTGCTGTGGTTGGGCATTTGCAGGTGTTCATAAATTAAAACATCTGGTTCAAATGCTGCTTCAAGAGTTTGGGAAACTGATAAGAAACCAACGTTACATAAAAAATACTAGATTTATAACTGAAATTTAAAAGCTGGCGCCGATCTCTAAAATACTAAGCTTTTGTAGTTGCTGTAACGGTGTCATACAGTTGCCTCAATCTAGGAAGGGAAATCTAGGCATGGGAATGACTTTTCACAGGGAAATCATCTTTCCATCATTTTTCTACTGCATGCATAACAGGGACACGGGTACCAGCAACTGCTACACACACACACACACACACACACACACACACACAATTTATCAGAGGGGTACATGGCCAGTGTCTCCACAGTGTCAGCTGTGACTTTATTTCCTTCCTTGTCAGTTGATCAGCTCTGATAGTACAGGAGATAAGAGCTGGAAAAGGAATAGTGTCTGAGAAGCAACAGCCACAAGGCTGTTGCGGTGGTGGGTTGTTTAATTTATGACCCATCCTTCACCATAAGACACAAGTGGGTTACAACCATTTAAAATACAGTGTTAAAAACAGTTTTAAACCATTAGTCACAAGGATAGAGTGGGTCCTAAATATAAATATACAGTGGTACCTCGCGTTACATACGCTTCAGGTTACATACGCTTCAGGTTACAGACTCCGCTAACCCAGAAATAGTACCTCGGGTTAAGAACTTTGCCTCAGAATGAGAACAGAAATTGTGCGGCGCCTGCACGCCAGCAGCAGGAGGCCCCCATTAGCTGAAGTGGTCTTCAGGTTAAGAACAGTTTCAGGTTAAGAACGGACCTCCGGAACGAATTAAGTACTTAACTTAATTTTGGGTGTCAAAGGCCAGGATAAGAGGTACATTTTTTGCATACATTGGAAACTGTATAGTGAAATTGCCAGATGTACCTCTGTGGGGAGGGAATTCCACAACTTAGGGGCTAATACTGAAAATGCCCCCTCCTGGGCTGTTAAGCACCCCACCCCACCCTGGGTCCCAACCTCTTGGTACATATGCGCTTGGGGTTTTCTTATCAGGATTATACAAAGCATCAAGCCACCTCTTACATACTCTCATTTCTTTCTTCTCTTTTTAGTTGCTTCTGTTAGGAAGCACACAGTATATGCATATATTTGGATCTCACTGTCTGGAAATCTAAAGTAACTTTTTAACCCGGGTGGGGAACCCATCAAGTAAACGACAATGTTAGGTTAAAATTATGTATTTAATTAGGCCAGATAATCATAAGGATAGAAGGAATGTGCAGGTATCTCTGCCCCCCTCCGAAACCCCACCAAATATTTTTGCCTTCAGTTACATCTTACATTGGACAACTTCAGTTACTCTGTGGTACTAATGTGCAAATAATAGTTCTTTTTTGCAGACTACCCAAAAGAAATGGCGTGGTGCTAAGCTATTGGGCTTGGGGTGCAGGATAGTGCTAACCCCTTTCAAGAAGCAGCAGGGGGCTGAGCATGGTGTAAATCTACCTACTAACTCCTGAGTTTTCATTCATTTAATGCAAGTTCTAAAAAAAATGTAAGACACCTTTGTCCCATACTGTTTGGGGACTTTTTCTTATAGAACTAATTCCCCAAACTTTATACTTTTGATGGTTTGCTGTTTGTATAAGGACACAGGTAGTTGCCTAAATCTGAGTCACATCAAAGATCCATCTAATTTAATATTGTCGACACAGACCTGCAGTGGCCCAGGGTTTCAGGCAGTTTTTTGTAGTCTTACCTAGAGATGCCAAGGATTGAATCTGGGACCCTTTGCCTACAAACTGGTGTTCTGCCAGTGAGCTACAGATGTCCCCTTTTGAGTTAATATCAGCCAACAGGGTTGTCACCCTTTGTAAGTCCTCCAGCAACCACATTAAGCTATGCAGGTTGCGAGCTGAAATGTGGGAGAAGGGTTCTTCAGCGTCTCTTTTTCTCTAACTTCATGATGATGAGAACTTTGTTAATTAGACAGGACTTAAACATTTGATGTGTCATTCATTAGCAAGTGCTTAAAAAAACTTTGGTTCAGGAGTACAATTTATGCTTTTAATTTTCTGAACAATAGAATCTATAGTTGATGCTTACAGTGCAGTAGGAAAATTCCTATTTGTAGCTGTGTTTGTTACTCATTGGCCTTATGGCAGTGCTTACAATGAAGAATGACTTGCATCACATAATATTCCAACAATATACTCTTGCATTTGTTATTTCTCTCTTCTGCCATGTAGGCATAAAGGATATGTAATCACCCAAAAGTTGTTTGTTCCACCCTCTGATCCAAACAGTTTAAACTCTTGTTTGCTGCCCTTTGGTACCCAGCTGAAGAGCAGAACCGAACAGCTTCTGTAGCTTGGGGATTGAAAGAAGATAACCTCTGGATTTGTTTTGCTGACCTCTGGATTTCTTTTTAGCTCTACTTATTTCAGTTCTGTGGGGTCTCATTGGTAATTCTAACCTTTGAATCATTGATTCTCCTTAGTCCATGCAGCTTTCCTACATTTTGGGAGGCCTCTTAGGAATGAATCCTGGCTGCCTCTCTCCTGTGCTCTTAATGTTTGCTTGGAGTCATAGTCTGATTCAAGCGCTGCTTCCACACAGAAAACATTTGCATTAGGAAGAAGCCTAAAAACTTTTGAGTGGTTCCTCATCCTGTGATCTCATGCACATCCTATTTAACTTGCCACTGGCATTCCCCTAGTGGAGATGTGTGGTTGTGTGTTGATGCACTTGTCTGTTGGTATCATTTCCTAAGGCTCAGTGTGGGTTTTTGCCATGCTATTCCTACAAAATTGTAAAGCTGCAATATGCTCCTTTCCTTCAACAAGCTTTGCACATTCCTAGTAAATAATCCTGCAAAATAGGCTACTGTTATTATCCTCTTACCATGGATGGAGAGCTGAGAATGTAGCTGGTAGTTGAGGTGAGATAAACTGGGAGTTTTAGACTCTCAGCTCACACTACACTACACCGATTCTCTTTGCTTTGAGAAAAAGGACAGTTGGATCACTGCTAAGCAAATCAGCTTGAAGGACTGAGGGCTAAATTGAAAAACAACTTGTCTCTAGCATTGTAGTCCTTTGTGTTGGTTGCCCCACATCAGAATTTGCAGTGTCTGTTTTCGACCCACCGGGTCCTTTCCGAAGACTCCATAAGCAAAATCAAGAGTCGCCTTTATGGCTATGGTTTGAGAGCTCTTCAGGATTAAACAAAAATAAGTAAATAACAAAACAAAAACACCACCCCGAAAGTTGCCCACTGTATATTTACAGTTGTAAGTGACCTTGATTTTTGTTCCCTTCCCTTTTTTGGTTTTGCTTGGTTTTGCTCCTGGCCATGACACTGACAAGGTCGTCATAATCCATCCGACAGTTTATAGCCTCTTTCCTACTTGCAGGGAGTAAAAAGCATCTGACTAGAAGGGAATACATGGGGAAAGTTCCTTGCTGACTATAATTTTGTTGTCATTTCAAGTATTCCAGTGGTATAATTGATGTGACAGGACTGGGCTTTAAACATGGTCCCTTAGCTTGTGCTCACTTTCAGATTTAGTTTCCCTGTCATTCAATTTGACTAGGTAAGATGTAGGTGACAAACATGTTTTTAAAGTTACTGTGTGTGTGTGTGTGTGTGTGTGTGTGTGTGTGTGTAAACTTAAGCCATCAAAATAAGAGTGTATAAAACTTAATTTATTTTTTCTCAACTGCCCCAAAAATGTAGTAATTGGTGTCACTTTACAATACTCAACCGAGTTGGTGTGCTGATGGCAGAGACAGCAGGTGGTTCTTTTTTATTAATATTATAATTAAATAATTTTCTGGAGAAAGGCCAAAAACAGATGTGAGTTGATCGTGACTTCTCCACTGTTACTTGGTGCAATCGCTTGTATTTTCTACAAAGAATTGACTTTGGCGTCTTGTTTTTACAGGTTGTTATTGATGCTTTCAGATTGATCAATGCTAATATGATGGTCTTGGGACATGAACCAAGACAAACAACTTCAAATCTGGGTCACTTAAACAAGCCATCTATCCAGGTAAATTCAGTATTTGGTATATATGTGTCTATATATATATATTTATAATACATATTATTAATATTTGCATACACACACACTTTTTTTTTGGTAAATGTAATCTTCCTCCATAACCCTATCTGATCACTGAGGTCATTAGACAAGGCCAACATGTTTCTTATATTTGTCCTATCATTACTTGGAGCAGGGTATTTAACAATAAAACTCCATCTTTATGGAACATTCTTCCTCCTGAAATTAGATAGGTACCAACTGCAGTTTGTTTTTGTTTATCCAGGCATTCCTAGGTTGTTAATATCAGCTTTGTAGGCCACCAGCCTTTGTGTAAGTTGTTGAACTGTATTTTAAACATTTGTTAATTTTATATTTCATTTTATAATACACTGATTTGAGCATTTTGAATATGAAATGGCTTATAAATACAATAAATTACATTTATAAAATACTGACTCTTACTATAGAGATGCAATATTACAGCCAAAGTTAAGAGATTTCATTTTGCATAAAGATCTATAGTGACTCATTTTTACGGCTGCCATGCCCCTTGTTTTTCCAGAGATCACATGCAGATTTATCAGATTTTTATAGGTGTGTGTTAGAATAAATTATTTCCACATCGTTTTGTTTTAAACACTGATGCTTCTTCTGTTCTCTCTTTCTGTTGGTCCTAGTTTTTCATATAAGTGCTGGGTTCATAAGGGCAGTTCCATTGAATCATCAAATTAATTGCTTGGAATATCTCTGCTGACTTCAGTAGCTCTGCTAAACAAATCTGTACTTATGGGGTTATAGCTTGCCTCCATTAGCACTTCAATCTTAGCTCTTCAGAAAATAGGCCTTTTTGGATATTTCCTCATAACCTGAGATTTTATTTGCAGTGTGATCCAAAATACAAGTCGTGGGTTTGCAGGCATCCTCCCATGTTCTCTTTAACCACGGGTAGAAGATAAAGGGGATAATTCATTCTATCCAAAGTTGTGCATGTAAAAAGCTTAATAGTCAAGTTACATGCAATTTGTATGTATCTTGGGGTTTTTTAATGATTTTTTTTTACTGTCTACAGTAAACCACTTAGAGAACTTTTGTAGCCGTAAGGCATATAATTTTTAAAAATAAAAACAAACGCCCTATGTTATTTTATCTTGTAAGAATAATCTGGCATTTAAGACTACAGTTCTTGGAGTTGGATATAAACAGAGCTCCATACAGGAAGCTTCTTGTTTCTTAAACAAGCGTTCCCTCATGAATGATTAATGCTTTGTCGCTATCATTCTCATGCTCTAATGACAATAATTTCAAAAAATATATATATTATTTTTTCTTTCAAAATGAATTTTAAAAGGCCCAGATAGTTGCCACAAAGAACCTTAATTATTTCTCCAAAGATTAATTACAGGAGCACCAATAGCAACATATGCTGTAAACACTGAACTTGAAAACAGCATAGTACCACTGTTGAGTTGGAATCATAGGCTCCAGCATTTTCTCTCACCCTGGAGACTTCCTACCTAGTCATAGTCATAAACTCCTCAGACTTCAAAACGTATATTGGTAGCATTAATGCAGTAGCTTAACAAAATATTGAGCAAACCAAAGAATGCTTGTTTAATAAGGTGGAAGTATATTACTCAATTTGAATCTGTGCAAACTGCAAATCATAATGAGTATAGAAGAACCCACTAATGTTTTTGATTGGGTGTGGGCAAGCCTGTGCTTGTCTGTTTCTAGAGAATATATTACTGGGCTTTTCAAGGCAGCATGTAATGACCTCTCCGGCAAACCCCAAAGTGTCATGCTTCATTATTATTTTGTTTTAGAGAGTTCAGTAATACCTTGGTCTCAGATCAGCTGTTAAAAGCATTGCCAACCTTTGCAGGTTCTTTATTCCAAGCCCAAACCTAACAATTTGTATATTCCAACATTCCTTCTAAATTACCATCCATTAATATGTGTCATTCCTTAGAAACAAGAAACAAGAATTCAAATAGTTATGTGTCTGCATGTGGAATAACAGCTCTTGTCGTATAGGATTTTGTTGTAGCAGCTCCTACTGTCAAAGAGACAAGCTGCTGTTTGGCTTCTAAAAGCGATTCTATCTTTTTAGTGATAGAAACTGTGGCACCAGAACAGGCAGAAAACCCTCTGTCCTTCAAAACACAGCAAATCTCAGTTGAGGCTGTGGCTCTCCCTTGTGCAGATCTGATGTTACTTTGGATCCTGGCCAGAAACAGTTACATGCATTTATTTAACTTCCGTTTGAGACAAATACTCATGTTAAAAGTTTAACTATTGTCATGTGAAAATTGTCTGCTTTGCTTAAGGCCATTTTAAGATTGTATTTTACATAACTGCACCAAAATTAAAATTTTGGGTGACAGAATAGGAGTTGTATCCAATGTTGGTCCTACTCAGGGTTGTCTCATTGAAAATAATGAACATGTGTACTTTGGGTCTATTAATTTCAGTAGGTCTGATCTGAGTATAACTTAGACAGATACATCCTTACTAAAAGGATTAATCATCTTCTATACCTAGTTATAGTCCCCTACTTGTACTCTTTGGAAATGTGTGTTTCATTTTGGATGCGTTTCTAGCAAAATATAAAGTACAGCAAAATATGTAATTGATGGCTATATGTTTGGGCAGCTTTGGATATGGAAACCTAAACAACTTTCAGGAAAGTTTTTCAAATTACAGCTCAAGTCCATGTTTCTAGACTTTAATCAGATTCTTGCATGTATTTAGTAGAAATTATCAGATATATTTTATTTATTGCTTTTAAATGTTCTAGGCGTTAATTCATGGATTAAATAGACATTACTACTCCATTACCATCAACTACAGGAAGAATGAACTAGAACAGAAGGTAAGTTTTGTTCCTAGCGTATTTTCAATTGTTTGGGGTATTATTTAAAAAATTGCTTGCAAATGGCTGAAATTGACTTACAGCATGCTGCAGTGTTGTGATAAGAATTTTAATTTCTAATATCTTTTGTTGTCATTTATGTCATCCTCCCCCCCCCTTTACGTCATATGGTGAATGCATTACCTTGCCCAAATGAACCTCAACCTGAACTTCATTGTGGAATTCTACATTTCTTCCAGAAGGCACCTGCATGCCTAACTAGTGAATGCTAAATAAGTTTTTGGTGAAAATCAGTCTGTCTTAAGTCAATAATTTAGGAACATCTTTGTTTAAATGATGAAGGAAATGTGGCTATTTTTAAACCCACATATTTCTAAATGCTATTTTCCATTTCTTTGGTCCTGCATGTAGAGAATGAGGTATTCCCTAAGGTGTAGAACTTTTATAGATTACCACCAGTATCTTGAATTGTCTTTGAAAACAAGCAGATTGTGTAGTTGCTACAGTACAGAATGAATATATTTATGCCTTCCACTACCTGAGAGTGGCATGGTATAACATTCTGCAGTGGTGGAATATTCCAAAGAAATTTTCAGGACAGTCATATGTAAACTCTATTCCAAAATCAGTCCTTACAAAATCATGAATGATGATGTCAAGGTCCTTGTTTCATGAAAACTTAAGTTTTGTATGATCCAATTAGAATTTTTCCTTAAACTTGCTGAGGTAATATTGAGAGGCACACTTAAGTTGTTCAAAGCTGAACATAAGAATAACTGCTGGCAAGTTAATAATTCCTTGTTGTACATCATACTCTTTTGTTGTTGTTGTTTCATTACAACCAAAATCTTTTCTGTGCTTCAAATGATACAATAAAAAAGTTGTTCTAGAATTCTATATACTGGTTTCTGTATACTGCTAGTTTCCTTTCTGCCTTACAAAGTCTACTAATTTCCCCCAAATGCAGAATGTTATTGTATGGTATGACAGCAATAATAGATTCCACTTGGCTTGTTCATCACTGTCGGTAAATGTTTTTTAGTAGAATCTAGTTGGTGCCCTTGCAGTCACAGAAGAGCTTTGATCCAATTGATGCTTTCACAAACAGAAGAGACTGGGATTTTTGCTGATTTGCCCTTCCACCAAGTTCTAGAGAGTCCCTCAGCTTTCTGGAGCCAATTTTCAGTGTAAGGGGATGCTGAGGACTGCAGGAGGGAATGGTTTGTTCTGTTATTAGAAGCATCTACTGGATCAAAAGCACCAGGGTGCCAACTAGATTCTGCCCTTTAAGACAGCCTCTTTCTATGTCAAGTAACTCCCATGCTAGTTATTGGAGGGTATAGAAATTAAATAAAGGCTGTATTCAAACATTACAGTTACATAGTTTTATTGACAAACAGAATCTATCCTTTGTCTTGCTTGGAACCACCTCATTAAAAGTGTGCAAGAACCAGATGACAAACTCTTTGCCAATTCAAAAAATTTTAAAAAGGAGAAATGAAATACTTTTGTGTTAGTGTTGGACCTTCTGTAATAGACCTGTGCTTTCAAGACATTAAGAAACCTACAGATGAATGGTTCCTTTGGATCTTAGTTCCTGCAGAAAAACCTTTTTCCCCCCCTCTCTGCTCTACATTTTGGAGTCTAGGCCTTAGAACTAACCTGAGGAGATTGTATTTTTGTTCATTACACTGCGAGCACTTTTGTAAAGGCGAGAACAGTAATTGCCAAGTGTGACACAGAAGAGATTTTAGGATTCAGGGCTATTTCCATTAACATGTGAAGTCTTCACCTAGTGTGCAGGCATCCATTTCAGTCCAGTGTCCTTCTCTGCACATTCATGACTTCATTCTCATGACTGGGAATCGGACCTCTGCAATTCTGACACCAATTATGTATTGGAAGCTGATAGTCTGGCAGAATGCCTGAAACCACATGATCACAAACCATTTTTAGCACTCAATTGGGTCTTTATAAATCCCCCTGTGAGGGTGGGTTCAAGTTTTACAATTATCTTTTAGAGCAAACAATTTCTCTCTCATCAGATGATCTCCAATGGATACTCAACTCTGGGGTGAGGAGTCAACTTACAAAACAGAAAAATGATCTGTGATAGCCCCAGTTAATTCAGACTTGGCAGCAGTGTTCTAAGCACTTTCCGTCACCAAAAACTTTCCTGTCTCTTGCCATGTGTTGCTTCAAATCCTGATAGACATAGAAAATCTGCTTGATTCTTCACAGTTCAAAGTTTATTGCATAACTGAGGCCACAATTACTAATACCCAAACTCCTGCTCTCATCTAGAGTAAGCACTTCCACAATCAGTAATACTTTGTTGACTTTCCTCACCAGATGTTGCTCAATTTACATAAGAAGAGTTGGATGGAAGGTTTAACCCTTCAAGACTACAGTGAGCACTGCAAACTCAACGAGACAGTAGTGAAGGAAATGCTGGAATTAGCAAAGAACTACAACAAGGTACCACAGTATGCCATTGCTTGAGCTGGGGTGCCCCAGACTTGGTTTTGCCTTTGGAATTCCAGATTCAGATATCCAGTCTACATGTACTGGTGGGATAGCTGTTCATCCTTTAAAAAACAAAGAATAAAAATCAGGGCACTTAGTAAAATCAGGCCAAAAACCCCAAACTGAAATGGCATTGTTGAACATTAAAAGTGTCTAAGAAGTGAGCATGAAATTGCCAGCCCTGCTGGCATCTGCTTTCTTTTTTAAAAAGGTAGAAAAGTGCACAACATAGACAGGCTTAGCCTTTATAATATATATAAACATGTTGCAAACCTAGCGAGAGAGAAGGGCTTATCCCATCAGAAGCAAGATCCAATGATACTTGCGTGTTCCTTGCTAGTTGTGCCACTTCCTTCCATCCTCCGGTTGTCTCCCCCTCTATCAGAAGTTAGGCCCCTGCCCTGAAGAGTGTTTCCTTTTTCATGTCAGTCTGTGAAGGGTGGTGTACATTGTTAGCACCACAGATATAAATGCTACACTTCACAGACCACTTACAGTGGCAATGAAAGCACTGTTATACGGGGTGGGGGGTGGAGATGTGGGCCTTGACTGTTTCCCTAGCACAGCTTCCTTTTTCATTGGGTATGTAGTGATTAAAATGATGCTGTCACTTCAGCTTCAGCCTTATAAAAGAACATTTAATTTTGGGGGGCTCCTGATTTAATAAGATCTCAAATGCTAACCTTTTCTGCATATCCTTCACAGGCTGTGGAGGAAGAAGATAAGATGACACCTGAACAGCTGGCAATAAAAAATGTTGGCAAGCAGGTGAGGTGTAATGAATTATACTGACGTGAAATAACATGTTTTGTGTATTTTTGTTTAGTCACATGCTGATGATTTTTCCTTTCTCCTTAACTCCTTACAAATGGTGCACTTATTTCCACTGAAACAAATTATTTGAAGTCTTTGACTTGAGATAGTCTCAACAGTGGGGCATAAAATTGTCATTTGGCATCTGCCACTGTTTCATTTGGTATTTTTCTACCTAAATAAACCATCTGGCATCCTATCCTTAAAAACAGTGGGTTTTCCCTAGTATTCCTGCACTTGGGCACCAAAGCCAAGAGAACAAGAATATCCATATAAAATTCTGTCATCAGCACAAAAATTCAGCCATTACCAACGCTCAAAGCCCATGTCCTTTGGATTTTAGGACGGTAAATTTGGATTGTTACTATGAAACCTAATCCTTGAACCCCAGAGTACTACTTGACTTGTTCCTTGTGCCATAGAGAGCTGGGAACGCCTTCTTTTTCAAATGACAATCCCCTGTGCCAAAGGCCATTCCAGGGGGGGAGGTATTCATAATCTGTTTCCATTTACTTGGAAGTAAAGTTGCCAGGTTGCCTGCCAAATAACCCCCCAGGGACCTTAAAATCCATGATGAGGGAGTGAGTTATCCTGCAGGCCTTCTTCCATTGTACACCCCACCCAGCTGCATCATGTGGCAAGCTAAAGGTATAATAACATGGTAACTAATATGGGGATGATTTAATATTGTCCTACCTTACAAGGTAGTGGATGTAAGGGCAGCACTATTTGAATATTACCAGGTGCTATGCAAATACCCAATATTGAGTCTCATGGCAAGGACTTGGACATGAGTTTCAGTGAACAGGGTGCATATCCAGGCATTTCTAGAAATGGCTGTGTAGGAAAGTCAGGCAGGGCTTTTTTTCAGCTGGAAGTCACTGGAACTGAGTTCCAGCACCTCTTTGTTGCATTTCAGCACCTCATTGGTGCATTCCAGCAGCTGTGTAGTTTTGCAGTGCCATCCCCCTGCATGGTGCTCCGGGCTGCAGGCAGCAGGGTGATTTTGGCGGTGAAGGTTTTTATGTTATCCCTGTGGCATTGGGTCAAGCGGGCAAACAAGGGGGGGGGGACACACTCAACAACTCACCCCGCTTAAAAAGGGGGAGTTCCAGCACCTCTTTCTAGAAAAAAATCTTCATCAATCCGAAAGGGCATTTTTGTTGAAGGGAGGAAACAAACTATTCTGATACTCCAGAATGTGGGGGGTTGAAGCTTTTTACAAACCAACCAACAAACCCCTTTTGTTTGAAGAAAGAGACAGTACTGAGGTTTACTATGGGTTGTACCCAGCACCGATCAAGCAGATTTCTGCTCAGAATGTCCCTTTCTTTTCCTCCACCCTGTACCCCCCCAACAAACCTGATTTGGAGGGTCAAACCCTCTGGAGCAGATTTTGAAAAGACTACTAAGGGTGGAGCTACAGGCAGAGGAAAGGAAAGTTCTGCTGCACATGCAGAAATCTGTGGAAATGGAACTGCAGCATTGCATGCAGCTATTTACTTATAAATGGTTATAGCCATGGAACAGAATATGTTCCCTTATCATGTCATTTAAAAATTGTGCTGCCTGAGCAAGTACATCTACATCTATAGCAGGTATGCAGGGTAGAAATGAAGTTTAGGAAGGATGAGCTAGTTATCTCAGCTACAGATCTTTTACTATCTGTCATCTTGCTTGGATCCAGTTGCCTTGAATTGTGGTTACCTGAAGAATTGCCTTCTCCCATCCACACTTGCATTGATCTTGTTTGGAGGCCTTCAGATTCCCTCTTCTAATGTAGAGAGGCAGGCTAAAGAAGGTCTTTTTGCAGTGGTGATGCAGTGGAAGACTTGACAGGTGCCCATCCTGAGGTCTTTATAGCCTTGGGAGAAGGGGGCCTCTTAATTACAATCTAATAGGTGCTTCAGATATTAAATGCAGTTTCCTCTTGCTGGGTTTTAAATCCTGTTTTAAATTGTTTTGGCTGCTTTTTATGCCAATTTCAAGTTGGGGGGGTGGGGTTGCTAGGCTTTTTGCCTTTGTGATTTATTGTGTTTGGATTTAGTGGTTTTAATTGCAAATTGTAATTTGTGTTGTTGTTTTTAAATTAAACTACTCAGGGGACTTAGTTGGATGGGCAGTATACAAATGTAATAAACCTAAGTTGCAGCTTTGGACAACAGGAGAGGCTGAGAAGACAAAGTCTTGTTCTGGCTGTGTCATTGGGTTTGCTTATTAACCAGGTTCATCTTGGAAAGCATAACTAATCTTGGCAAAAGATAATCCTCCTTTGTCCAACTGTGCAGTTTCTTAACGGAGGCACATGAAACAGTCAAAGAGTGGACAAAAATAATGTTTAATTCAGTAGCAAACTATGGATACGCTACTTGTTTGCAAATCAAAATTTTCTAAAAAGAGCATTTTAGCATCAGGGTTTTCCCCCCCACTTCACTATCCCTCACCCCCAATCTGTATTTTATGATTTGTTTTCATTTATTTAATTGGAAAGCACTTTTGATTTGAGTGAGGATATCTTAAAATAACATGGGATGGAGTCCCAGTTCCATTGGAAGCAAATGGCAAAGCTCCCATTGATGTCAATGGAGCCCAGAATTCATTAATGAACTTGATAAATGAATAAGAACAAGACAGTGTTATGATGGATTGTTGAAATTCACTATTAATTTTCAACGCAATGCATACCCAGATATTTAGATAAGTATCTTTTTCAACAGGGTGACATGATTATGGTTTAATAACAACATTGCATTTTGCAGTGTGGTACTGTACATGCCTACTCATTGAGTTCAGTGGGGCTTACTCCTAGGTAAAGGGCTATGCGATTGTGACTGATCTGATGCAGCCTGCTAGTGTTGCAGTTGGATTAAGGGTCAGACTACTTTTGACACGGCTCATCAGTTCTTTCCCCCAACAAATTGCGCTTTCAGTCTCAGTAGCTACAAGAAGATGGGGTGGAGCGTATGTGGGGCGCCTTTATTCTCTCGCTGCAGATGAGAAAGCACCTTGTTAGTGTGGCTTTCAACAGACAAATTGTAGGAATTGTGTTGAGCAACCCATTATCCTCTAACCACTCTTCCCGCTCTTAATTGCAGCCTCTGAGGCTGTTTTGCACTTTAAAAAACAAAAAAAACCTTGCTTATTTGGCTATGGCTATTTTCATGCTGATCTGTTGCAACTATTATTACTATGATTTATTTATTAAAATTGTATACTGCCCTATATCCGCAGGTCAACGAGCACAGTCAACATGGGGGAGCATAGTCTTGAATAGCAAATGTTGTCCTAGTAGGTCCCTATATAGTAACTCCCTGCCACTACCTCTTATTTAACTGCCCTAAAGCAACCGCAAGGGGGAACTGCTGTGTTGGAACAGGTTTTGAATGGGGTGCCCTTTAATATGAAAAAGCACCACCATACAAGGCCACAGTCCTGTGTTTATGGGCAGTGTGGGTCTGATTCAAAACAGTTGCAGACAATTAATGTTCACGCTGCTGAAGATCTCCCCTGGCACTTCATGGTGGTAGGCAGGTCTGAAATTTAATAAGTGAAGAAGAAGATGATGATGATGATGATAATCCCCAGTCAAGAATCCTCTGCACATTCCAGTGTTGTCACAGAGCTTTCTGTGCAATGTAGTCCCCCCCCCCCCAATCACCTGGATTGCACACAAGGAGCTGCCCAAGCCAGTACAAGGAGTGGGAAAGCTATTGCACGTGTGGAGGGCTTCATTTATCCATCATTGTCCTCCACTCCTATAGCCACAAGAATTGCCCATCAATGTCAGGATATTAAGGGGGAAAGAAGTATGTCTCTTATTGTTAGGTCCTCATTTGTTCAAAATGCCACTTTCAGGACAATAACATGCTTAGTTTGTATGAACACTGTGCAGCCTCAATCTAACGCTTAAGGTTTTTTAATTACAAACTACTTCAAATAGCTTGCATAAGAGAACCCTGAGTTTTAATTGCTTATTGATGCCATCAGTTCTGCCGTGGAATAGAAACACAGAACAAATAATTGCAAACGTGATGTTCCGATAAGGTCTACGAATAATATTTTCTACTTGTATTTTAGGACCCCAAACGTCACTTAGAAGAACATGTGGATGTGCTGATGACTTGCAACATTGTCCAGTGTTTAGCAGCTATGTTGGATACTGTTGTATTTAAATAATGACTTGCTTGTAAATGCTGTTCCCAGTCTCTGATCATCCATTGTTTCAAGCACTGAGACTAAGATATGTTTGGATGTCAAAGACATCATTTGCAGTCTAAGAGCATCTCTCTAACACCTTTTCATCTCAGTTTATGCAATTACTTTGGATATGTTTTATGTCAGGGTCTTTGCAAATTCCAGAGCAATTCTGGAACTGAGTTAAAAATGTGGTTGGGGTTTGGTGTGGTTTTTCATTTAATATTTGGAAGAAAATCAGCAGTATATATATTTTGATTATTGCCATATAGGTGTTTTTTTTAATAACCGTAGTGTTCTGCTTGTGTTGTTCATAAATTGGGGAGGGTATATTGTTGACAATATTGTACAAAGTTCAACAAGCAAAGAAATATATTTCAGTAAGCTGATGGGACATGGAGACCTGTGGCATGTGGTCATTTGTTGTTGCGGCACATATCTCTTCTATGCATAGGCAGCACTAATGTGGTCTTATTGCTTTCGGTGTGAGGGAGGACTGAACCGCAGAAACTTTACAAGAGCTTGTCAGTCTTGAAATATATACCCAAAGTAATACTAGGGCACTTCTAAGCTCTTATCAGCACTGAGTTTGCTTCTGTCCTTTCCCACTCCCGTCTGAAATTATAACTTTTCAGGTCAGAGGAGTGTGGCTTCCAAGCAGACATGAGCCTGTGTATGTGGCCTTTGACCACCGGGCAGGGCAGTTCACCTTATTAGAGAATGACTTCTTAAATTTGTGCAAAAGGTGGAAACAAGATACAATGGTATTGAAGAGAATTTGGATTGCCTAGCTTGACGAATGGCCCCTGCAATGTGCTTATTAAAAACCTTGAAATTGGAGGCAGGTTTTTTTGAGAATGTATACGGTGGCCCAGTTAATTTGAGCTATCATTTTGAGCAAAGAGGAGAGGGGCAATTTCACAGCAGCTAACCCGGACACCTTTATGGGATGTGTGCTGGAAAGGGGCAGTGGGAAAGCAAGATTTTGAAAGAAGCATGCTAAACCCATCAAATGCTGCACAAAACAACTAATCTTCTAAAACCCTTGTGAGCTATTCATGAAACTGGCTCAAGCTTCCTGGCATAGCTGCTGTAAGCGATGGTGAGCGTCTATTTCACTACAGCTCTGTAAAGTACAGAATTCAGTATCTCAAAAACTTTCATTTTCAGTCGCTTTCCCCCCTCCCAACTTTTTGTTCTTGCTCTTGGGACTGCAAAGAGCCTTGAAAGTGTATGTGAATTCAGAAAAAAGGGTAGTGTACGCAATGCCAGAGTAACAAACCTATTAAAAACAAACTTGCCATAAAATACAATGATTCTTTGTCAACAAATTCTGCGAAACACCAAATCAAAAACATGCCTTCACAAATTCTTTTTGGGTTAAATCTTTTACTGTTATTATTTGTAAAAAAGAAACTGAAAAATACACATTTAATCAAACAAGGATTTGCACGTTAAAAACCATAAGAAAAGATGGAACCATCAAGACTCGTTCAAGAGAGATTTTTAACCTCTGAAAATAGTTTTGTAAACAATCTCTTGCTGATAGATTCGAAGGTGAATAAAGGAAGAGAAATTTACCAATAAAACAACCCCGATTTGTCTGTTTTCTTTCACTCTTAGATAATTTTTAACTTCAGCCACTACAGGAGAAGTCCACATCTTTGCTGCCCACTTTTTAAAAATGTGCTTGCTTCCAGTATCCGGTGCATAAAGTTCTGGTAACTACTGTCATTCATGCTGTCTTTGTATTCGCTCTTGAATATGCATTGGCAAAAGACAGCTAACATATAAAGTGTAATAGAATAACAGTAACTTCCCTGTCCCCTAGAATTGTTAGCTTTCTGTTTGAATTAAAAAATTCTTTTATTTTGTAGTCAGAATGCAAGCCGTTGGAGCACTACAGTTTTTACACCTCACCTAAAGTAGTAGAATCAGAATAAATGAATGTGAAACAAGCAATATTGATGCAGATTGCAAAACTTTTGCTATCTAGGCATAAGATGTGGGGTTTTTTTGTTTTTTGTTTTAAAAGCAATACACACAGCCTTGAAGATGTAAAGGATTTTTAATTAAATTGAAGACTGCAGCTGAAGAGGGCTGTTTTAATTGATTGGGAGATAAAAAATATATACTGTACAAGCATTAAAAGGAACAGCTGAGGGAGTTGGGTATGTTTGGCCAGGAAAAGAGGAGATTGAGAGGAGATACAGCAGTCATCTTCAAATATCATCTAAAGGGCTATCACATGGAAGATGCAGCAAGCTTGTTCTCTCCTGCTCTGAAGGGTAGGACCCAAACCAATGGATTCAAGTTGCAAGAAAGGAGACTAAACATCAGAAGAACTTTCTGACAGTAAGAGCTGTTTGACAGCGGAACAGACTCCCTTGGCAGGTTGTGGACTCTCCGTCCTTGGAGGTTTTTAAGCAGAGGTTGGATGACCATCTGTCATTGATGCTTTGGTCAGGATTCCTGCATTGCAGGGATTGGACTAGATCACCCTAGGGGTCTCTTCCAGCGCTACAGTTCTAGGATTCTAATATTTGGGAGATGAATGCACCTGATGCATGGCTTCAACATCCCTCTCCCAAATCACTGTGATTTACCTTGGAAAATAATTCACTGTGAAGCTAAAATTGTCCATCAAAACAAAAGAAGTACCACTTCCCTCTTCAGCTCTGGCCGTTTTCTCCCATCAGCTTAGTTTCATTTCTCAGAAAAGGTAGGGGGAAAGCTTGCGCATTTAACTTGAAGGTGGGGAACCTCAGGTGCGGGAGGCAAATGCAGTCCTCCAGCTCTCTTCATCTGATGTTGGGACATTCCCAGGCTGCAGTCTTCAGTGCTGCCCTGTGGCTTCCTCAAGTGCCTGGCTGGAATGTTCCCTGGAACTGTCACAATGCCTTTGCTTGCCAGAATGGAGAGCCCCATCTACCACTGGCATATGCAGGGATGCCAACAGGATTTCCTGCACCCAGTTATTGTTCCCCCTGCTAGTCTGCTATACCTTACAAGTTGGGTAGAACTGCTTTTTAAGTACACATGTTTACTCGGTCTAGCTCACCACACGAGGTTGCCGCTAAAATGTTATTCACAGATCACACAAAAATAAGCATGCCTAAGGTCAGAAGAAGAGCCTCCTTGCTTTAACTGCAAAATTTCCAGAGTCCTGATATTTACAGCAAAATACAAAAACAAAATCAAAGTTTGCCAACCCTGATGAAGAACAACGAGCAAGAATAAGAATCTATAAGTATGCAGAGTCTTACAAGTTTTAAGTGTCTGAACTACCAACTCTCGGCCTAGCCTATCCCACTGGACTGTTGTGAAGATAAAAATAGGGAGTGGGAGAAGAAAACAGCGTACACAGCCCTGAGCTCCTGGAAGGAAAAGCAAGGTACATATATGCAATGGCAAGCAACTAATACTGTAAGCATGTGACATTTCACAACTCAGCTTGGAAAACTTCCTAAACTTGATAGTTCCCCCACCCCTTCTAAAGTATAGCCTGTTAGAATTTAGATTGTGGCTGCTGCAAGGTATTTGATGATCTTAGGTTCTATTTTCTGGTTAAGTTTGTATTTTCTATTATAATTACTATATATTAATAAACAGCAATGATGACATGCAGACCAGTGATGACACGGGTGGGGGGGTAGAGCGAGACATGGAATATTGGAGGAGAGGGGTCAATTTCAAGGAAGTAGCTTCCAAATCATGCCAAAAACAGCCAATTGTGTTTTATAGCATAAAGACAGCTCACAGGGAGTGAATGAAATAATGTGGACACATAATGTGGAAATAATGTGTACTGGAAAGTGCTTATCCCAGTACACATACAGTCTTCCATCTGGCTAGCAGCAACAATAATGAACTGCTCCTGTTTCTTCTTCTGTTCTTGGAGGCCTCCCTCCCTACTCCCAGGTGAGGGTGGTGAGCAGTCCTTCCTCTGTTTGCTTAGCAACAGCAATTAAGTTGTGTAAGCAAGCTTAGCAACAGCAGCTTCTTTGTATCTGGCTGATGGAACCTTTGAAATTTGCCTCCACTCTTTGCTTTCTAACTTTCTTCATAGCTATCTGTTTGACTGCTCTTTTTTCTAAATGAAAGTGAAGTGGTTCCCCCACTCCCAATAGCTTGCATCCTTGTGCATGTGTGCCCCCTGTATGCCCGTGTGAGCAGCCCTGAATATACAGTCCCAGGTTTCTTATCAGGGAATGTGGCCCCCTGTCTAAAAAGAAAAGTCCCCCACCCCTGTTTAAATGTTTGGAAAGACCAAGGCCTCAGAACAACTTGGAAGCTTAAGAGTGTCCCTGATCATCTTTGAGACACTGATGCATAAATGTGAGATCATGACCCAAATCACGTGTTTCATTTAGTTATTTCGGATATGCACAGACCAGATATACACCACATCCACACACAAATACAGACATGGCAAAGCCTAGCAATTTGTTCTCAGACAGCTGGGGGCAAGGTGAATCTTCTTTCCTCCAAACTCAGGATAGCCACATGTGCCCGCCAGATCTTGGTGGACTACACCTTCCACCATCTCTTACCACTGGCAATAGTTGCTGGGGATAGTGCGAGTTGCAGTCAGTTCCCACATCCCACTGCAATCAATGGGCCAAGGTTGCATTACTTTAATAAGGATGTAAGGCTGCAAACCTACAACCCATTTCCTGGAACTAAGGCCCACTGAACCCAGCAGGAGTTACTTTTAAGTAGACAAGTGTAGGGTATAACTCATAGTGTCTCCAGCTACAAGAATTGGGCTGCAGGAGGAGAAAATTAGAATTTGTCGCCTCTAGCTCCTCGTACTATTGGTTTCCTTGCCAATAGGCACCAGCCTCAACTTCTAGAGTTACACTTGTCAAAACTACTTTTACTTCTGTTATAAGCATACAGGTTTGTATTTAGACCTTGCCTTCTTTCTTCTACACCGCTCTAAAGGATCATTCTGGCACTCAGCTTAGATCCTAGCCCCACTTAGCTGGGAACAAGTCTCACTGAATTCAATAGGACTTATTTTTGAGTAGACATGGCCAGGATTACACTGTAAACCCAGTGTAAGTCATAACTCATCAGTCAGCTAAGAATGTGCTGTTTAAGCTCATCCAATTTTGCTACAAACTTTCAAGCCACTGACCCTCAGCATATGAATTGCTGCTTCCTGAATGCAACTCCTTGCAATGCAGGAATCCCAACTATATCATACATGACAGATAGCCCTCCAACCTCTGCTTAAAAACCTCCAGGGAAGGAGTCCACCACCTCTGGTGGGACTCTGTCTCACTGTCAAACAGGTCCCACCATCAGAAAGCTCTTGATGTTCAGTCAGAATGCCCTTCTTGTAACTTGAACCCATTGGTTCAGGTCCTAGCCTCCAGAGCAGGAGAAAGCAAGCTTGTTCCATCCTCCATGTCACATGCCTTTAGATATTTGTAGGTGGCTATCATATCTCCACTCAGTCTCCTCTTTATCAGGCTCTACCAGGATAAGCATACCAATACTCCCTCAACTGTTCCTCATAAGACTTGGGTTCCTAACCATTTATAATCTTGGTTACATACCTCTACACACATTCCAGCTTGTCAATATCCTTTTTTAATTGTGGTGCCCAGAAATGGACACAGTTCTCTAGGTGTGGTTTGACCAAGGCAGAATAGAGTAGGACTATTGCTTCTCTTCATCACATGAGCATAGCCAGGATTTTTGTTGGAGGGGGGCAGAACCTCAGCTATGGATTTTTATTGATTTGGGGGCAGCTGCCCCTCCCTGCCCTCCCCCACTCCCCCTTGGCTACGCCTAGGCTTGACCAGGACAGTATATTTCTATTACTGCAGCCTAGAATAGCATTTGCAGACATAGGGTCTGGTAAGTTGTCCAGGAGTTTCTTCCCCTTTGCCCTTTGATTCTCAATATTATTGGACAATGGATGTGGCCATTTGCTGCTTGACTATTGTCCCAAGAGAATCTTCATGATGGCCTCTCAAGCAAGACTCTCCATATGTCTCAAACTTGCATTTTCCTTAGTGGAAATGATAAAATGCAGGTAAAGGTTCTTAGCTGGAAAATATACAGCATGAGCAGTAGAGATCTTTGTTAAGGTATGTCTATCTCTGTCCTGTGCAGTGTGAGAGAGTTTTCCCCTTATACTTTAAATGGTTTTCTGTACTGAGATAACCAGCTAGGCCCTGTAGTGTTGGAAGTTCCACACAATAAATTTCTGCTATGCAGTAAGAGACTTGCGCCACCTTAAAGGCTAACACAACTCTATTGGGGCATCAGCTTTTGCTGAAACAAACTAACAGGACTGCCCCTCAGGGAATGTACTAATGAATGGCAACTTAGCAGCATCATGCTGGAATTTCCCATTGAAACTTGTTGTTTTTTTAAATTGCATTAAAGGGCCACAACAGAAGGTTGCATTAAGTGATAATCATAGAGTGGAGCCACTCACACCATCAGACATGACTTAGGGCCATTGATTTCAAGGAGAACTTAATGGGATACATCTTAGGATGTTTTGGGAAACTGAAATTACCACCTTTCTCGCCTGGTTTGTACCCTTTGGATACTAGTCTCTGTAAAGGGCAGATAAGCCCATAGATACTCTTTTCTTAATGCATGCATTGCAAGAGGATGGATGCCTCAAGTTTATGTGTACTGGGATTTCTATGTTTCAGTTAATGGAATTGATTGGGCAACCAGTTTTTAAAAGCCTTCTGCCTAACCTAAGGACTCCATTGTACTCTATAAAGTTTTAAGGTTCTCTCTTCCCCGCCCCCCCCACCTGCCCCACTTTTAGTCCAGCATTGCAGAATATAAACAAGTTATGGTGATGTGGAATTAAATTGCATATAGCGTAAGATCGGCTAGGACGTTTAAAGGATGCACACACACAACCTTAAGAACTTTGAACCTCAACATTTCTATTATAGCAGGACTGGTCTCTTTTAATGACTGCCCTCCCACATTTTTCTCTGCAGATTTTTCTCTGCGTTGGAACCTGCTGAGCAGAACTTCCAGATTTTGGGAGAGGGGCTAAAAATAAAACTTGAACCCTGTCGAAATTCAGAGGGACGATATAGTTAAATAATACAGATGTGGTTGGAATGAATGTCAGGTCACCATGTGGAATGCCAGCTTCCCAGTTACACCAAAGTCTTATTCGGACTTAGATGCTTGAAAAAAGGAAGCGAAAAAGATGTTTATGGGAGGGGGCAAGGCGCTGAGCTTTTCCTGCAGTGGGTTTCAGCTTTTAAAATGGGAATACAGGAAGATGATCGCTTATAAAATATGGTCCGGTCTTCATTCCTCCCAGACTGCTGTCCTGCGATTGGTGGGATGGCGAGCCATTCGGGGACTGTCCAAAGCATAACACTGTAGATATGCTGTGCTACTGAAGAAAGTTATTTCTTCGCACCCTGTCTAAGGAGTGTGTTACTCCCTTTAGAATTAAAGAATTGTAAGGTTGGATGGGGCCACGACTTTCATCTAGCCCAGCCCCCTGCTAGGCAGCTCTTACTTTGCCTCAGTGGCATATTAGCCCCTTAAATCTATATTTTTTTAAAAAAAATTGCTGTGTTTTCCATTTAATTAGTGACAGCCATTTTCAAGCTGGTATCCTAACCATATTCTGGTCTAGGGATTTACCCTAGAGCCTCACGGAGCAGGATCGCGCTGCATTGATTGAAAGGCAAACCTCTCCTGTTGAAACCAATGGCCTTCAAAGTGTTTAACTAAGCCTGGATTTTTAAAATCCGTCTCTCTCTCGCTGTCTTTTCAAATAAATAAAAAAAGTGTGTTTTAGAACATCTTCCCTCTGATTCTAGCAGCATGTTAATTTATTCCTACGAAATCCAGGTAATTACTTGTGACAACCGTCTTATTATCACAGGAGAGAGCTCCGTGTGAAAGAAAAATATTCAAAAATACCGAAGGAACACAAGCCTGAAGAAAGCGACGGTGCAGGGAAGAGAGAGGTTGAGGTGGGGGCTTTGGAGAATGTCGCTCTGACTGGAGATGGATGCCTCGTGCGCGGCTTGTCTCTGATAATCTCCCCCGCATGCACTGCGTGCAGATAAAATATTTATTTACCAAAGAGCCCGTAAACATCAAGGCAAATACATTAAGGCACTTCAAGCTTATGATTATTTCAAAACTGAAAGGAAATAATACTTTGGATGAATATGGATGGAGAAAAAGAGAAGGGGTGTTGTTTCCCCCCGTTCCCTTTCTACCCCCCAGGGTTGTAGTTACTTTTCTATGCTAGGAGCTGGTGTTTGTTTTGGACACGGGAGGGGCAGGGAAGGGAAGGGAAGGAGGGAATTAAAGGGAAATAATAACTATTATTATTATTATTTGCACGAGGACAGTCCGGGATGAAGCTGACCCTGACACGTCCTGATATCATCTGGTATTATATTTTAGTGGCCGGCAGCGGCGCTTTTCTCGCGTGGTCAATTCGTGTTAATAGTTGAGAGTGAAGGAGGGTGGCCTGTCCAATCGCTGCACCTGAAGAGGTGGGGCCTCTGTCCAGTCGCATCCTAGGCTCTGGGCTCTGGGTCGCCTGCCAAAAAAGGGAGCCGAAACTTGCGGTGGAAACACATTGTTAGGAGTCAGGACATCGCGGGTGGGCGCTTGGACCCCTGGCCTGTATGGCGTCAGGTGGGGACTGACCCTAAAGCCCAAATTCTCTCCCTCTCTCCATCTCTCCTCCTTAAGGTGCTCTTGAGTGTCTTTTCCTCCTCCTCCCCCCAACAAAAAAGGTCACACAGTTATGACAAACACAAACAACCTCTCACCACAGCCTTCCTATCCCCTTCCCACCCCCGCAATCATATTAATAATATTTATTTTATTTTATTTTTAAAAGTCTCTCTCTATCCATTTGCCTTGCTCGTCGCGACCGGGAGCCAGGTGATTATCCTAATTAATGTCTATCTAATTAAATTACAGTCAGCGGTGAACCAATGGCAGGAGCCGTTTCATGCGCTCCGCAAGCAGGGAGATCAAAAGTGTGGCTTGGCTGATTGCTGCGCGGTGTCAATTGGCCAATCTCTCCTCCCGGGGAGAAATCCGGGAGAAGGAGAAGAAGAAGGAGAAGAGGAAGAAGGAGGGAGCGTGGTGGTGGTGGGGGCCCCGAGAAAAGAGACTGCAATCGTGGCTTCAGTTTGGGACCAGCCTTGGGTGGTGGGAGAAGCGTCTCTGGATACCTCGCCGAGGAGGGGCCCCAGGATGAGGGCCCGGCGGTGGTGGCCTTAAGAAAGCAAAGAAAAAACCCAAGCACCACCGCTTGCTTTTTTGGGGGGGGGGAGGCGGGCAGGCAAATCGAGAGCGCGGGCTGGGTCTGGAGCGATGCAGCTGGAGCATTGTCTGTCGCCTCCGTCGATGATGCTCTCCAAGAAATTTCTCCATGTGAGCGGCGGTGGCGGCGCTTACGCGTCGGGCGGATCCGAGCTTGCCTTGCACGAGCATCCTCACCATCACCATCCGCACCACCACCATCCCGCCGCCGCCGCCATCCTGTCGTCGAGCGCTGACAACCTGGAGAGGAGTTCACCTCTGAAAAAACTCGCCAGGGGGGGGATGACGAATCAGGCCGAGGCAGACAATTTCTCTGACTCCAAAGACCCGCCAGGGGACGCGCAACAGCAGCCACCGCCACAGCAGCCTCAGCCTCCGCAGCAGCAGCAACAGCGCGCCAAACTCTCGCCCGTCGTCTTGGACGGCGGCGGCGGCGGTGGCGCCGCGGAGCAGTTGCGCCCCTCCTTCGATGGAGCGGCCGCGGCTGCGGCAGCGGCAGCAGCAGCAGCAGCAGCGGCGGCGGCGGCCGCGGCCGATCGCTACCTGCTCTCGTCGCCCTCGGCCGCAGCCGCGTCCAGCGCGCCTCCGGCCGCCGCGTCGGCTCCCCCGACGGCCGCCAGCATGTTCCCCTACCCGGGCCAGCACAACCCGCACGCGGCCGCCTTCTCCATCGCCAGCCCCAGCCGATACATGGCGCACCACCCGGTCATCGCCAACGGAGCCTACAACAGCCTGCTGTCCAACTCGGCCCCGCAGGGCTACCCGGCCGCCGGCTACCCTTACCCTCAGCAGTACGGCCCCTCGTACCAGGGCTCTCCCTTCTATCAGTTCCCCTCGGCGCAAGCCGGGCTTGTCCCGGGAAAGGCGCAGGTCTACCTATGCAACAGGCCGCTCTGGCTGAAGTTCCACCGGCACCAGACCGAGATGATCATAACCAAGCAAGGCAGGTAAGCGGCGGCGGCGGCGCCCGGAGGAGAGCGGGAGCGGCGGGATGGGGTGGCGAGGGCGGGAAAGAAATGCCAGCGAGGCGCAAGGCAAAGGCGGCGGGGAGGGTGGAAGGTGGAATAAAAGACGCAAAGGCAAAAACCAAAACAACCCCTTCGAACTCCAAGAACCTTTCCGCTGGAAGAGCTTCCTTATCTCCAACCGACTTTCCTTCCTTCCTTTGGGGTTTGCTCAAAACTTTTCTCGTTCTTCTTTACGCACACGCCTTCTGCGTTTTTCTTTCCTTTTGGACAACGCACCGAGTACCAGGAACTCGTCGAGGAGTTCACACCAGCGGCTTTTTCTTTTTTTCTTTTTAAGGCAGAAAACAAAAAAGAAGTGACCTCCTTCTTACTTTCTTTTTTTTACCTTCGGGGCGCTTCTTATTTTAGTACGCACCTTTTATCGTCCAAACCTCAATTGTTTTCTCCCTCGCTACAAAAATCTATTATTATTATTATTATTATTATTATTATTATTATTATTATTGTTGTCTTCATTCTACTTCATTTTTAGCGGGCGCTGCGCTCCGCTGCCGCTCGTTTCCTCGCTTTCCTCTGGCGACCTGAGAAGCGGCTTGTGCCTTAGGGAGAGCGGGAGCCCGGTGGCCAGCAGTTTAGGACAGGAGCAAGACATTTTGCAACCGGGATCGCGCTCGACCGGTTGCATATTTTCCCCGTGCTCCGTCCGGATCAGAAACAGCACGGCCTGAAAGTAAGCTCCACTGAAATCACCGGGATTTGTTTCCGAGCAAATCTATTTCGAAACAAGGGTAGCTACTATTTATTCAAGCCATCGCGGTTCGGACCAGAGTCTGACTGCCTGGTGGCAACCCTGTTTCCTCGGAAGGAGGTCTCCTCCATTTCAGCCGGCTTTACTTGGAAGCGTGCGCTTTAGCCTTGTGGCTGAAGGAGAAATACGCAGGAAGCTGTTACTGCCTTGGGCACACGATCCGAGAGAGGGAGAGAGAAAAGATGACAAATGTGCTCATTCAAAACTGAGGTTCCGTCCCGGTCCGATGAGGTCCGTTTAGACACTATGGGGAAACTACAGTCTGCAGCTCCCTAAAGCGGAGAGCAAGATCGACGCTGGCTTGGAAGAAATCTAGTGAGAGGTGTGGTGCGTGCTAGGGCATCCAAATGTATTTTTAAAATATTGTTATTGTGATTATTTTTCCTCCATGTAAAATCTCTTTCCTCCCCCTCTTCCAAACAGGCGAATGTTCCCTTTCTTAAGTTTTAACATATCTGGTCTGGATCCCACGGCTCACTACAATATTTTTGTGGATGTCATCCTGGCCGATCCAAACCACTGGAGATTTCAAGGCGGCAAATGGGTGCCTTGCGGCAAAGCGGACACCAATGTACAAGGCGAGTCCTTCCCCAATTAACACGTTCGCTCCCCCCGTCTCTCTCTTCTCCCTCTCCGCATCCACACGCGCGCACGTAGCTTAGGTGAGAAGGCTTAATTGGAGCCTGGCTGGACTGCCTTAGACCGAGGAAGCGACGCCAAGGAGGGCGGGTGGGGTGGGGGACCTGGAAAGCCTGGTGAGGAAAGACAGAGTGGATTTATTCTCTCGTGTGTGTGTGTGTGTGTGTGTGTGTGTGTAGAATGGCTATTTTAATCCTTCCCCGCGTTGAGATTTTTAAAATCAAATAAAGATGAAGCGAAGGGGAGTCGCCGCGGCTCCTGAGCGCTGTCAATTTCCACTGGGGAATTGAATGGAGCCATCTGTGAAGGGCTTGGGGAGGGGGCGCAGGAAAGAGGCGCACCTCGTGTCTTGCTTTCCAAAGTGGTCTCTCTCTCTTGTTGTTTTGTTTTCAAACGTGTCCCTTCTGCCTGCCTTCAGGAAATCGAGTTTATATGCACCCAGACTCCCCCAACACAGGAGCCCACTGGATGCGCCAGGAAATCTCCTTCGGGAAGCTGAAATTGACTAACAATAAAGGCGCCTCGAACAACAACGGGCAGGTCAGTTGTTGCGCCCGAGAGCCAGAGAAAAGGAGGAGGAGGAGGAAAGAGGGACTTTGATTTCTTTTATCCCTTTGCAACCTCGCCCCATGCCGATCTGCAGCTCTGACTTGGGACTGCCTTAGAACCCGATCGACTTCTCGCTTGTGGATCCTAAGGGATCCCCAACACCACCTTCATTCGCTTTCCAATTGAGCCACCTCACCCACACCTTAAGGGCGGCGGATCATAGCATCCCCGCACCTTCGCCCAGAAGCCGAGTAAGAGCTGATCTGGTTTCAGTTTCAAAAGAACTGAGCGGATCCACCGAGCCACCGCGAGGGAAAGGAAAAGGCAAATAGGCGGGATCAGGGAGAACAAAGAGGGGTATTGGGAAAGGCGAAGGAATCCGCGGTGGATTTCCGAAGGTGAGCTGGGTAGGTGCGCGAAATTACTAGTGCGATTTTGGGGGGGGGGGGTTGAGCGGGAAAGAAAGATTTCGGATCAAAGCTTGCTCCTACACTGCTGGCTCCCAGACGCTGCAAGAAGGCTATCGATCCCCGGTGGATCTTGCTTCCCCTTTCTTGTTCCTCTTATTTTCCTTAAAAACAACCGCGGTCAAGCCTGGGCTCTTGTCTCCCGCACCCACCCGCTCCAACCCACCCTTTCTCTCTCTCCGCCCGCAGATGGTGGTCTTGCAATCCCTCCACAAGTACCAGCCCCGCTTGCACGTGGTGGAGGTGAACGAGGACGGCACGGAGGACACCAGCCAGCCCGGCAGGGTGCAAACCTTCACTTTCCCGGAGACGCAGTTTATCGCCGTCACCGCCTACCAGAACACCGATGTAAAGAGCTTTTCGTCTGTTCGCTCCGAATCCCGCTCTGAATTCGGGACAGAGGCCCGCGGCTGAGGGGTTGGCAGGAAGACAGGGATCTCGGAGGGCGAAGTGGTGGCGTGGGTTCTCCATAGCTGAGCTCAGTTATTGTGTCCCTAACTCTGAAGAGCATCTTCAGGGATCGCAGGGCAGCCAGTTCCGCGATTTTAAAATATATATATTATTTTAAAATGCTAAAAATCTTCCCTCATCCCAAAGTAGGGAGAATAATTAGATGTTCCAAGGAAGTAAAATAAACAAACAAACACCAGCTTCAAAAGACCAAAAATAGCTTTCAGCGTTTGTCACCCTGCATTGGCCACTTGATAAGTATTATGGCAATTCTTGTATGTACAGTTTTAAGACACAAACACACATTTGAACTGGCTTTGCCCGTGTCTGTATGCGTAAGAGAAAGCGGTAGGTGTCATGTTGCTGAGGCGCTTTAGTAAACAGCTTTCTTTAGGCTGCAGTCCAACCCCCACTTCCTTGGGATGAAGCCCCATTGTACTCAATGGAACTTGCTTCTGAGTAGACGCGGCTAGGAGGCCGCTGTTCGCGCGTCCACCAGCTCTGCTTGAATGGCTCGGGTTTTTGTTTTCGTGCCAGTCTGTTGGGTCCTGGCGCTGTAAATAAAGCACGTGGCTCGAAGTGAGCTGCCTTTGCAGCCCGATCCTGAGCCGAATTTACTGGGAAGTCAGTCCCCCTGAGTTCAGCGGGGCACTTGCTTAAGTGAGGGAGCCCCTATCCGCGCGCGAAGATAAGTCGTTTGAACGGCTGGATCACACCGGTTGAAAAAAAGGGAAGTGTAGCGTTTCTAGGCTGAGTTGCAAAAATAACTGCATTTGAAAGTTAACTTAGAACATTTTAGCCCATCAGGGTAATGAAATTCATCGGTGGGAGGATATGTACGCGTGTTGGCGTGTTCTGTAGTGCTGCTGATACTATATTATTACCATTGCTATGACTATTATTCCTGTTAGGGTGGCAATCCCAGAATGAAACAACAGAACCCCCCCCCCCGCTTTAAATGATGGTGGTGTTGGGTGGGATTTATATTTATTAGTAGTACTAATCCTCAAGTGTGAAATGTGCTATCCAAGGAAGCACCTCTGACTCTTGCTTTCCCTCCCCTCCACAGATCACACAGCTGAAAATAGATCACAACCCTTTTGCAAAAGGCTTCCGAGATAACTATGACACGTAAGTCAACTGTGGACTTGAGTCTTTTTATTGTCTGCTGGCTAGTAGTAGGGAAATGTTTAGATCGGGGTAGCCTTCTTCACCTCCCTTGAAAAGAACGGCTCCGATAAATGTTCGTTGCCTTTTTCCGGCTTCCCCAAAGAGGAACTAACCCTGGGCTCCTGGAATCCACTCCGTTTCTCTCCCCCTCCCCTTTGGCGAGGCTGCTGTATAACTAGGACTTTGGGAGTCTTCCGCACCCCTAGCAGGCGCTGGCAGAGTAGGTCGTGCGAATGATGCTCCCAGAAGTGCGCGCAGGTGGGCACACGCAGTTTGGTCGTCCAGCTCATATTTTGGTGCATGACGAAGCGGGGGGGGGGAGGAGTAGGGAGTGCAGGCTCATCTCCTTTGCTTACCCGATTCCCAATTGTAACAGTTGCACTTTTGGAGGCGTGACTTCAGTTCTGTGGGTTTACTCGCAGGAGGGTGCGCTGTGCCTATTGACACAAGACTTGTGAAAGAAGGGGCAGGTTACTTGTGCGAAGAAATGGCTCTTTAAACGACCCCGAGTGCTTTGGGTTAGAAATAAATATTGATCTAACTACCTTCGTATCCCGCTCTTCCTCCAATCACACAACAACCTTGTGAGGCAGGTTAGGCAAGGAGATCACGATCTTAGGGAATTCACCGGCTCTGCGTGATCCTAAAGTTTCACTTGAGCCAAATGCAGTGATCGCAAGCTTCCTTTCCACAGAATAAGTCAGTCAAATGGGATTTACTTGGAATCGAAGTAAACGCGCTTGCAGGCGCGCTTTTAAAACCCGAAAAGTTGTCACCTGTCTTTAAAACAACACCCCCATCCTCTGACACTTCTTGGATTTTGCTGTCTAAAACAGCTGACTGTAGTCATTGCTTTGAGATTTGGCTGATAGCGGAGTGCCCCTTGTACAGACAAATTGGTCAGGTGTGCGACGTATTCATTTCCAAACAAAAGGAGAGGATAAGGAAAGTTCGGCAGACCCAGTACTAGAATTTTATCTAATCAGAAGTTTGCCAAGCAAGACGGTCCCTACTCCCCCCACCCCCACCTAACTACAAGTCAAAGGAAAAGGAGTGTTAACAAAAGCGAAAGAAGAAATGGCTACCAAATAGGTGATGCGCTTAGCCAGGCTTTCGAGTTATCCAGAATTTCTCAGCCGGCGGCCCTGAAGAGTAGCTTTAGGTGCGCCTGTTCCCACAGGGACAAAGGCTGTCCCCGGGAGAAGACCTTCGGCTGATGTTTGCTTGTCTCTCTTCCTAGAGCCACCAATTATCCCCAGTTTTGCCTCAAATTGTGAGATGTGCTTTTTTAGACTTTTCGCAAAACTGTCGGTGATTTCCCAGGCGCCCTGATTTCACCTCTAGGCTTCGCATCAGCGAAATCGATTTTAGAAACAACCTGACTCTTTGCTGCTTCCTGTGACCCCCTCCTCCCCTCTCCAAAAACAGCACCCCCCTTCCTCAAGATCCTGACTCATCCTCGACCTTCCTCCTCTGTCGGGAAGACACCAACCACACGCAGATCTGTGGACTGGTGTTGGTAAAGGGGGCAATGTTGCGAGAGGGGCTGCCATCGCCATTAGACCCTTGGGAAAGGAAAAGCACCATCTGTGCTGGGAGAAGGCCGTCTGGGGCTGATGCTGGAGACCCAAGAGGACCCCGTAAGGCCAGCAGCGCAGCCCCATGTGCGCGCGCGTGCGTGTTACTCGGGAGTAATTCCCGCTGTGCGCAGTGGGGTTTCTCCCAGGTAAACGCGCAGAGGATGGCAGGCTGATGGAGGCTAGTCACCAGGTGGCCCCGAGGTCCTCAGGGCTGTAGAGGAAAAAGTATGCTGACCCTGCCTGTGTTCCCTGGGCCTGGCTTTTGGAAAGGTTTACCCAGCCTTCCAGACGTGTGTTGGAGAAACGTGCCTTGTCTGGGGCCTGAAGGGACTCTTTCCTCGGCTTCTTCGTCCTGCTTCAGTGGCGATTTAGAAGCAACCTTTTTAGCTCGCAATCCACAAACAGCTTCCAAGAGGGCGTGCAAATCCGGATGGGTAAAGTCAATGGGGGAGCTAGCACAGGGCAAGCAACACTGAAGTCACTCTCCAAGGTACTGAAATTTGTTGGAAACAGATGCTGCATCGCTCCTTTCTGGGCGGAGCAGGAAGTTCCCTAAAGCCCAAATCTGACCTAGAATGTACAAACAGTTCCCTACATATGATGAAGGGTATTTGCCACTAAAGGCTTTATTTCCCCTTCCTCCAGGCGCGCAATAGCAATTTCCCGCAGCGGCAGGGGACAACTATCCCTTAACGCGCTCCAACCACCCTGCTCTCTCCTCTCCTCCAGCTTACAATGCAGGATTTATTTCGAAAGTTCCTAGAGATTTAAATCCATGCGTAATGTAAACAGCCTCGACCGCAAAGTCATCCAAAGAAACAGGTGGCAAGTTAGCAAGAGTTAATCAGTGCGGGCCCTTCCCTCAATTACGGCGACAGAGTCGTGCACAAAGCCATCATACAGGCGCAACAGCACCGCGCGGAACTCGGTTCTTGCTGGCTTCCCGCGCTATAGATCTCCTCGTTTTCCGTTGCGCGGCGATCCACCGTTTCTTATTAGCAACCTCGGGAAGAGAATAAAAGGGTGTGATCGTGTGCCTGCCCCCTCAGATGATCGGAGCGGTTGCAATTGAACGCCGCCTGGCTGGTCTCTGCTCGCACAGCCGCTGGCGCTTAGCTCGTTAAGCAGCCTATTCAGGGAACCGCTCAGAGGCTGCCTCGCCTGCTGTTTGCTACAAATGGCCCTGGAGTACCTGTTGCGTGTATTTGGACCTGCGTCGATTTACCCCACTGGCAGGCTTATTCTTGCAGGACGGGTGGGGTGCCTTGTTTAAAATAAAATGAAAAACCGGCCTTAACCTTTTGCACGCTGTTGGTTTCCTTTTTATGGTAATAAATAAATCTGGCCAGGGGGAAAAAAAAGCCCAGTCTAGTTCTCCCCACCCCACCCGCCCTCTTTAAAAAAGGACGCCTTTTAAAACAAAAGTCGTACGTGTACTTTAGTGAATCTGACGTAATCCAATGTTTCCTTGTCTGGGTTAGTTATCAAGCAGACGAGGACTCAGTTGATTGGATTCTGGGCTCCAAGCCAGGCAGCGATCCTCTTCCTCTCTGGATCTCCAGGTGCGCTGCCTTGTCTGAAGCTCTAGGCTTCTCCTTATCCACGGGGCTCCGTTGATTTAAGGGGTTAGGAATGCTGCCTTTTCGTGGGGTGGTTCCAGGTTATTTTAAGGGTTCTGGGTCCCTTGGGTTTTGTTTAGTTTCTTGGATCCAAGGGGCAGAAATGTAGACTTCCCTTGTGCTAGTTTCTCTCCGCGAAATAACCCCACTGGATCCCCTCTCCCAAGCATTTGACTGTCCAGTGAAGTTGCTGGATCCAGTGAAGTTGCAGGGATGTCCTGAAACACCGTTTTCTGGAAAGGGAGATTCCTTGCACTGTATAAAATTGTGGTGTTTTGCAGTAAAAAATTACCCTTAAGAGTAATCTGGTCACGTCACTTATCTAGTCCCTTCTGACCCTGCAGTTTTCAGCACTGACTCTTCCTGGGCTCGTCTGTCCAGCTGTTGCTTACTGCAATCCTCAGAACTAAGTCCCGTTGAGCTTCAGGTTCTCGAATCAAATGTTTTTGGATTGTTCATTTCATGAATCCTCTGTATTATGACTATAATAGAATAGAAAAACAGGTGCTTTCTTAGAGCTCGTGTAGTCGATTCCTCCTTAATCTCCTGGACCTCCCAATAATCTAGCTCTACCACGGGCGAATGGTTATAGAACTATTGCCCCTGGATACATCCTGAGGTTTAATCTCTGGTCTCCTTGATTCCCAAGGACACATATTTTGTTCTGCCGATACCTCGCTCAGAGCCTTAGACTTGTCAAGAGTCTAGAGACAAGAGGGCCTTATCCAAGCTCCTGAAGATATTGCAGTCTTACTCTCCCTTATTTGTGGTCCTTATTTGCGTAGGACAGCCACTTCCAGATGCTTTGGGCTACAACTCTCATCAGCCTTAGGTTGAGCAAGGCTACCCTAGGAATTATAGCGGTGAACTCCCCCATCCTTCCCAAGACCCTCCTGTTATCTGCAGCCCAACCATCATTTACAGGGAATTTGGGGAGTGGGGACCCAATCATTCCAAGATCTGTTCATTTTATTTATTTCTTTTTGGAACCTAACGGTTCTTAACTGGCCCGAATTCTTCATTTTAGAACAGAGTCTGGTGTTTGACTTTTATAACTTAAGAAGGCTCCTGAGCTGCAGCCCCACATATTTTTCTCTCTCCTTTTAAAGCCAGATGGGAAGAAATGAGCGTTACCCCCCATTTACTGCTGTGGGACAGAGGTTGATTGTCCTCCCCTTGTTAAAAGGGAGGAGAGTGGCAACCCTAGCACAAAGCCCGCCTAGGAAGTCAGGTTGTCACCTAGCTGCTCTTCTCCTTTATGTGCGTGGTGGGGGTGTGGCTGCAGAGAAACTTGACGCATGCTCAGATGCCTTGACGACTTGATTTAGGAGATTAACTTAATCCAGGGATTGGAAACCTGTGACACCCCCCCCCCCCAATTTTCATCAGTGCTGACCAATGGCCACGCTGGCTGGGACTGATAGGAATTGGGAGTCTTGGAGCACCTGAAGGGCTGCTACCTCCCTAACTACAGGAGGGACACTAGAATCCCATTGGTCGAACACTAGTCATGCATACGATGCTGATCATTAAGACTTCAGAGAGGCGTGCACACGACCCCCCCCCCTTTAACCACCACAATCCTGTGAGGTAGGCCTGAGGTGCCACGACAGGAATAGGAGTCAACGCCTAGGAGCTGAGGGGTCTTCACCCCCCCAAAAAAATATTTGAGGGGGCCACTTCCCCAAAATTGATGGACATTGCCATTTAAATGCTGTGCATGCACCATGTTCACATGATCGATTATGCAGGGCCCTCAATATTTTATTCAAGTTGGTACCCCTGACGAAAGTAACGCCCAATGAGTTGAGCAAGGATTTGAGGCCCGAAGCGGCTCTCTTGACGTTGTTTTTTTGGGGAGGGAGGCGGTTAAAGGGCGGCCAAGTTGCTCTGCGTCCTCTCTCCCGCCGACTGACCAGTCACCCACACGTCTCCCTTCCTCCTTCCCGCTCTCCCCTTCCCCTCAGGATCTACACGGGCTGCGACATGGACCGCCTGACCCCGTCGCCCAACGACTCCCCTCGCTCGCAGATCGTGCCGGGCGCCCGCTACGCCATGGCGGCCGCGGCGGCCGGCTCTTTCCTGCAGGACCAGTTCGTCAGCAACTACGCCAAGTCCCGCGGCTTCCACCACCACCACCATCACCACCCGGGGGCCGGCGCGGGAGCCGGCGTGGGCCCCGGAGGGCCGGTTCCGGAGCGGGGGGTGCCTCACCCCAACGGGCTGCTGTCCCCTCAGCAAGCCGAGGAGCCCGGCGCTCCCTCCCCTCAGCGTTGGTTCGTCACGCCCGCCAACAACAGGCTGGACTTCGCCGCCGCAGCGGCAGCCTCGGCCTACGATCCGGCGGGCGATTTGGCGGGAAACGCCGCCACCCTGTTGTCCTACGCGGCGGCCGGAGTCAAGGCGCTCCCGCTGCAGGCCGCCGGCTGCACCGCGCGGCCCCTCAGCTACTACCCGGACCCGTCGGGCTGGGGAGCGCGCAGCCCGCCTCAGTATTGCGCCAAGGCCTTGTCGTGCTGGCCCAACGGCGGCGGAGGCGGAGGGAGCAGCTCCCGCGCGGGGGGCAACCCCTATTTGCCCACAGGGGCCGGCGGCGGCGGCGAGGAGCCTGACAGCCTGGCTCCCCCCGAGCGCTCCCCCTTGGTGGCGCCTCCGCCGCCTCCCCCCTCGGCCGGGCAGCCCCCCGAGGACTCGAAGCCCCCGAAGGACTTGTCCGACTCGAGCTGGATCGAGACGCCGTCGTCCATCAAGTCCATCGATTCGACCGACTCTGGGATTTACGAGCAGGCCAAACGCCGGCGGCTCTCCCCGGCGGGCACGCCGGCTTCCGAGAGCTCCTCGCCGCTCAAGAGCGAGCCCGCCCTGGCGCCCAGGGACTGCGACAAGACCTGCGCCAAGGACATCGGCTACTACGGCTTCTACTCGCACAGCTAGAGAGGCGGCCCTTTACCCCCTCCACCCTTCACCACACATACATACCCCTCCCCCTCCCCTCAACGGTTCTCCTTTCCCGCCAATTCCTTCCCGCCAAGCTTCGGCGCCTGCGCGAGAGGCTGGGCGCTTAGTTAGGCGCGTCACTCGAGCGCCTCGCTTTCTCCGGGAACCTGCGCACGCGCAGTCAAAGCACCCTCTCTCGCTGCCCTTCCGCTTTTTCTCACTCACGCACGCGCGTTAGGGCGCGAGCGGCACATCGGCGCACGGAACCCACTTTAGCTTCGCAGTCGGGGGGGGGGGGGAATCGGCACCCCCGACGAGAAATCGTTGTTTTTCTCTCTCCATCTCTCTTTCCCATCTGAAGTGGTGATTTTAATCGCCTCGCCCCTGGCAAAGGCAAAGGGAACATAGGGAACGCTCCCCAGCTCCCACCCGCCATGTTGTTTGTACCCAGGTCCCCAAACTCCTGCAGGGAGAGGTCAGAGGTTTCCTTGATCCGTATTAAGTCACTCCACTTAAGGGGTAACCCATTCGGATCAAGGCAACGAGAATCGTGATCCCGTTTAGCCATCTCAACTGGTCCTTGCAGTGAAGATGGTTAAAGGCTGAGAGTGCGGATCCTAACCTTCATCCTAAAACTGCAGTCCTTTGCATACAGCTTTGTTTGGGAGGAAACCCCTTCCTCGCCGCTCGAGTCTAGGACTATTTTGTTCGGAAGTCAGTACACTGTTCTCATTTGGCTTACTCCCAAGTGGCTGCGAACTGGTCTGCCTCCTAAGTTAGGATCGCACTGGCAGAGGTTTGGCTATCAACCCGCCCAGGTAACAGTTATTCTGCGGAGCACAATGGGACCTTTTCAGCGCCATGAAAGCTAACTTCTGTTAGGGTTCGCACAGCGCCCTCCAGTTGCTTATCCAAATTTAATTCTGTTAAGGCTGCAATCCTAAGCGTCCTTACTAAGTGTCCTGGTACTTTACCCGGCAAACGCGGCTGAAAAGAGAGACTTGCCGATGGTTTTGAGTCTGCAGACTAAGCCCACCAGTTTAGCCTATTTAGTAACGTTATTTCGCGCTCTCTCACTGTAAAAGAAAAAGAAAAGGGACTCAAAACTTTCTAGAAGGATGTTAGTGGATTTAGTGGGAAACTTCTTGTCCTTAGTTGAGACATAAATAGGCGCATACTTGCCTGTATTTAATATCCTGACAAATTGATTTTTAAATATTAAAAAGGCATCTTCCTCTTTTCTAATGTGAGCTGGAAGCGGATTCCCAAAACAGTGTTAAGGGAATTAAACTACAACAATGAAATGAACACAACTAGGCATTAATTAAAGTTAATATGAATGGATCCAGAAATTCAGTTAACACTTCTGTGGAAGTAAGTTTCGCAGAAAAGGAAAGGACTCGTTGCCTATTACACTTGCATAAGAATGGTGTGTGAATTCCACTTACCTCCGTTTTTCTAGATTGTGGATTGGTGGTTTAATTGGCACCTTAGTCTCAAAGGGGTTAAGAAATTGAGTCCTTTGCGCATGATCCATACTAAAGTTAAACACTTTTAACGCCCTGTATGAGATCGTTAAGCGAATATTTCGCACATCCGCAGTGAAATGAAGGGGGGAGTGTAGTGTGTAATTTTGCATGCACTACCATTTTAGGGGAATTTGAATTCAAGTATACGTGGCTAATTGCTACAATTTCGCAGCTGAGAAGTTATGTGACAATCGACCGTAAGCTTATTTAGAAGCAGAGCCTACTGTGAATTTGCAGTGGGACCCTATCGAATTTATAGGACTGCAATATTGGTGGGAGATGCATAATAACTTCTTTGGGAGCGATCTAGTCACGTTTACAGCGCAATCCTAGTTATACTTACTCGGGTGTAAATTTCAACACCCCCCCCTTGTGGAGGTGCATAGGCTGCAAAGAATAATTCGCTTAAATCCCTCTAATTGAAATCAATGGGGCTCTTTAGTTCGCGATCCTATGTGCACTTACTTGGAAGTAAGACCCATTGAATTTAGCGATATTTCCTTTCGTGTAACTACGCATAGGATGTGGATGGATGGGTCTAAAGTGTGCCTACAACCCATCTATTCTCTGTTGCAGAAGTTGCACTCGGATCATGAACAGGTTGACTAGTAAATCCCACCGATTTCCAAAGAGTTTTCTCCGATTCTGTGTCACTAGGATCGCTGTTTGCAAAGCGTTATGTACACAGGTGGCCAAATCACAACAATACCAACCACCACCAAATGTATAATACTAATTATAAAAAGTATCAGTGGGGCTTCCTTTCACATAGTGAGTGCAGTCTCGAAACAGTTGTTAGGTGCTTTCAAGCCTCGTTTAATAAATCAATGGGTCTAACAACAGCCAGAGCCTATACTCTATTCCTTAGAAAGCAACAGTGCAGTCTAATACGGTGCCTATCTAGAAATAAGTCCCAAGGAGGTCAATGAAACCTACTTCCAGGCAAGTGTGTATGTATAGGATTAAGCCGGCAAATTCCTCTTCAGTCCAAAGCATTCTAACTCCGTAATAAGCATGTTTAGATTGCAGCATTTATAAACAGCCCCAGATTTCAATCTTGAGCGCGCTTCTCCCCGAATTTCTTTCGCTGGGCATGTTTAGGACTAGGATACTGGATACTGGATACAGGAAGCATTCTAACTCCGTAATAAGCATGTTTAGGATTGCAGCATTTATAAACAGCCCCAGATTTCAATCTTGAGCGCGCTTCTCCCCGAATTTCTTTCGCTGGGCATGTTTAGGACTAGGATACTGGAAATAAAGACTGAGAACACGATTCAGCTCAAGGCTATTGTTTTGCGCACCCTTACACGGGAGCAAATGTTTATTTGAAATCGGTGGGATTTCTGTCTTGTAGCGATGGATATGAGTGTGCTGTAAATTAAATCAACTGTTTAACATCCAGTTGATTCTAACGCGCGGGGAGGGGCGAGTTAAGCATGTGATTACTGGCTAAGCATGTGCTTAACTCTGTCAGTGAAATCTTTGGGATCTACGGCGTAATCCAACGCCTGGACATAAGCCCTATTAAGATTTTAGTTTGTTTAGGCAGCGCTTTGTAAGTGTGAGCACTCCTTCACGAAAAGTTAGCTCAGATTAAGACCGATCTAAATGCCCACTTTTCAAGCAGACAATCAGTGAATGAATGGGGGGATTCGTTGCAAACTTATCCCACTGATCCTCTTGATTTTAATCCATATTTACATGCACCACTATTCTTTTCTCTGTCTGCTTCCTCTGCCTGCTCTCCCTCCCGAGTCCATTGCTGGTTCGCCTAGAGAGGCCATTCAATTTCTCTCTCTCCCTCTCTCTCTCCATTCTCGTCGTCCCCTCACCCCGCTCCAGTTGATTTCTATTGCTGTAAATCTTTGTAATGAACAAGCTACAACCGATAATAGACGACTGACTTGTTGGTACCCATAGTGTAGTCCAGTGAAGATGACTTCGTGAGCTGTACATTTTAAAATTGCATTTAGTTTGGATTTTTTTTAAATTTTAATTTAATTTATATTTTTAATGGAAAAGTAAGTACCTGAAAACAGCCTTCCTGGGGAATAATAGACTAGGTGGTGCCAGTTAAGAGTGGTTTTCTTTTATTTTAAAAGAAAAAATCCTGTTAATTCGAGCATTTAATACCTGACCGAGTCCCACCCACCCACCTAAGACCCTTGTTGATGTAGAGTAGCCAGTCTTCGAATTTTGTGTAGGAAATCTATACCTTTTTTTTTAAATATGGGGGTGGGAAGGGAAAGAACCTTGAAATATGCATCAGGCAAAATTATGTACTTTAGATTTCAATCGACAGAGGGGCGGGAAAAGTTCCCAAATAGAAATTCAGGGTTTAAACCGTGTGTATATTTTTTTGCTCTTCTGTAAATGATTGTTGTGATTTTTTTAAAAAAAACAAGCAAACAAAAAAAGGAAAGAAAACAAAAACAATATTTGTTCCTGTTATGTCTGTGCACTTGAATACTTATTTCTACAAGTTGCGAACTCCACTGGAAAAAAAATGTTTTGGTTTTTCGCCCGTTTGTATTGTCTGTGTATACAACAAGCATAATAAAACCTGGCAAAACGTTAAGACGGTCTTTGAACACAACACGCTGCCCTTTTAGGAAATTTTGGGAAGTCGAGCAAGGAAAGGTGTAGTAGAGGCGTCCGATCTCTGCTCCCCTCAAGTTGTTTCCTATCGCACCTCCGGCCTCTTTTTCGACATCGAAAATTAACTTGTTTTTGTCCTTCTCACTTCTACAGTCTCAGTTTTACGTGCTGCTTCTTGGGCTTGGTTTCCTGCCCCGCCGCGCAAGTAATTTTTCCTGCAGTTAGGAAAAGAGTGGTGGGGTTTGATATGAATCAGGAAGTCAGTGACTTTTAGGGGAAAGTATGATTCTGATGTTGCTGCCGGATGTTTTATTTGCTTGTCTTTAAATAGAATGCCAGGAGCCATTGAACTCAGTTGCCATTGGCTCCATCCAGCAGGATGCAGATTTTGTTGGTGGGGTAACGCTGCTTGGATAAGAGAGCGTGGTGCAAAGGTTGTTAGTGAGCAATCTGTCTCGGTTTTCCCTTCTATATCCCACTGGTTGGAAGCAGTTTCGTTCGTTTAGACTAGAGTCGTCTTCTTACACCCTTTTCCTATGCTAGAGACACCGCCGACTCCTCTGGCTCAAAAGTCTCTCCGCCCAAGGCTCTAAGAAGGCAAAAGGTGTGTCTATTTATATCTATGCAGATTTTTGAACCACACTCAGGAAGCATCTGAAAAGGCCCGGACCCGTCTCCTTCCATCCATTGCGCATCCCCTTCCGAGAGTTATAAATATCCTCAACAACTTGAGGCTATCATGCTGCTTCACCGATTAGCAAACCTACCTGGTTTCCTAGATTTCAGGCCACCTGAATACTCCCAGGAACTATTTGTCTTATATAAACCAGAAAACTCTAACATTTGAGGAAATATATATAATCAAAGATGTAAACAGAACCTCGAGCGAGTCAGACTCCGGCTGCTGGGGAGTTTCCAGCGATGCTACGACTGGCCACTAGGCGGCTCTGCATGGTTAATATAGCTAGTTTGTCACGAAGCGCAGGATGTTATTACTGTTAATGAAAGGCCATATTTAAATAGAGGAACAGTGGAACACTCTCCCCACACCCTGCTTAAAAATGTGTTATATTATTTCCCAGAGACCAGGTATTCTAAACCGTCACAGATATTTCAGGAAAGTATTTTCTGCAGTCCAGAAGCGACAGAAAACAGGGAGCGCCACAGCTGTTTAGAATTATACCGTTGCAGTTGTTACATTATTAACAATAATTATATTCAGCAATTCGCTTAACTGCTATTATTGATACTTATTCTGTGATCGTCTAGCCATCTCTCAAGGGCTAAGGACAGTTTGTGATAGGATCTCTCTCACACAGCATTCTTAAATTGCACATCGCTTGAACTTAATAAATCCTATTGCAGCAGGTGACTCGTGCGCAAAAGCACTACGAGGCTTTATCTTGTATGTCCTTACGATGAAGTAAGCGACCTTTGTTCCACTTTGTCAATAAGCCCAGAGGAAGCGACTTTTATAAAATGCGCCTCCTACTTCCAGGTATGAAGCGCTTGTCGGAATCCAGCTTCACTCTTGCTCAAACACTCCGGCTCTCCAAATTGCAGGCCACACGCTGGAAGAGGAGGTGGTGGTGAGGTGGCTGCCTGCTTTGTTAGTGACGCTGGCATTGCGGGTAGCATTAAAGAGGAAAAGCAGGAGCCTTTGGGGTTCTGATTTGTTGTTGTTAACAAAAATCCAAACTAACAAGATGCACTTATTTAGTTCAACAGATGTTCAGACTCAAATCATACGTGTTTGTGGTAGTATATGGTAGCCTGTTGCAGCAAATGTGCCTAACGTGTTGCCATTTGCTGTTTGGCCAGTAATACCCAAATGAAATTCATACCTTGAGGGAGGCACACAAGAGAGAATAGTTCTAGTTACAGGTAGGTAGCCGTGTTGGTCTGCCGTAATCGAAACAAAATAAAAAATAAAAAAATTCCTTCCAGTAGCACCTTAGAGACCAACTAAGTTTGTTATTGGTATGAGCTTTTGTGTACATGCACACGAAAGCTCATACCAATAACAAACTTAGTTAGTCTCTAAAGTGCTACTGGAAGGAATTTTTATTATTTTTTATTTTGTTTCAAGAGAGAATAGGTTCACCTTTAAGAATGAGTACATGATTGTTATATAACAAATGTTTATCTTTGTTAATGAGTAAAACAATTGCTACAATGAATGGTTGCACAGCGTCGTGAAATCCATTTTTGTCTGAGACTTGGTGTTTTTCGTTGTTTTCTTGTTACTGTTTCTAAAATGAAAGGAGTGCGACTTCGAAGGCGGGCGCAGTCAGTTTTCCTGCTCCTCCTTTTTCTTAGCTATAGACCTGAATCCAAAGCAAATTGCCCTTAACTGGCTTTTCTCCGAATAAGAGCTCTGTGCTCTGGGCAGAGAAGAGTGCTTAAAAATAAATAAACGGGGGGCGGTGGCGGCCGTTTATTTCAAGGAGTTGGGCGGATTCAGATCAGGAAGGACCAGCAAATAAGAACGGGGAGAGGAGGGCAAAGAAAGAGAGTTGCCCGCTTTTTGCGAGTGCTCCAAAATGTCTGGCTAGGCGGAATCTTCCCAAGGCAAATAATATGGGGTTGAGGGAGATGTCTTTTCGCTGCGGCAAGATAAAGAGACGCAGACCTGATATTTCCCTCGTCTTGAAATGTTGCTCTCCTAAACTTCCGGGGGAGGATGGCAGCTGTCTTGCGAAATATGCATCACAGTGCAAGCTGTAGGGCAACAATTGGAAAGGGTCCTTGGCCTCCTGCTACACACAGGACTAGAGGGCGTTGTGCTGATCCACCTGGCCTGTCCTTTTCCCCGGGCAACTGTCCTTTCCTCACCCCAGTTCAGCTGGAGGTAGTTGGATTTTTGTTGTTGTTGTTGCTCAGCTGGGTTGTAGATCACAGGAACCTTTGAATTAGAAGGTACCCCAGATTCCCTATACACCTAACATCGGTTAAACCAGTGTTTCTCCAACTATCAGACGTGGTGGCAATTTCCCACACCCCTGTGTGCCAGGGCCGCTACTGTATTTGGTCCCTGAAGCGTCCCAGCCACCCGGAGCTGTGGTGGAATCGCCAATGACAGTGGGTGAAAGTTCATAAAGCGGTACTGATCCGCAGACCAGCATTTCGAGTAAGCATTGCGCCAAACTATATATTAACCTTAGACATCCAGCTGCTCTCTCAAGGACAGAATTTGTGCCCTTGTGCATTGCCGACTTTGCACAGGCCAGAAAGGGTCTATTCTTTGCCTTAAGAAGAATTTCAGGACCAGGGACAGCGCAGTGCCAGACGCAATACAGCAATACGCAATACAGCTTAGCGAAATTAGTGCACCGCTCCGCCAGTCTCTTTAGACCAGTAACCCGTTTCACTGTGTTTTAGAAGCAATTCCACCCCTTCCTTTTCCTTTCGAAGCCAGAGAAGTATCCTGCCAAGTTCCCGCAGATCCTGGAGGCTTCACGGCAATTTCTATCTGGGAAGGGACGATTCTTAACTTTCTGGTCTGTTACTAGGCGGATAGAAAGGGCTGAAGTGTTGGGTCACGGGATATCCAGGGCCTCACTGGGCACGTGGTCAGCATAATAACGCCAGGGCTCACTGCATGGGCGAGCTTACCTTGCCCCTGATGCGGTCCTCAACTTTGTAGGTTTTCTTACTTTCCCTCTTTTCCGCCCTAGGACAATGTAAAGCTCCCATATGCGCTTGAAGGTTGGAGATACTGTAGGTAGGTGGAACTGGCATGGGCAAGAATTAAACAACATAAACGCAGGGGGGTGGCGATCTTCCCAGCAATAAAGGTCCTACCAACTTTTTTATACAGTATATAAAAAAATCCAATGGTTACAATAATAAGCTTTGTAAATCTGTGGAACATCCCTGTCAGAAAAGAATTATTTTGAATATGTAATCAGTCCACTGGCGTATAGCCCTCTCATATCCAATCTCTTGTTAAACAGAACCTAAATCGGGGTTTCTGCCTTTTCAAAACAAAAACTCACCCCGAGTTCAAGCAGCGTTTCCGCTTTCAGCAAAAGAGCAAGACTGTTTACGGGGAATGGCTGAAAGAGACACCAGCATACTAGAAAGAATGGCTGGGTAAGTAAATTACGCCTAATGAGTTGGCAGCAGCTGCTGGGCCAGAAGAGTTTATAGACTTCTGTTTAGATTGTCGATTTGTGTGTGACCTTAATTGTACAGGTGTACAAAACTGTACATTGGCAATTGTCAAGTGTTTGGATTATTTTTATTTTCCACTATTTTTTATGCACATCTGTTCTTTCCTGATAACAACTGCGTCTGCAATCCTATACACACCTCGGAATGAGTCCAAATGAACTCAGTCGGACTTATTTCTCGGTAGTGGCTTAGAGGATTGTAGTGCGGGGCGGCGATCCTATGCACATTAACCTGAAAGCCTCCAACCCCAAATAGATTTTAATGGCACTTCCTCCCTAGTAAATGTGCAGGGGCTTGCAACTCGAGTATGAGCAGTTTTCAAATTTACTTATTCCTGCACTTAGTCCATTCATATCCCGAATGCTCAGCCCCAATGAGTATTAAAATATATAGACGTGGCTATGCCTGCTTGGTGAATGCAAAGCCGGTGATGTGTCCGGGATTTCCGAGGCAAGAAACAGATCCCTTGGATTTTGCCTAAAGCTGCCTGAACAGAACTCAATCCGGGCTCAGTTTGATTTATTGTCCAACTGTTCCGGGGTAGGGGGTGCGTGGGTGGGGTGATGTTCAACCCCCCCCCCACAGGACTAAAATAAACTAAAGCAGAGACACCGCCTGAAACTGACAAGGCCCCCTCGCAAAACAAACAGCTGCAAGTAGTGACGGGCTGCCTGGAGATCTCATTTCACGTGAATAATGCTCTTACAAGTCTAAGGCTCTCACACACACACCGGCCTCTGTGCGTCTTGGAGAAGAACCCGCATATTTTTGGAAGGCTTTTTGAATCACCGGTGAAAAAGGCGAAGTGATGCTCTTGAATGTCGGCGTCTTGGGTGGGAGAGGAGGAGGGGCAGGAGGCTAAGTTTGACACATCATTGACATCTACCGGTGAAGGGGCGGTGACTGCTGGTAGCAAGGAGCCTGGTGTGGGGGAGAGAAAGATATATTTGGCACTGTTTAAAGCAGCCCTTTTTGTCCCCTGCCCCTGCCGCCCCTTCCTTCAGCCTTGCCACGGATTATGCGCTTCCTACCCAGCCCTGTTCTCTCGATCCTTCTGATGCGATTCCTCACAGAATCTGTAAATCAGATGCGAAGTTGTCTAGGGAAGAAGAACGAGGGTGACCTTTGAGTCGTGCTCCTGTTATCGATACGGGCCTCTTTCTTTGCATTTAAAATGGGAGCCCCGAGAGGCTCATTTCCTGCGCCTTTAACAGCAAAGCATATAGACAAAAGACATTGGCCGTATTTTTGGGGGTGTGTGGGGGAGAGTGATGTAGTTAAGAGAGAGAAAGAAGGAAGGAAGGAAGGAAGGGAAGGTTGAAGGTATACCGTTTGGCATTACTCTATTGGCTTGTGGTCCACTGGGCTACTCAAATGACACAGCCTGAGCTGCAGCGAGCAGGGTCCGTACCACAGGCAACGATGCCTAGTATGTTTGCTTATACACTTACTTAAAGAATTTGCTTCCCACCCCTTCCCAAGAAGGCTCGCAGAGATTTACAGACCTTAAGGCCCACAATCTAAAGCAACATAACACAGAAGGAAAAAGGTTCGGGAGAGAGGAGGAGGAGGCAAGAAAGCTCAAGCCCCAGTTAAGTTAGAAGAAATTCAGATATTATCATGACACCTCCAGGTCTCTGAAATTAGGAGAGTCTTAGCTCTGGAGGAAGTTGAATAGATGCTTTTCTAGCTTGGCGTCGGAAATAGGTCTTCTCTCGTTCCTAATAATTCTCATTTCTATTAATTAATTAATAATAATTAATTAACAATTACCTGCACCCCAGTCCTATGGACATTTGCTCGGGAATAGGCCCCGCGGTGTAAGGCCTTTGAACACCCCTATCCACCCTTTTTCAGGGTCCTCCTTATCACATCTTCACTCAACTCCTGGTGCAGGATTATTGACATGAAGGCGATTTATAGCTCGAGCCGAGGTAGGTTTCCTCGAAAGTAAGGCCAGTTGCATTTCGTAGGGCCTACCCGCAAGTGATTGCTGCTATGCTTGCAGCCTTAATTTCCAGGAAAAGGGGATTTAGAGGAGCACATTGTGGGATCACCGGGATATTCACCGGGATATTCCCACCTCTCAGGGTAAAATTGTCACGGAATAATTCGCACCCTCAAAATAGGGCTAGTGGGGCAATGCTATGCTTAGGAATAAGTCCCTTTAAACTTAGGGGGGGGGGACTCCGTAAAGAGGCTCAGGAGCTGGCCACAGCTACAGCAGCACATGGCCTGGATTAAAGAAGAACGTAAAGTACGCGGTAGGAATCGTTGAGCAAAGTGACAGGACTTCTGCCAGTCGCCCCTTCCGCATAATCAGCGCGCTGGACGAAATGTTAGGCTTGTCTGTCTGGCGAGTCTGTCCCGCGAGTCGCTGATTGGCATTTCTGAAAGCATACGCCACGCTTCGTCGTTTCACGCTGTGCAAAATTTTAGGCTGATCGCAGAACTAGCATTTCTCGGAGCAGCAAAACTCTTCAATGCCTGGAGGAGTCTAAGAGCAGGTTCGCACGTGCGTCGCTCCGAGACGGGAGCATCAAATTACGACTTGCACGTGTGAACGCGCCATCACTGATTAAACTGCTGCAAATTCAATTTTTATATTTTCTCACTCCTAACACAATCCTAGTAAAGGCAGGTCTCAATTCCGCTGTCCCCCGATCAAGCGCTGAATAGCCTGGTTCTAATAATTAGCATGCTATAAAATGCAATTATATACGTACTTACTCAGAAGCAAGTCCACTGAGTTCTAGGGCCTTTACTCCCAGGTAAACGAGTACAGTATTGCAGCCACAGACCCCAGTCTCCAGTGACCCATATACACGCTACTTCAGTTATAGGAAGTGGTTAAAAATATATATATTCTTAGTGTATGTTTTTCAATCCAGGAAAGTTTAAAATATGAATAACAAAGATATTAGAGACTAACTTGAACTCCATCTCCTGGGAGCCCAAGCCAGCCCAGAAGATTGGTTCGGTAGCACTCAACTGATGACTGCCTCCTTTTGTTTGTTGACCTACAAATGTGGCAGGGACAGAAATGGCTCTGACCATCACTCCACAGGCTGCCATGAAGAAATATACTTCAGATTCTGCAATGACCAAGTCAACTTGGCTGTGGGGCCCCTCACTGTTTGATAAGCAGAAAGAAAGAGGCCCACATTCCCTTCTGGGGGCCACCTGTCAGTGGTGGGCGGTCCCAGAGGCAAAAATGGGTGGAGCAACAAAGGTAGAATTTTGCCTTTGTTCAGTAGGCTAGTTTCTACACAGACTCACACACTCTCTATCCTCGCATCAGTCAAGCAAGAGGCATAATCAGACTTCAAGGACACATTCCAGCCAGGCAAAAGCATTTCTGGTGTGAAACAGAATCAGTGAGCAGTGTGGTCTGGGGAGAATCCCAAGGGCCAGATAGAGATCACTAAGTAGAGAGGCTCCCAGGTGTAGTTCTCCACCTCTAGGTTACAGGATACGAGCTAATATAGGAGACAACTCTTAGGAGCTGATGTCCCTTTGCACCCCCAATAAAATATTTGAGCCCCCCCCCGTTGACAGGCATTGTCATTCAAATGGTGTGTGTGCATGCCACATTTTGTGATTGATTATGTGGGGCAGGGCTTAATTGCTCCCCCCAATATTTTATTCAAATTGGTACCCCTGGGGGCTAAAGCGAAATGTATGTATTTGGGGTGAGAAACAGGGTTCAAACTTTGCTGAATATCCAGCATAGTCAAAAGGTTAATTTCAGATACAGTGATATCTCGGGTTACATATGCTTCAGGTTACATACGCTTCAGGTTACACACTCCGCTAACCTAGAAATAGTGCTTCAGGTTAAGAACTTTGCTTCAGGATAAGAACAGAAATCAGGCTCCGGCGGTGTGGCAGCAGCAGCAGGCCCTATTAGCTAAAGTGGTGCTTCAGGTTAAGAACAGTTTCAGGTTAAGTACGGACCTCCGGAACGAATTAAGTACTTAACCCGAGGTACCACTGTACTCTAGATGAAGACAACCCCCATATTAGCAAAACACACAGGATGTGGGAGACAGGCCTATTTTAGTGTGTGTGATGCATTTCCAGAAATCTTTGAGAAAACTGACAGGAGGAGTGCTTTCTATCAAAGTCAGGTGGATCCCAGCCCTGTGGAAAATACTGTATGGGTGTGCTGAATTTACATTGTTTTGCATCCAAGTAATTACACCACACACACACACAATGTCCAATACATTGCAGACATATTATCCAATGGTTATGTAATCTGGACCTATATTGTTATTATACCCATTTTGCAGATGGGTAGGCTGAGCCCAAGAGAATTTGGGCTTGCCTAAGGCCATCTAATGAGTTCATGGCTGAGGTGAGATTTGGACTGTTATATTCCATCTCATAGCTTATATTAACAAATACACTTCACCAACTTTGGGCTTCAGTTTTCTCTTCTCATTAACACTCATGGCGGAAGGTGCTGTGTTCTTAATGTTAATGTTTTAATTTAATTTCTTGGGAGCAATTTGCTATTAATTACATGTGTGTAAGTAACAGTGAATTCACTTGGATTTATGCCTGAGTAACTGCAATCTGCATTTCAGCCTTAAATGGTTCTTGCCATTTACAGTACTTTCGATGCAGTGATGATAAGGAGGCTGTATGGTAACAATTAAAGCAGATCTTAGCTATCCTTTTTCATGTTAATCACATGAGATTTCAATGCATTTTTCTTTTTTCTTTTAAAAAAGCTCATTAATAAAGACAAATAGCTGTTTTGTCAGGTCTTCCTCTGTCCCGTGTCTTATGGTACTCTGCATCTGAAGAATAAGGTGGAACAGACATTAAAGTAAGTCACACATCTTTAAGGTCTGTGATCAGCAGTGTGAGCTATGGGGCAGGAAGTCCCTGAATTCTGCCATAGATTCTTAACCGAGACCTCACTAGGACTAAGAGACTTCAAGCAGGTACAGTCCCAATACAACCCTTACTGGCACTTCTGGTATTTGCTTGAAATCCTATGAAATCGAACTATTTGCTACTCTATTAACACATGCAAGGCATATAGGACTTTCAGCCATAGAGATATAGAGACAGGAGCTTAGAATGTAATGGCAAATGGTAGCTCTCAGTTTAATACAGTACTGCTCATTCAGGTTGGGTGGGACTGCAGTTCTTTAAAATTTGCGTGGGTGTCCTTAGACAAACCTTATATTTGGCCCCCTGCTTCTACAATGTGGGGATGACAGTACCGAGTTTCCATAAGAATGATATAGATAATGTATGCACATTGCTGCACACACTTTATTTGCTTCAGTGCAAGACAGTTGTTCCCCAGGACCACCCCTTTGTTGGGTGATAACACCTAGGCCTGGTGCCTCCCCCCAACGCAGCGTCCCCCAGGATTCATCACTCCGGTCTCCCGTCACGCTGATGCGGCCCATATCCCATATCACCTCCAGGCTTGACTACTGTAATTTGCTCTATGCTGGGCTGCCCTTGAAGCTGTCCCAGAAACTCCAGCGGGTGCAGAATGCTGCAGCGAGGCTCCTCACGGGGTCTCTGCCATGGGAGCATATTCACCCAGTGCTTTTCCAGCTGCACTGGCTCCCGGTGGAGTACAGGGTCAGATTTAAGGTGCTGGTTTTGACCTTTAAAGCCCTTCACGGCCTAGGACCCTCGTACCTATGGGACTGCCTCTCCTGGTATGCCCCACGGAGGACCTTAAGGTTCATAAATAGCAACACTCTAGAGGTCCCAGCCCCTAAGGAAGTTAGATTAGCCTCAACCAGAGCCAGGGCTTTTTCAACACTGGCTCCAGCCTGGTGGAACGCTCTGTCTCATGAGACCAGGGCCCTGCAGGTTCTGATTTCTTTCCGCAGGGCCTGTAAGACAGAGTTGTTCTGCCTGGCCTTTGGCTTGGAGTCAATTTGATTCCCCCCCCTTTCTTTTTCCTTTCTCCTCCTGTGATAAGGCTGCATTTTAATTGTTTTAATGTTTTAATGTTGTATTTTAATCTTGTTTTTAAGTTGTATTCATTCAACTCATTTTTATTATTGGTTGTTAGCCGCCCTGAGCCCGGCCTTGGCTGGGGAGGGTGGGGTATAAATATTTTTATTTTATTATTATTATTATTATTATTATTATTATTATTATCCAGGAACATGAGCACACGACAGGCAGAGTTCAAAGCAGAAGCTCAGCCTTGAGGAGTAACATCTAAGCCTAATTTATTGCAAATGAAATCAAACGTAACAGAACAAAGAAAACATGGTTCCTCTCTCTGTCTTTCTTCCTCAGAGAGAGGCTGCAAAAGCAAAAGCTATACAGAGCGGAAACAGCGTATCTCAATTTCCTCTCACAAGACTCCAGCAATCAGTGCTGGAATGTAAACAGACATGTGACATGTAACAATCCCACACATCTGTCTGCAGCATGGGAGGAATGGAATTCCCAACACCCTTATCTTGCCCTCACTCCAGATCCGTACAACTAGTCCTCTGTAATGGGCCCAGAGACTTGTAGCCAGTAGGAGAAAGGTGGCGGCAGCAGCACATGACTCAAGTCGCTTCCAAATCATTGTTATATAGCCTATGGAGAAGTGGAGGGCGGTCCATTAGGACTGCCCTCTGCCAGTCCTACCTGTCTGCCTTCATACAACCAGTCCAGAAGGGGGACACTGGCTGTCTGCTTCCTCCTTTTCAAGTCTCAAAGATGCCCTTGTGGAACTAAGCAGGGAGAAGGAAGATGGGGACAAAACTAGAATTATCTGGCTCTGCCTATCTTTGGCATTGGCTCTGCCTTTCACCAGTCACAATGGGCACCAGCCAGCGCTGCTATGGAGAATAAGGCTATTGATGGTTAATAGCCACAGGGGCTAAGCTCCACCTCCACCTTGGGATGCAGTCTGCTTCTGAACACCAGTTGCTGGGAGCTACAGGTGTCAAGAATGCCCTTGTGCTTGGAAGCTGCTTGGGCGCTTCCCATAGGTATCTGGTTAGAACAGGATGCTGGACTAGACGGGCCTTTGGACCGATCCAGCTGGGCATTTCTTATGTTCGTAGGCCACCAACAGAGGAGCTTTGATGTCAGGGACGGGCATTGATAATGAAGAGTGGTGGGAGAAGCCTGCCCAAGAATCCCCCAGGGATGATACAGAGGAAGGAGACTTAGACCCAGGACAGTGGTGGTGGGACACTGAGGAATAGTCTGTGGAAGGGACAAGCTAGGAGGTGATAGAAGCAGGAGGTTTGAGTGGACACTGGGAGTCTGAAGTAGAAAGCTATTCCAGGACAGGACTGTATGCCAAGGGTCACATTGTGAGTGCAGACACTGACAGAGGTGTTGTGGGGATGATTAGGGAGGCAGGAGAGGATATATTATTTAATGATATCCTTCCTAACTTGCGCTAGCAAGTTCCATATCCCCCCTTTTAAATTACACAGTGGTTAGCTTGTTGCTGGCTCGTTTGAGTCTCACTACTTAAGATTCCTGGCAAGATCCCTTTTCTATCCCTCCTAAAAGAATAGACACAACTATTTGATTAAAGTTAACATAAAACTAGTTTACTTACAATCATCCAGTTCACAATAAGATCCCTGAAGGCAGGCTTAGGTTACATAACTATATATCTACATGAACTGTCCCATAAGGGAATTAGTCCCAAGTGACTGCGACTGAGCAGTCACGTCTCCTAACACACAGGAACGCAAAATGGAGCACAAGAAGAGCAGAACATGGAGGCCATGTGCTCCTCTGTCCAAGAACAGGTCACACCCACATTAAGTCACATGCAAAGGAAGTTTGTACCAGCTCAGGAGGAACTAGCAAGTTTTCTCCTGAGTGATACAAAGCATTCTCCAGCATGTGTATTGTAGGAATGTTGTATTTGACTGCAATCCCACAGGTGTTACTTCATTTGCCCAGCAGCAGGACAGCCTCTCTTCAGCTAGCTCTCCTCCTCCACTAACACCCACATCATGAAGAGCCTTGCACGTCAGAATTCACGGCTTCTTGGGAGGAGTCCAGAGAGAGAGGGCCAGAGAGGGAAGGAGGGGCCAGACGTCAGTCCCAGCAACATCTTCAACTAGGGCAGATTAGCCTAGATGAACTCTGTTGTGTTTTATTTACTATTGTGAATAAAGCTGATTGTACTTCATGTCTTGAGTCTTCTTACTGACCTGAGGATGAATCTGTATTCCTGACAGCCCCTTGAAACTTGGCTAGGCTTTTCCTTCCAGTGGGGCACACAGCCTGACCCAGAAGTATGGAAAACTATCTGGGGCTCTAGACAAGGAGGCACCTTGTGAAAAAGTGAGAACACAGCTGAGGGTCCCCTTGTGATACACATGCCATTTAAAAGTGCCCTGGTCCACCAAGGTCTGAAGTGTGAAGGGCTTTACCTGGCATCATTATCATCAGTTTGTTGTATCTTTGCCATCATGACTACAAGAGGTTGGGCAAAGTTGCGATGAGTGACCACCCTAACTCTCTATGAAGCAAGCATACAGTCCTGTTGCTTAGAATTCAGTGATTTCTATGAGCACAGTGACCAGAATAGTGGTGTGGATGGCTACACATATGCCCGGGTAATTTTAATAGAAAGTTTCAGAGCCTCATTCCAGTGACTCAGTGCGCAGGAGGAAGCTGCCTAAGACAGCTCAGCATCAGTGGTGGGAGTCTTTGTGCCAAAAGGCTAAGGGCACCACATGCTTGGGAAGGTCTCCTAAGAAAGCCTACTTTCCACAGCTGTCTCCCTCAGGCTTGCAGAACCCATGGCTCTGGAGAGGACTCCAGCTTCCATCAGACCCAGCCAGTCAAGGGTAATAGGAGTTGTTGTCCAGTAACACCTGCAGGGTCAAGATTCCCAATCCTTGGTTTGCCTTACCTGGATGCTTCTTGGTTTGTCTCTGCTCTGATTTTGATGATATATCCCATGCCTCATCTTGCATAGTCTTAGGAAGCCTTCTGCTGCCATAACAGCTGCATCTTCCCAAGGCTCAAGGACAAATACAACTGGCATTTATGCTGCAACTCAACTCCAGTCCACGACAGTCATTAAGCTTGTTTACCTTGTTTACACATTAGACTGAAGGTTGGCATGAACTGTCTCTGCACAGGTACAAGTGTCTGCATGGAAGAGTCTACATGTGTCAGAATTTTCAGGCTGTACGCTCTTTGAATCTTACATTTGAGTAACTGTATGAAGGTGCAGCCCAGTGGTTTGTGTACACAGATCCATAGACTGTACACTCTTTGGAACAACAACAACAACAACAACAACCATTTATATCCTGAACATAGTGTGTGAACATCCCTATCATCATAGCTGCACTGGTGAGGGATGACTGTTGTGGTCCTGATGTTACATTACACAGTTAAGGAAGGGGACAGGGCAATTGGCAGCTTCGTTACAATCAAATGAGGCATGGTCTTGTTTTTCCCCATATGGAGGGAAGGGCAAGCAAAAACTACCTCAGAGTCTGCTCCAGCTGGACTAACCACCCAACTTCCCTGCTCTGGGGATTGTGGGAAGGAAGCTTGTGACTTTTTATATTTTTATATTATATATTGTCGTGTTTATTTGTTTGTTTGAAGTCAGTTTATTGCTTCTTCTCAGTTACCTTGGAAATATTTCTATCTTGAAAGGTGAGATATAAATAAGTGTAATAAACACATAAAGTAAGACTGTAAGGGTTGAAGAGTGAAGGTTTTGATTTGCTGAATGAACAGAGAGCTATTATTACTACTGATTAAATTTATTAGTTATTTCTTACCAGGCTCTCTAAGTGACTTACATTTAAAAACATAAACATACTGTAAATACAACTGCATCTGAATTTCTCATTCTCAGGTACTAAAGCATTTTGGGCTAATATTGTCCATCTACCTTCCTGAACTGGCAAATGATACACAAGCCATCTCACATTTTTCACCTTCCTCTGATGTTGCAAGATGTGCATTATCACAGTCTGAATGTGTGGTCCTTATTCCACAAAACGGATTCCTTGCTGAACATAATGGAAGCTCCTTCTTTCATAACCCAACAGCCCCAATAATATCGATCCAATCCACAAATCTAGTTGCATTCCTTAGTTTTTACACGGTGAGGCTTGGAACTGCAATATAAGCAGAAAAGTGTTAAGTTGCTAAGAATTATTTTTAAAGCTTCAACTCCCCCCTTTTTTTTAAATTAAGGAAATCATTCTTCATATTTACTTTAAAATGCTAATAAACTATTAAATGAACAAGTAACACAATATGCAACAATTTTTGCACCATCCCTCTAGTGCCTAAAAATTGCAGGATAAAGTTGGTGTATACTTGATAACAATTTACATGTTTATTTTACCATCTGGTAAATGTGTAAATGATATTTTGGGAAGCACATTTCAAATTCACTTTAACAACTTCTCCTCGACAATATGTATCCTATCTTATGTATCGACTGGTAGATTATTATTTTTTAGGGGGGTTATACATAAGGGAAAAAAATATCTATCTAGAAACATGAACTCAGTAGGAGATGGGGGTGTGCAGGGAAGACTGATATGGAAAGATTAATTTATCTCTTGTTTTTTTTGTGTGTGGTTAAGCCTCATTTAAAATGGATGGAATTTCTGTGGTGTTGCAAGTATTCTAACCATTCAATCAGTTTGCCTGTCTTAGAGCATTTCTGTGTGTCATGGTTCAGAGATGATCATATCAAGTTTCCTATGGACACCAAGGGGAGACTTCTAGGTACCAACAAAGCGGCAGGCAGCGTCATGTGTGATGTTCTGCAGCTCTATCACATTCTTTCCGAGGGGTTTGAATTTGCCGTCCAATGTGTCTAAATATGGGAGGCTCATTATTGGATGTGTTACAGCAAACCTCAAGCGGATTTCCTTGCATTATGTACTTCAACAGCATTTTGACCCTTTATCTGTCTGACTCCCTTCCACCCCCACACCCTGCTTCCATTCCAGTTTACTGGTCTCACGAGAGTAGATCACAAGCAGTTTTCATGATTGTTACAAAGGAGGGGTCTGACTTACAAACAACAACCCAAACCCAAACCTTATTTACCCTTTCCTAACTGGCAACAATCTCCTTTGGTAAAATGCAACCTGTCCTCTAAGGAAAGCTGTGCAGAGTACACCTCCACAGTAATTGCCATCTGGCTGATTTGCAAATTAAGTTTGGGAACACATTTCCAATGTAGGCTTTAAACTAATGCAGCTTTACATTATACCAGCCCTTCCTAACCTGCTGTATGCAGGCAGCCGTGATGCTTTTCTTTCAAGCCTGGAAGTCCTGGTTAACAAAGGACATCCCATTTGCATGGTGATGGTGTAGTGTAGCATCTCAAGGAGCTTCCAGACTGCCACTCTTTTTGGATGTGATTCAATCACACGCTAGAAAATCCAGGATGTGCAATTACTGTTCATTGAGGGGTCTTGCACAGCAAACCTGCTCCACCAAAATATTAAACTGTTTGCAGTAATGAAAGTGATGGGGAAAATGCACTAGAAAGTGTGAGCTGCATGCACTAGAAATTATGGGAGAGCTAGGGTGGGGTAGTGGTTAAGAATGCTGGACTAGCACCGGGGAGACTAGGGTTCAAATCCCCACTGAGCCATGAAGCCTACTGGGTGATTTTGAGCCTGTTACTGTATCTCAGCCTAACCTACCCCACAGGGTTGTTGTGAGGAAAAAAGGAGAGGGGGAAAAGCATGTACACTGCCTTGAATTCCTTTGAGAAAAGTATAATCATCATCTAAATGATAACAACACATTTGCTCAATGCAGCATCATGTAATCTCCCACCAACAAATCAGGATGAATGAACAATAAGCAGGTTGTCTCAAAGTATCCTCAGTGAATCTAGAGTTAACCCATCAAATTTTGTTCCTATCACTTTCATCCAGCGCTTCATGTGCACCACAAAGCACACATGGATCTCTTCTCTGCTTAGGCTTTCCCAGTCACTTAAGATGGACAGGAAGAGCATCACTTTCTAGATAAATAATAGCTTAAACTTTTATCCCCAAACAGTATAATACTAAGCATACATACCTATGATCCACCCACTTGTATAAAAGTTATTATGGAGAGATGGTGATATACCTTTTATGCCAGAAGAGTATGCCTAGGTTTCCATTTTTGCTGCTGTGATTAA